CACGAAGAATAAGTATGTTTAGATTTAACTGGACCCGAATTAAAGGAACATAGCCACATTTTGCCTCAGAAATCCATATTTTCTAACTCTTCAGAAATGTCAAATATCTGTTCAATAATATTATGATAATGGATTGAAAGCATGTTAGATGTGTAACAATGTAAGAAATAGCACTAAACATGTAGCCATGTGTCGTAAAGGTAGCAAAATGTAAACAAAGTAGTATTTTGACTTCCATACATGTCTTTGTCCCCGCGAGGGGTTTGACTTTAACAGAAGATAGATAGATGATACAAAATACTGATTGACTTTAGTTATACAAGTTGCCAACATAACAAAGTCAGCAAAAGAAAGTTTTTGTATATGGCAAATGAGTATGTTTTTGGAAACTGTAAAAAGATACCAAAACTAAAATGTTTTTGAGAAATAAGAATGATAGCATTTCTGAGGCATAATGGGCCTTTAACGAGGTTGAACAGACTGCATGGATGTGCAGGTGGCAAAGGCCAGTCACTTCCGGTTTTAGCAGGCAAAGGACTAAAAGCCTTCTAAACCAATAAATGACGTTCCGTGTCTCAAAATTTAATATCGTCTAACTAATTGCTATCATCTTTTTTTATATTACGAACTCGTACATTTCTTAATGTTGCTAGGCAACACAATTAGCTTTTTCAGTTTGTGTTAATCATCTTCATTGATGTAGAAACATTCATGTCTGTTTCATTAATGAACAGATTTGTCAACTTCGAGCAAAAAAATCTCAAATAGAAAAAGAAAGAAAAAACAATCGTGTCTTATTGTTTCTAATGTTGCAAGTAAAAAATGTTAAGACATCTTTATTTTCTAACATGAAGCTTAACTGTGAAATTTGTTTTCTGTTTAATATAATAGGTAAAAATGTAGAACCTTTATCTTGCAATTCGTTTTTTAAAGAACTCTCAGATCATACGGACAATTATTTGAGTGAACCATGGAATGAAACATCATTAGAAGGAAATGTCTGAGTGAACCACGGAATGAAATGTTGAACATAATTATAAGGAGATATCTGTTTAAATAATCATTTTAAAATTCGTAGGATTGGAATTGATCGGGAAAAATGAAATTCAATGAAATAACCTTACTGAGATAAGAATCACGCTTCCTACGTAAAACAGTAAGCTTTTTCATAATGTATATATGTAGGTGTCACATGCAATCGATGATTTTATTGCATCTTCTTTCTTTTCATCTTTTTTTCCGGACCAACAAGGCTTTTTTTCTAACCATCAACCTGCTTAGTTTTCCCATGCAGCTTTGCATTTTGAACAGTCAATTCAAAGTTTAAAGGATTTAAATATCAATATTAAAATACAGAAAATGAGTAATCAATAGAAATAGAGCCTGGCCAGTATAAACAAATATGGAGACTTACATTGCACTAAACTGGTGTCAAAGGTCAAATTCCTTTCGGTTCAAGCAGAGTAAGGGTTTGTTTCATCGTTCGTGGCGTCAGACATGACGTCGTAGCGTCGAAGCGTAGATCAATATTTTTATTAGCATGTTTGTTCAGATTTGCTACAAATCTATTTTGAAAACAGTTTTAAAAAAAACCTTGTTTATATAACAGTACAAAAACATTCTGTTCTTATTACCACTTCTTGCTAAAGTGTTTTTCTTTCATGTTTTTCTCTCTTTTTTCGCTGAAGCAATCATATTCTAACATTTACTTATTGTTTTGTTTTGTCACGATTCCAGCAATTCCTACCATTATTCTTATCCCCAGCAGGCATGTGACCTTTTCTATACGTTTCACATTAGTTTAATGGTTTTGAAAATTACTTACGGTGTCGCCATCGTTTTAATGTAACAAAATACTTTGCAATCGTTTTCATCTCTCATTACCTTCTCGTTCAAGTGGATTGTTTTTATGCAGGTATACAAAATATCAAAGATTGGAGTTATAACGATGTAAAACGGTGGCTATAAGTTTTAAATAGATGTAAATTGAGAGTCTCACGAGTAATTCAAGACTTTACAGAAAACATCCGTTTTGATGAAGTCTTTTTGCTGAAGGTAGACTTACTGCCAACCAATATCGTAATAAATCGGTCATTTCCGGAACGTTATTTTTCACAGTCTTCGGTATTCAATAATTTTTAACCGTTTATAACCGGTATTTAGTACATACCGATAAAGGATGAGTGATTGTAAATAATCAAATGCCCAAGATTTTGAGAAAAAAAAACGTTCCGGAAATAACCGATTTGCTACGATATTGGCAGATGTTAGAATTGTTTTGGCGGAGAAGTATTACAGTAAGACTACTGGTGGAAAATTGATTGAAATATCCGCATTAAAAGTTGTAACTTATACAGTGATTTTTTTCACGTCTGCGCTACAGATAAGAAAGAATAAAAATGTGCTATACTATAGATAAGCATAAAATTTTTTAAGGAAAATGAAGTTTTGATTAATATCAAACTCAATTATGGAAATAAACTTATAATGACAGTTTTGGATAATTTCAGTATCAAAAGCATTGTGATTAATGCAGAAATCAAATTCATTTTTTTCTCAATTCCATTGTTAATGTACCTTTCATATCAATAAAGCAATACTAAGCTTTGTAACTTGGACTTGTCGGTTAAATTTTGGGACTCATAGACTTTTAGCCCAGCGAGTCCTAGGACCCACACTGACGAATTTGTAAAAAAATATATAACTGCTTTTGTAGAGAACGGGTTAAGTAATAGTTAATTATTCAAATACAATGCTAATTCTTTTCTTACTGTTGTTGTTGTTGCTGCTGATTATGATGATGATGACTCTTCAGATCTCAGTTTCGATATAATTTTATGACTATCCTAATTTAGAAATAAATAGAAATGCCAGTGACAAAAAAGAAGCAAGTCAAGCTTTTTTTTTATCCCAGGGGTAAAATCCTTAATAAGCGATTTTAATATCAAAATGCCAAAAAATGGGACCATCAACAATAAATAGCCCAATCAGACTTCATGGATGTGCAAGCTGGCCTGGTTCTATACTGGTAGTCGGTTCCATCAGGTGTAGTGATAATATTACTTTATATATACATGTATATAGAGGATATTTGTTTGTTTTGCATGTAAGATTGAAATATAATTTCACTGAGTGAACACCAGATACAATATTTTCACGAGTGGCGTAGCCACGAGTGAAAATATAATAGCTGGTGTTCACGAATGAAATATATTTCAATCTTATATGTAAAACAAATAAATTTTCTTTTTATTTTATGCTTTTTAAGTGATTTTAAGTATTTTTTACTGATTTTGCCGCGTAACGTCGCGCATTTTCCTTTGTGACGTCATTATATCATGACGTCACATCATAAGTTTTGAAATATAGTTCTGTTAAATTTCTTTATTTAATGCTTTCCAGTGTTTTATTACAATATATCAGATGATTATATTCTGATAAACCACTAGTGAAATTTATAAAATATAATTTTCACTGTAGCCGGACTATATCTGAATACGGATGAAAAGAAAATCATAACCAAATGGAATAACAGGCAGAAATAAATGCCGTCATACGTAAATTTGCTTAATTAGGAAAAGAAAGTCAATGTCATCATACATCATGTTAAAAATTTAACAAAATTAGAGAAATTTAACAGAACTATATTTCAAAACTTATGATGTGATGTCATGATATCATGACGTCACAAAGGAGAATGCGCGACGTTACGCGTCAAAATCAGTAAAAAAATACTTAAAATCACTTAAAAAGCATAAAATAAACAGAAAATTTATTTGTTTTACATATAAGATTGAAATATATTTCATTCGTGAACACCAGCTATTATATTTTCACTCGTGGCTACGCCACTCGTGAAAATATTGCATCTGGTGTTCACTCAGTGAAATTATATTTCAATCTTACATGCAAAACAAACAAATATCCTCTACCTAATTTTGTTAAATTTTAACATGATAAATGACGACATTGACTTTCTTTTCCTAAATAAGCAAATTTACGTATGACAGAATTTATTTCTGTCTGTTATTCCATTTGGTTATGATTTTCTTTTCATCCGCATTTAGATATAGTCCGGCTACAGTGAAAATTATATTTTATAAATTTCACTAGTGGTTTATCAGAATATAATCATCTGATATATTGTAATAAAACACTGGAAAGCATGAAATAAATATGTATATTTTTAATATATCAACAATATTGCGTTTGGTTTACCCCTTAACCTGCTGTCTTTGTAATGTGTTCTAGTGCTGCTGATTTGGTCCCCGATCATAACCAGGAAGTTTCATATACCAAAATGTTCGGTTGGGTCCCTAGATTACGAAATTGGATATCATTTGCCCCGAAATTGCTGGGGGTGATAAATCCAAAATGGCGTCCAAGTTGGCTGCCAAAAATATGAAATTATATTTTATTTTATATTACTTAAACGTATTAGTTTATTCCTATTTTTCATTCTTGTATCAATTGTGTTCCTAAAATACGGTTATGATAGATTCCATCTATTTTAATGTAATGATATTTTTTATGATAAAAACAGAAAATTAGCACTGCTTTGTATTCCGAACAGCACATTTTTCGGTATCAAAATCTTAAAATTGAGCCACCTACAATATAATACCTGGCTAGACTGTACAAATGTAGGCTGGCCTGGCTTTATACTGATGGTAAATGCTAACCTTTCCTGGTTCTAGCACAATAAGGTACATCTCGTTACAGCAGAGCTTTGGGACAAACCCATAGGGAAAAAATGTTTGAATTTATTAAACTGTACACCTACTGTAAAGTACTTCATAGTAATAAAGTCTTACAGTAACTTAAGCTGCTGTATTACCATAACATTGTGATATAAACTGAAGTTTTCTGAAAAATCATTGCCTAGGTAACCGCAGTATGACATTAACATAGAAGCTGATAGCTATTAAAGAAAGACTTGTTGGGTGTTTTTTTATCTTCGTAAGAATATAATATACCTTTATATATAATTTCAGAAAATCGATTTTACTTCCTTTGAAAGCAGAGAGTTTGGACAAATTTCAAGACAGAAAGGATCTGGATAAGCAACCTTTACCAAACAACTTGTAAAAAAATAGCCATGCAAAGAACATTATACGAGTATATATAGATAGTCTTATTACTAGAATATCTTTGAGAAAAACAATTTAGTCGAAAATAATTGTATAGTGAAAGTTGGGTAAAAATTTATATGGTGAAATCTAAAACTATCAAAATATGATAACTGACATTATTAACGTTTAGAAACTTGAAGATGGCCTTAGAAAAGATGAACTTATCAAAACATTTAAAGACTTAAACATATATAATGACGCCAGCGATTAATTCTAATATGACGTCAGTGTGCAATGACACCAATGGAATATGCTCTACGGAGAAGACGGAAAATACCGAAGTATGGCGAACTCTTATGGCGGTTTATTTGGGCGCCATTTTGTTTATATCGTTAGCGTTTAATGGAACTTTATGTCTGATGTTCTACAAAAAGTCACATTTGTTGAGTGTCTCCAACTGTTTCGTCTTGAATTTGATATGCTGCCAACTTTGTAAGTATTTTTATCCTTGTATACCTCGATTTTGCAACCAATTAAAACGATTTTCAATGAAAAGTTTATATTTCTCTCCATGATTGACAAAAACAAAAGAGTGGCATGACATAAGTAGGCGATAGATTCTTGATTGTATATCATTTAGAATTCATTCATTACGCCCGATTGCTATACGCCTTTTACTATTCTTTTTTGTAGAGTTCATTTCCGAGCATCTATTCTATTTCTAGAATATTACTGGAGCCTTGACATTAAAAAGTGCAAATTTCATATAATTTGTACTTAAACGGCATTATTCTGTTAAAGAGATCACAGAAACATTCACATGTAAGATAATTCCATATTAAGCTTTTTCAGAAATTTCAGATGTTTGATATATTGTTTCATTTTCCGTGCAGGCACGAACTAATCTGTGTTCATTAATTCGTGTTGAAAAGCAATTTTACCCACTGTCATAGACACCACTAACGAGAATTATCAGTTTCAAAAATAATTATGCGTTCGATCGGAAATACTTTGAAATAACTTACGTTCTTTCAATGTACTGACGTTATAGAATATACATCGCGCTAATTATCAAATGATACTTGCATTCCCTTTATTTAACGCCTGATTATGCATATCAAGGAAAATCTTGTCATAAAATAGGCATTTAATTCTAGAGCATAATTGCTACTAAATACCGTTTTAATATTCCTGAAAAGGGCAAAAAAGCAATTTCCATATAAGATGGTCACCAATAAAGATTAGTCAATATTAAACGCCGGCTCAGTACATGTGACCGTTTGATTATCAAACTAGACAAACTGTTCAATTTTTCTTTCGTAATTACTGCATTGCGTGTTTCGCCGTTTCTTTCTTTTGACAACGTATAGCAGTAAACCACGTGGTTTCTTGTAAAGTGACTGTGTTTTTTATGTGCTAATTATCATTTGCACGTCATCTTATAATTGCGTCAAATTAGTTAGTTTATTTATAGGTTTATCTTGATATAATTTGTATTTACTCGAGGTTTTTTACAGATTAATGGCTTTTTTTTCGGAATAAACCATTTAATAAAACTTTGATATAATGAAGTCACTTTTAACAAAAAAGTGTTATAAATGGTTTTTAGCACAAACGTACCTAAACGTTGTTTTTTTACTTCCCATAATGTCTGAAAAGTAATTGTTGACGAATTTTACTTCTCATAATGTCTAAATAGAAAAGTAATTGTTGGCGAATTTTACTTCTAATAATGCCTGAATAGAAAAGTAATTGTTGACGAATTTTACTTCTAATAATGCCTGAATAGAAAAGTAATTGTTGAAACATTTTACTTCTCAAAGTGGCATAACAAACCTGAATAATGAAATGTAATTGTTAAATGTAACATATTTCACTACCGCTGTTTTGACGATGATCATAATTCTCAAGTAACAGTTGTAAAACCTCCTATGTCCTTACCATATCAAATACCCTTAATCTAAGTGTTTAATATTCGATTGCAATGTAAATACGAGGCATGCCGTCTACTATTTGATATGATTATTTGATATTTGCATATTTGGTCAAACAAAGATGGAATCTGAGTCATATTTCGATATGTAATTTATTTTACAACATGAGTACCTTTTTTTTGGCTTGGTTGTGTGATGAAAACCTTGGAGTTAAACTGATCTATTCCAGTATCTAGCAAAGTCTGGGTCAGAGGTTATAAGAAATGTTCTAATCTCGTGTATACATCTGATTGGTTATAATCCAGCACAGTATATGTATACACTAACATATAAAAAACCTACACTTCGAGGATCCTACATTTCGAAGCAGAGCTAGAAAGAAGTTGGTTTTTCAACCTCGAGGCATGGTGCCATATCGAGAGACATGGCTGTATTAATAATATAGGATAAAGACCCAAAAGCTAAACCAAGATCCCTAAGACCATGATTACTTGAACTATCATTATATTGACTGCTTACTGCTTATTATCAATACTCCTTGACATAAATATCACCAAATAAACCTATCTCACATACATATAACATTAAGTTCACTTAATGCTCCAAAATTCTTCATTTTCATGTTTAAATGTTGAATTCTGCTTAAGTCGGCGCTTGGGGCATGCACGGTAGTTTGCACTTGACAGTACCGTCCATGAACAGGGTCAATCGAACCGAGCCTGCACCATTTTCAATTTTGCTTTTTTGAACCTTCTTAAGGGATTCTTATTTTCTCTATTAGATCCACTTTAACGCTAGACTTTTAAGTCATATATTATTCATACAACATTTTCAGTGACCGGACTTTTTTCTATAAGTCCTAAATACTAAACCATACAGGTAGCTGTTTAACCCAGTCATTAATTACCTTTGTACGTTTCATTAAGCATAATATTTTACTTTATATAATGATGAAGATATCGGGATTATTTATTTTCATTTATAGAAAGAAATGAGCCGCGTCACGACAAAACCAACATAGTGCGTTTGCGACCATCGCATGGATCCAGACCAGCCTGCACATCCGCGCAGTCTGATCAGGATCCATGCTGTTCCCTATCAGTTTCTCTACTTGTTAAAGGGTTGGTAAGCGAACAGCATGGATCCTGATCAGACTGCGCGGATGCGCAGGCTGGTCTGGATCCATGCTGGTCGCAAACGCACTATGTTGGTTTTGTCGGGACGCGGCTCAAATTTATTCATTGTTTTCAAAATGGCTCCTAATGGTTTTCAAAAAAGATATTCGGTTAATGTGAATTTCATGTTTTTTTTTATCTAGAAAATTACAAATCAAGAGCTCTTGTTCGACATTTAAATGATCATAACTTGGTCTGTAGGTCAAATAAGCTATTATCTTTTGATAATGTTTTATCGCTAAACATTAGCAAATTGGTTAGAGGTTAAATAGCATGTTACATGAAGAAATAATCAGAATAAAGTCATCAGCGTGTTGTAGTCGACATAATGGCTTGTGTATGCAACCAGTACAGAGCAGCAGTTACTTCCCCTGCGGGCTGTATATCCGGGCTCTATTTTGTTGCATGCTTACTTGAAATAAGGACGAACTATTCCCAAACAAGACCTGAACACGCAGTTTTATCTCTTAGAATATTTCTGTTATAATATTTTATTACCATGCAAAGGTTAAGCAACATAAATGTGTCCATATATCCAAAGGAGAACAATCGTAATGCAAAGCAAAACATTTTGAATTATGCTAAAATTTTACCGTGTTTATTATTCGTATTGTTCATTTTCTTTAATTTCAAAACACCTAGTCTTGTAATAAAATATATTTTTATGTGTGTATAATTAATACTTATTCCCTTGTCTAGTATATACTAATTATAAACTTATTTAAGACAAACCATATAGTTCGCCAAAGGAGAAGAATTCTATAAGACTTGTCTTTCATTCTCATCCTTTTCCATTGTGAAAAATGTTTTGTTTGTTATATATTTGTATGTACATTATATATACTTTCGGGAATAAATATGTTTAAACCAATAAAATAGTTATAATAATAACAACGTAAGTTATCCATTACCTTTCGTATAGTCTTATAATCATAATCATATTGTTCTATTTTATCCATTTTAGAAACATATTATCAATAAAAATGGTTGTAGATTTCAAAATATCAATAAGGTGTCTTGTAATGTGATATGAAACCTGTGAAAGAATTTTTGAAGAAACTTAAATAATGTTATTATAAAATTGATATTGTTACGATTTAAAATCAAAATGTGAAACAAATAATTTAAGGAAAGGTCTTGATGAACCACGTAATGAGTTTCTGTTTGACGCAGTCCAAAAAATAATTCGTTTCATACTACTTGATTAGCCCTGACATTATAAAAACAACAGCATTTATAATTCGGTTTTGGTAACAGTTTAATGTATAAATGTTGTTCCGTTTTTTAATATTTTAAGCCAAATATTTAAGACTTATATATGGTGCTATTATTATGCTGTGTTTTTTATACCTAATTCTCCATAATTTTACGAAATACTTTTGATTGTGGGCCCTTTCTTTGCAATGATCAAATGTATGTTCCTATAGTTTTCGCTTCCATGGAACCCACACCCCACATCCGTAATTCAAAATTTATATCATTAACTTGTAAAAAAAGTCCAGAATATGTGAAACTGAAACATTTGATAACTTTTGCTTTCAAGCAAAAAGTTAGTGTTGCCCTGAGAGTGACTAGGAAGTTTTGGGGAGTGACACCCCCTCCACCCCGAGCCGCTCTGTAATGGTTACATTGACCTTCTAACACAGTCCAAGCATACGAATAAATCAGCAAAGCAAATACCCGTGTTTGATTAGACTAAATTCTGTTCTATTTTGTGCTAAAATCAAACGAATGAGTGTAGGAAATAACGCCTGCTATTTGCAGAACACTGAAGGCTTTGTTTACAACTTGATAAAACTAACGAGAACTATATAAAGTCCTTGATTTCAGTCACATTTTCAATAATTCGAAAGATTATTTATCACATATTTGTTGCATTTCTTTAACAGTGTAAGATTGCGAATCACTTAAATATGCGTGAAAGGCTAAAAAATGCATTTTCGTGTCGACATATATTCTACATACTGTGTAACTTTTTCATATTGCATTTTTGTCAAATGTGACCAAAGATCATTTGACAGTCTAGAGCGATCAATTGAATCAAAATATGTACAAGGTTGTCCTTTGTGCGTTGAATGATCAAATTTACTTTTTAAGTTAGATTAAACTTGCTACCATTGTTCAAATAGAAAACACATGCATTAATGGACATTGTAATATAGAATATATAAAAGTGTTTAAATAACTTGATGAGACAAGTATATTAATTAATATGCATTAACTCAACGAAGTTCTTCTAAAAATATTTTGACACACCTTGTGTTTTTTGTTGTTTTTGTGTGTGTGGAGAAGGATATATTGTTACTTACATTTGTTTCGTATGATTCAAATTTTAATTGTGCTTAAGCTTAGTTTATATGCTCTCAGAACTTAGTGGACATTAAATGTACATGCAGTCAGTATAGATGCTGGTCACTCTCCTTTTGGTGAATTGTAACCAATTAGTTTTGTTGAAATAACTTAAAATTAACAAGGAACGGTATAAAACCGAACAAGTACATTGCACATAACCAGGGAGTTCAGGTTAAAGTTTTTTTATTTCATTACTCATTTAGTTGCATTGTTCATAAATGATTGACCTTGATGATTACAATATATTGAAAACTAAAAAAATGTAAGGAATCTTATGACATTTGGTAAAAATGTGCAAATACGCCCACCAGGTTAAAAATGAAAATTTTACAAATACAAGTAGAACAATCAATAACAAATAACAAATTATGCCTTAAATTTCATTACATCAGTTAGACCTACAAACTATGCATATTGTACGAGTATAACATAACTTAATTTATATTTCAGTAACGTCTTTGCTGGTTCTACCATTTAGTCTTTTTGCTGTGGTGTCACAAGACTGGATCTACAGTGGACACTGGTGTGAGATACAGGGTTTCTTCTTTACTACAGTGGTCGTTGCCCAGCAACTTGCTCTTCTTATCATCTCCATTGACCGTAACTACGCCATCATGAACTCTTTGCGTTACCCGAACATTTTCACACAGACGCTTTGTTCAATTTTAATCGCAATCTCATGGACGCTTGCTGTCATTATTAGTATTCCGCCATTACTAAGTTCCGGAATGGGAAACTATAGTTTTCATCGAAGCCAGTTTCTTTGTGGCATTGATTGGGCTACGGATGTTACATTTCTAGTCGTTTTTAGCATGGTGACGTTCGCGATACCGGTTCTCATTCAAAGTTTTTGCTATGTAAAGATCTTCATTGCCGCTGTAGGACATTCCAAAAGAACTTCTAAAGTAAACCCTTTGCCATGCAGACCTTCTCGCACTACTAGTGAAATGCGGAGTGATTCAAGCGCTGGAAGTAGTGAAATCACCGAAGAAATTTACCGTAGTTCAGCTGAATGCAAAGCTGTTAGGACTATTTTGATAATTGCTCTGGCATATAGTGTATGCTGGTTGCCCTATTTCCTGGACTCATTTCTAACTTTAAGGCAAAACAAAACGAATCCAAACTTCAGTGCTGCCGCAATATGTTGCCTTTTTTCGAGCAGCATTTTAAACCCAATGATTTACGCCTACATGAATAGAGTTACACGCCGTGAAATCGGGAGATTTGTTTGTGGGAACTCTGGCATGACAGATCCGGAAGATGCAGGTTCAACTAGCATGAGTGCGTATTCGTCTGTTTGGGGTCATAACAGAGTTAGATCAAAAAGTAACGGCGCAGTACCAAATGAAATGGATACAATTGCTGAAGAAGGGGAAGTTGATGAAAGTGTATTTTGTCAATCTCATTCTCGAGCGAATCGTGTGGACATTTTATCACATAACTCCAGGATGCCTCCAGAATCTCAAAGCAAAGATCATGTACAATTGAAGGAAAAAATAACGTTCACTGGTAGCAACTGTGTTATTGAAAGAGAAGAAAATCATGAAACTGAATATAACATTCCACGCATTGCTGTAACAGATGCATCGGGAAGTGACTTAGAAATAAAAGGAAAATACCCCAGAGATTCTTCTTGGAAAAGAGTCAAAACTGAGTTGCGTAAGTCATCGAAATCAAACGAGTCGTACTTTTCAAAAGAAAAGAGACGCAAAAGAAGAGATTGTGGCTCATTTCTGTATTTTAATAATTGCGACGATCAACCAGGAACAAAAACCTCTAGGAATCGAGAAAAACGACGACCTCAAAGGTTTTCAGTTGATCACGTGCAAAACATTTCCGTTGGAAAATTCCCAAGCTACATGAAGTTTCGTTTGTCTTTAAATGATACTGAACTACATAATGTAGATAAATTCATGGTAGAGTCAAAGATCAAACTTGAAAATTCAGCTTGTAGTAATAACTGTGCAAAAGATATTATGATAATGCCAAAGAAAAAATCTAATCGATCAACGACAACTGAATTACAATCAACTTCTAAATCAGATAACTCTGGGAGACTAAACAATACAGTAAACTAGTAAGTAACAACAAAGCACTAATGGAAGCTGGTGATAATATAACTACAAGTTATGAAAATGGGCTTGGAACTGAAACTTGCTCAGCACAAGTTGAAATGTTCCAAACAAAAGTTACACATTTACGACCAAATTCGGCTCCAGCGAAACTATCCAAAACACAGACTAACAAAAGAGATGTTGTTATTCCACGATGTACACAATCAAGTTCACATCTTTCAAAGATGTCTGAGCAGGTTGGTGACTCAAAAGAAGAAAAAGAGTAAATGAAAACAATACGATGATTAACTCAAAATTTTGACTTTCAACACTTGACACACCAAATATCTTCAATGGACTCGTCCATCTTAATCATTTTTAAGGAAACACTTTCATGAATAGTGAACACGGATGTGCCGGCTGACGTGGTCTGCACTATATGCATGGGTAAATTCTGTAGGCTGCCACCATCGGGATATGGTTAAAACTAGTTTGATCTTGAAAGTGTCATCAACATCGAATAGAGGAGTCTGGAATATTTATTACGTCATTTCCTGTGATATAATGACGTTGTTTAAAACACACATTTCATTTGTTTGTTTTATTTTTTTCTCATTTACTGATTACTGATTAACTGAGCTATGACTTTGAAATAAAATCTTGAAATCTTTTAACTAATGATGTACCAGTCATTTGTAATCACAGCCGTCTCATACCCGAGGAAAAGCGATACTCAAAGCTATTATGATGTTTAAAATAATGAATAATCAGGCGCCTTCCTATTTATTGAATAATTTCATTTTATCGTCAGATGTTCATACTCGCATTTTGCGTTCATCATCTGATTTTCAACTTTATACCCCTAGACCAAATTCTGAACAATTTCGTAAGTCTTTTGTTTATTCTGGATCTTGTATTTGGAACGGCCTTCCTGATTATATTAAATCTGCTACATCTGTTAACCATTTTAAAACCTTATACTTGAGGTTTTATCACGCATTGATGTATACAATTTGATAATCTCCTGTATGTTTTTACATTTATGTATTTTAATAGTTTGAATATGTTAAATTTATATTGTTCCTTGTTGAGGGCCTCATGGAAGATTGATATGTTTATTCAAATGAGTTCTCTCGTTAAATAAAGTCTTTATTATTATTATTATTATTATTATTATACTTTCGAATATTCAAATTCTGGTAAAGGCCCGTTCTTCAAGTACATTCATGTGATTAAAAACCCGCTAAAAGCCCCGCTGCTGCGATTAAGACTTATCGCCGTCAATTTTAGAGTCAAAATAAAACTTCACTCCTTTCTGTCATGAGCAGGTTAGTTTCCATGCCTAATTAAAGTTTAATAGAATTACAGCAGTATATAATCAATGTCACAATTTGATTCGGTCTGTTCATAAGAAACAGTGAAAAACACCCCTTAGTTTAAGCTCAAACAGGTGAGGTGGTTTTGATCCATGGTGTTGCTTTAAAGTTTGAAACACCAGTGGTTAGCAGAACAGAACAGAACATATTTTTATTAACGTATACAATACATGTATCTTGTTAATACAACATCAAATTAAATACATACAATGATAATGATAAGCCAAAATGTTAGCCAAAATCATCATTCAAGTTTCGGTGCCATACGACCTTAATTGTGTTGGTGCACCGTAAAACTAAACAAAACAAACAAAAGTGAAAAGCACATGACATCTCTCCAGCCGGAATCTCCAAATGTTATTTATAACATGCAAAAAATCATTTTCTTTAATCATGCAATAAAACAATGTTGGAACCAATTTGGAACGGTCAACAGAACTTGAGTATGCACGCATACGCTCACAGGCATGATGTTAATGTGCATGAATTGTATCTATCTGAAATTGTTTTAAGGCCATGCCCTCTTACAAATCATATAAACTCGTGTTTTAAAAGATTTCTCTTGCATAGATTTCAAATATACGAGAAACTGTCTCTACAAAATGATTTTATAATCGCCTTTTCCTTTTATAGGCATTTGTCATTCAGCCTACATACTTTCAGATATTAATAGGCAAGTGACATTAAATCACTTTCCTTTCAATAGTTTAGATATAATTCAACAAGACAGTTTCCTTTAAACATTTCTTAGTACAAGCTTTTAAAATATATTAATAGGCATACATTGTACATGTATACGTCTTTCAGTCTATAATCAAGTATTTCATCTAGGTAATTAAGAGAACTTCCAATTTGAAATCTGTTGCCATTAAATCAATTTATAAAATACTATATTTGAGCATGACAAAACCAACATAATATGTTTGCGACCAGCATAGATCCAGACAGTCCTGCGCATCCGCGCAGTCTGATCAGGATCCATGCTAGCGCTGTTCTCTTACGAACCCTATTACAAGTACAGAAACTGATAGCGAACAGCATGAATCCTGATCAGACTGCTAGGATGCGCAGGCTGGTCTGGATCCATGCTGGTCGCAAACGCATTATGTTGGTTTTGTCATGGTGTGACTCATTTATAAATAAATGTACATCAAAAGGTCGGTTAAAAGTGTTTATATAGGAAAACATGTACATTTGTGTTTTTAAAAAAATAAAATGAGTCATTTGAAACGTTCATTGGAGTATGTCGTTTTCACTGAGAATGTATCGTGAAGTTCATATCTCTAACTGTATCAAAATGTTACACGCGAGGTTTTACGCTCTCGAAAAAATGGCTGCGAAGGAATGATCATCTGTGCACTGCAAACGTTTAGAAGAGCCAAATAAAAAGCTACCTAGACGAATGTCTGGTTAGATCTACGCAGATGAGTTGTTGAATATAAAGGGGAAGCGTTACGACACAAAAATTCCAGTACGTCCGTCGTTCTATAATGTGACAGGACGGGTAAGCTTCAATCAATGTCGTAATGTGCCAGGAATCCGACACCGTGTGTCTTATTTATATATATGTAGACAGTGTTGCTCGTAATGGTGTATCATAATGCTTTCTACATTTAATTATTTTATCCCGATTAAACGATATATAAACTTTTAATAAGCAAATGACCAACGATAAAACATAAAATTTGAGCATAAACGTAGGGGCAGGACGTGAAGTGGTTGCACACTTGGTTCAAGCGAGCGAATTGGTTGCAAACTTGACAAAATGGCAAATATGGCGTGATTTTTGGAAACGGGTGAACGAATTTTTGCCAGGCAAGTGGGTTTCTTTGTTATTTTAAAGTTCATTAGTATGTCTATTCCATAATTCAATATATATGCCACACTCGGTTAAAGGTTTCAGCATCCTAGATTCTGTTTTAACGAAGTTCTTGAAGATATAAATTGATCATGTAGATATTTTGAAATTTGACATGTGACTGTTTTGGTCGGTTTTTCTTCTAATTTATTCGAATTTGTAAGTTTTAAACTGCATTTAACAATAACAAAATATGTTTCTGTCAATGCTTTACAAATGGTTTAGTTCGCAAGTCCGAAGATAACGTTCAATACACAAAAATATCTTGTTCAAGCACATTTTGGTTGCAGACTTATACTTCAAGCATTTTTGGTTGCAAACTTTTGTGTCAATAATGTGGCATGCATATTTTTAGCGAGGAATAAATTATCTTTTTTTTTCTTTAAATAATTAGCAATATTAGGCAATTATACCCGTTCATCTAATAAGAAATATGTATACAAATTGTGCATGCGTGCAGATATATCCTAACACAGGGTCTTTCAAATAGATATAAAACACAATATGCTAAATTGAAGTATAGTTGTGTTTATCTTCATCATTTTTTCTCCTCGATATACTTCGATCTTTTCTTTTTACATTTTTTTTTATTTTGGCATGACTAACTGTAAAGGAAAAAAAGAAAAAATAGCAACAAACAGCTTTTATGATTGTTCTTTTTTGAGATTTGAAATAAATTTGATAATATAGTAGATAAAAACTATATTAACATTGACACAAGGGCATTATTCACATGTTTCTTTAAATTGTTCCTTATTATTGACAAATCAAAACATTTTCCAAATTCCCTAACTCGAACAATGACTTTAAGTTGTTTTGTCACGTATCAGTTAATGTGAATAACCAATCGTATATCATTTATATTATGATCTAATAATCGAAATCATCTTTAGAATACCAATTGACATAAATTATGATGTACATCAAATCCGAAATACTGTAATCAAGCATTTTTAACTTTTGGTTTGTAAAAATATTGTTAGTACATTTACATACTTTATGTCTAAAGCAACTGCTGATCAACACACAAATTAACATTTCTTGTGGTTTTGATAAACTTTGGAAATTTTTCCGAGTAACATCGTATGTGTGCACATGTCCTTATGTTCATGATGAAAATAATTCACTTACATACTCGTACAACAGTACTCTCACATACGTTTGTTTTGTATGTAGTTTTCATTTGCATTTTGATGACATATTTTAAGATTGAAGTATCAATAAATATTTTTAAATGCTATTATTTTGTTTGCAGGCTTTTACTGATGATTATAGTATTGAACTGAGAACCATGTAATTTGAAACATAAAATGCATAATTGTTGTAAAAGAAGACAGTATAAATAACATTTATAACAAAAACAAGTAACAGAACGTAAATGTCAATATAATTGCCATTGAAAATAGGTTAATAAATATAACCTTCTTTCACTCCTTTTGCAAAATTTAACTATGGATTTCAATAGAGTAAGAATAAGTTTGCAACCAAAAATGCTTGAAGTATAAGTCTGCAACCAAAATGTGCTTGAACAAGATATTTTTGAGAATTAAACGTTATCTTCGGACTTGCGAACTTAACCATTTGTAAAGCATTGACAGAAAGTTAAATGCAGTTTAAAACTTACAAATTCGAATAAATTAGGAGAAAAACCGACCAGAACAGTCACATGTCAAATTTCAAAATATCTACATGATCAATTTATATCTTCAATAACTTCGTCAAAACAAATCAAGGATGCTGAAACCTTTAACCGAGTGTGGCATATATATTGCATTATGGAACAGACATCCCAATGAACTTCAAAATAACAAAGAAACCCACTTGCCTGGCAAAAATTCGTTCACCCGTTTTAAAAAAATCACGCCATATTTGCCATTTTGTCAAGTTGCAACCAATTCGCTCGCTTGAACCAAGTGTGCAACCACTTCACGTCCTGCCCCTTGTATATAAGACATTAAAGGCATCTGACCCGTTACCAAATCTAACTAAAATAAAACAGCACACGTGTGCCCTCGCTTTACTTTATAAAAGGCGACTGTTTAAGTTTTTGAAACCAAAACTATGTCCACACAGCACTATCAAAATCATCTCAAAAGAAAAATGCAAACTTTAAAAGATAAATTTCTTCAAAACGAACTTGTTTCCTAGTTCTAAAAGTCAACAAATGGATATGTTGAAAAAAATAAGGTGTTTTATGACAGTTCAATGCAACAGTTCTTACAACGATGCGTTTTGTCCAAATGAGAAACAGTTCCCCTTTAGTTGGAAACAACGTAACAATAGGCTATGCACTGTATCTACGAAGGGAGTCAACGTTAGGACTTAACTTTGAATCATTTAGTAATAATTCCGTGCATGCGCATTATTTAGGAAAAACAAATATATTTCTTTCATACAGGCACTTCGGATTTACATGAATTCTTTTTTCAGAGCAAACAATTGTAAACTAGAGGCAGCAGAGACATAGCTTTATATACTTGCACCTTAGGTGAATGAGCTTGTTCCAAAGATATTCCCTGACAACATAATCAAATGCTAAAAGGCCCATTAAGTCTCCAAATATACATGTATGTTTATTTCTAAAAAAAAATTAATTTTGTCATCGTGTTACAGTTTTTAAAGGGTTACTCATTGGCCATATAGATTATATTTCGCAATAGGTATTATAATTATAAATCAGTGTTTTGTATGGAAGCCAACGTTCTACTCCGTTTACGTTTTCCTACTTTTTCGAAACATATGTGCACGTTCAGCGCTACTTTCTTCACCTGTTTAAAATCTAACATACTCTAAATCTGTTATTATTTACTACATCGATGATTGACCATTCTGAAGCATAATGTGCCTTTTAACAGTACTGTACTCAACAAACAAAAATCTAACAAATAAAAACACATAAACATGTTTTTCTTTATATAAAAAATCAATAAGCAACAAGTATAGATCTGCAGATTAATTATTCTTTATTGGTTTAATTTCTTGCTTTGCTTCAGTTTCTGATGTGACTTTATGTATGACTATATTTTATTTTTTCGTATAGACACACATAAAAGGTGTATTGACGTTTCCCTAGCTGGAGGACTCAATTGTATTATAATTGATTGAGTAACAGGCTTTTGTCTACGATATTTTGGGACAACCCTCGTATATCTACTGCTGAATTATAAAATATCAATATTTTCTTCTTAAACTCTTTTAAGAATAAAGTATAGATTGCTTTATGAAAGTGATTCGTAATTATGTTGCTATTATTTTTTTAAATCATGCACTTATGGATCCCTTCAGCACATATTGAGCTCAAATGCAATTTTGAGCAGTGATTCTTTCGATTTTAGCCAAATCTCAATAAATGTTTTAATCAGGATTTTATCGAATGTTAAGCATCGGTGTGTGGTGAGATTTCGTAAAATATCTGTATAGTGACATTTTCTGCATACGCATTGAATGTTTTGGCCACACCAAAACCCACGACGGAAAGAATATCTCGATGAAGACTGCATAGAATTCAAATACAAAAAATGGATAATATCGAGGAAATTAAGGAGGGAAGAATCACATTTCGATTTTCTTAAAAAAGGTTTGAATTTTAAATAACTGTTTAAAAAGTTTAAAACTTACTTAGCGATTGGCCTAATTTCACAGTCACATTTGGTGTTATGCTTCACATCTGGAGCAGCGGAAATTAACATATACTTTTACCGGTGCTCATTTTTGAGATCCATTGGTATATAAATGTTACCAGACAAGATTTAACAAGAGTACCGCATGCGGTGTTACCGCTCGTCTGTTAACCATTTCGTATAAATATTCAAGTTAAAAAGTAATGCCCCTTGTCCCAACAATGTATTTTCATGATATTAACGTATTCCAATTTTCATGTTGATAACTTTCATAGTTTTGAAATTTTTCTACTTAATAAGTAATTTTGACAAAAATTGTCAGTTAAAATGGGAAATTACTCAGAAAATATACCTTTAATTAAGAACAATGACCCTTGTCTATATAACAACTGTCATGATATACAAGTATTCCAAGTTTCATATTAATACCTTTCATCAGGGTCTTTCAAATTCTATTTGAAAGACCCTGCTTTCATAGTTGTACACTCATTTTAGCGAATAAGCAATCTTGACAAAAAAAGATAAAAATTAAGGGGCATAACTCCGAACATATAGCTTTCAGAAGTATGCCCCTTGTCGTACATCTGCACCAGGTATTCTATGTTTCGTGTTGAAACCTTGTTTGAATTATTGCTATGTTTGGTTTATACAGAAATTATTTTAGTTCGATTGTGTAGAAAGCTATAAGCTTATAGACACACTTTCGAATCTGTTCCTGCATGGAACCAACCAGTACTGAGCAATGAGTGTAAAGTTTCTTGCTCAAGGAAACAACGACTTGCCCCTGAAGGGGTTTGAACCCATGCGGCTAGCGATCATTAGATTACTAGTCCGATGCGTTAACCACTCGATCATGCCGCCACTTATTGCTACGTTTTAGTTTTTGCACGACGATCGACGATCATAATAGTTTCGACTTTTTCTCCGAAACAGACGAGCTAAAAATAAACAAAATGTGACATGACTGGTGCTGCTACATAAAATATTTTCTTTTCCAACCTTACCATAGATTATATTGTGAAGAAAACTACTTGAAATTTGAAATAAAGTCATTAAAAATCTCAAAGAAAACTTGTACTTGAAGTGTGTATAAATAGTAATAAAGCTTTAGTAATTATAACAAGATGATATTAGTTTTAACCATGAAGATGAAGTGGCTAAAGTAATTGAAAAAAGATGTTATAGTTTCGATCGGCACGACATTTATTGTTTTCTAGCATGTTTGCTTTGTGATGATTTAAGTTCTTTATATATTATTTTTTTCTGGTTTGGTAGTTCCTTATTGCTACTCAAATAATGTTTTAATCTCCCTTAGGATACGTTGTCTGCTTTTTAAATTTATCTTTTGACGTCTTATCTGTGATATGCAGCTAGGCTTCGTTTAGGACACAAGCTTTCTTTTATCTGGGAACATATATAGGCCACTTTTCATGGAATATGGCACGACTTGTTGTATTGAAGGTTCCATGGTAACAGTCGTATGAGCACATAGATGTATGTATGTTTCTAATTTCAATATTTCTTCTTTGTGGTTTTCAAAAAGTTAATTTTTGCTTAAGTTGGTGGTAGGGGCGAGGACTCTAGCTTGACAACTCCAACATTGTATCTTTAATTCCCGTCTGAGGCTGCGTTCGAATAACACCTTGCTGCACTTAAATTAATTGTTCTCATTTATTTTATTTATACCGTCCACGAACAGCTAGGATCAATCAAACCATTGATCTTGCAACATTTTCATTTATTCCGTGTTGGATTCCGTTTTTTTCCGTTTTATTTCCAAAGCACTACACAAAGTGTTTTATTCTGTATGAAATGTTTCGAGACAAGAATTCTACAGATAGTAAATTCATCAAAATTAATAATTAGATATAGGCTAATTACAATAAAATGATCTGATAATAATCTGTTATTATCACAGATGGCCACTTGAAGAAAATATTGTAATTATTTATTTTTTTAGAGGAGATACCTCTTGATTTTTTAGGTCAAAATTGAAAACGGCACATATCTTTAATTGAGTCTGTATTGAAAATATCTTTTCAATGATATTTAACACTTCTATAATTGATTTGACATTTTGGCGTGTAAAGTGTATTGGTTCCGACCAAAATTTCTACCGTACGTGAGCCCTATACTATTTATATGACCCTGTGTGACGACAACGTTATGTTTATTTTTCGTTAGATATTATACATTTCCAATATCAACTTCCTTTTCCGCTTGCTTCTCGTGTCGCCGGTTAATATTTCACGGTAAGGTGAGAATATTTCATCATTATAAATGAAATAAAGCATATCTGTATTAAGAGAAGATACCATTTGATAAAACATGGATTATTGTTGAATTTATTTCATTGCTGTCAGATCCTATCACTTTGTTTTCATCATGAAACAAGACATGGAACTCTTCTTTTTCTTTGCATTTTTTGAAAAAATTGATTAAAATCTAGATCTAGTGGAAAAATATTTGGTTAAAAGTTGAAGTGAAAACTTATTGGCACAAACTTTTATCTAGAGCACTGTTTAATATATATGTTTGTGTGTGGTAAATTTCATGTCATATTTTTATTTGTTCATTTATTTGGTTGACTTATTAGATGGCTCATCCACTACTTTTTGATGGTACCTGGACCCAGCAATGGAAGTATGAATCTGCAGAAGCATTCTACCAGCAGGTTTTATCTGGAACAGGTGGAGCACAGGTAAAGGGAAAGGCTTGTCACAATTATTAAGGGTTTGAATGTGCACACTTTCTTTATTGAAATGGTGTCTGTAATTTTCTTCTGTTATTACTAAAATGTCTGCTTATTATGGCATAAGGATGTATTTAAGACTGGTCTGTAATAATGCAAGATCTGCAGGGCTCGCGCTGGCAGGAGCCAATGAGCAAATTGGCTCCAAAATTATTAAATTGGCTCAAGAAAATCATGATTGGCTCCAACTTACGAAAAGTATGACTTTTGGAATATCCAGTCTAAATTTAGCATTTGCTATTTTAAGAATGGAAAAATACACGTTTGGTTTTCAATATACAACTTCCGCTTTACCGCTTCTTATCACAAAACACAGCGACACAGTCTCCTTTATGTGGGGTCATTGACTGGTCTATATTTGTTACTTCCCTTCCAAATAAAATATCGTTATAAACAGTAACACAGTCTAATACATTGACCTCATGGTATGTTTACATGTTTATCAGCTGATAAATATGACACTTATTGGTGTGATAATACTTGGCAGATTGTTAAATGTGCACTGGATAATTGGTCTTTACATTCAATATGAAACAATAACTAGCGGCATCTTAAGATTATCGCCAGTCATATCAACAGTTTGGTTATGAAATGGACGACTTTACGGTAAGTTTGCATTCATTAAATTTTATTGTTGTTGATAAAAAGATAAACTTATAGAATTTTAGTTGTTTTTTTTAATTGCAAATTAAATCTGACCTAATAATGGCTAAAAAAACCAGACCATAAATTTGACAAGGAGTATATTTGACATTTAATATTCCTGAAAAAAAATTGACCTTACTTTGTACATAACCTCTGTCTGGAGCATTCATTTACAAATGACATAATTATGGCTGTGAAATGTTTAAGGAAAATTCAAGAAGCATACACAATATTTTTAGGAAACTTATGCTAATTACTTTACTCTTATAATGAATAGTATGTCATTTTTTCCTGAATTATGATTAGTTTAGAACTTTTCAATATTGTTTTCTTTATTAATAAATACTCTTCTTACTCTAAAATGTTTCTGTTTTTATAATTTCAGATACAGATAGTCCTCAAACGAAATTTTTGGCATTAACCAAGCAAGCTGAAGCAGCACATTGGAATTTGGTTCTGATGTCACTGTCATGCCACTTAGATTTTATGAAAACATTGCTGACCAACTTAGCCTGGAAAATGTTATAGTTATTGAGCTACAAGCTTTTATGATGAGTTTTAATGTGATAAAAAATGTAGCTACCAAAATAAAGTTGGATATAGTTTATGTTATTTTTTTCTAAATAGCTCATGCCTTTTAAAGTGTTCCATACATGAACTAATGCAATAAGTGAGTCTGACAATTGAATTCTGGTTATTTTGCAGTACCATTGCCTTTTTGAAAATAAAATACAGGCATGCAATTTTCGCCGCGAAAAATTGGCTCAAAGAAAAAATCTGCCAGTGCTAGCCCTGATCTGGCAAAAATGTCTGCCGATTCGTGACAATGTCACAATATTTAGCAATGTTGGTGTGGCGGGGAATCCTTTTCCTTTGTAAGTGAGAGATCAGAAAAGTGGAGCAACCTGCTTTATAAGCACATTAAAACATTTTCAGTTGTGAACATAGTCCTGAAGATAAAGAGTCATAAGACTTAGGTAGCATGAAACAGTCTGTCAAGTTAAATTCAAATTCATATTTACTAAAAACCATGGAATACCATGGATTTTCTTTAATGTAATTAGAATTTGTATTTTTCTGGGCACATTCAAAATGTGTCTTTTTCTTATTCAACATAGGATAAGGTTTCAGCTGAGGCCATCCATAAAAAATTTTTTGTTTGTAGTGCTCCGACCGACCCATGAAAATGGCCCCGACTCTAAAAATTTTTTACACCTTCGAAGATTATTTTTTTTTTTTTTTTTTGAGATCATTATGTACCCATTCTGTTAAAAAGATCTTTCTCCAGTAACTTTTCAGACAAATTTTGAACTGAGAAGTAGAAGAGTAAAAGAATTTTATTCCAAAACCAAAATAAACGCACGCTTTTCATCGATATTTTGCCAAACTTCGACCCCGAACATCGGCGATTTCACATTCGCCAGAAACCTTAAAATTTCGCAAAGGGCATAAAAATTCTCAGTTTCCAAGCCAAACATGTGAATGAATTGTTCTTTTGTTAATTATTTAACATTAAATCTTATAAAAGTCGATCCCCTTTTGAAGATATTAGCTAAAATAATTGCCGATGGGATGAATCTCTTACACACTGTGTGAAGCTGTACTCGATTTTCCTATTCATTCCACTAAATGCTGCATATATACGTACACGGTACAGTTTATGGAAATGATGCCCTCTTCAAGCTATTTTTACAAATATAAAGTTTTTGTCTGGACATATTAAACCAGAATTAAATTCGATTTATTTTTGATATAAAAGTGAAATAAAAACGATTGCAACTTTGTTATGTGAAAATGGACAGAAATGTTACCCTCGTGAATTTTTTTTTTACATGAGTTGACATATCTAACTTGAATACAATTGGATTTTTTTTGGTTTAAAAGTGAAAAAAAAAGAGATTGCAACCTTGCTTCAAAGATAATATACATACATGTACATCAATGAATGTTAAAATGGATTACCCTCCGTATAACCATAGGCCACCGCTGTATACATACATTTTTACACAAAATAATACGAGAAGAACTTTATTGTTGACATAAATTATTTTAAATCATTTTGCCATTCAGGATTGTCAGAAAATGAGGTTACACTAAAATTTGTTGAAAAAACATTTGTTGAAAAAACAAGTTAATTTATAAAATTTTCGCGGAAAAATCGCTGGAAATTAATGGGTCTTTTCCCGATACTTTTAAATAAGTTATACCTGTGTTTTCTTTATAAGAATGATAATTATTCATTAATTTTACCTTTTCCTAAATTGTAATTTAATAGCCATATTTTTTAATCTTTGATGCAAACAATCGCTGTTTATTAGCTCACCTGTCACAAAGTGACAGGGTGAGCTTTTGTGATCGCTTTTCGTCCGGCGTCCGTCCGTCGTCCGTCCGTCCGGCCGTCCGTCCGTCCGTAAACTTTTACTTTAAATGACATCTCCTCATAAACCATTAAGCCAATTTCATCCAAACTTCACAGGAATGTTCCTTTGGTGGTCACCTTTAAAAATTGTTCAAAGAATTTAATTCCATGCAGAACTCTGGTTGCCATGGCAACCAAAAGAAAAAACTTTAAATATCTTCTTTTAAAAAACCGAAAGAGCTAGAGCTTAGATATTTGGCATGAAACATCTTCTAGTGAGTGTCTACCAAGATTGTTCAAATAAAAGCCCTGGGGTCAAAATTGGCCCCGCCCCAGGGGGTCATTGATTTTCCCTATATGTATATAGTAAAAACTTAAAAAATCTTCTTTTAAAGAACTCAAAGAGCTAGAGCTAAGATATTTAGCATGAAACATGTTCTAATGGGTGTCTACCAAGTTTGTTCAAATAAAAGCCCTGGGGTCAAAATTGGCCCCGCCCCAGGGGGTCATTGATTTTCCCTATATGCATATAGTAAAAACTTAAAAAATCTCCTTTTAAAGAACCGAAAGAGCTAGAGCTTAGATATTTGGCATGAAACATCTTCTAGTGAGTGTCTACCAAGTTTGTTCAAATAAAAGCCCTGGGGTCAAAATTGGCCCCGCCCCAGGGGGTCATTGATTTTCCCTATATGCATATAGTAAAAACTTAAAAAATCTTCTTTTAAAGAACCCAAAGAGCTAGAGCTAAGATATTTAGTATGAAACATTTTCTAATGGTTGTCTACCAAGTTTGTTCAAATAAAAGCCCTGGGGTCAAAATTGGCCTCGCCCCAGGGGGTCATTGATTTTCCCTATATGCATATAGTAAAAACTTAAAAAATCTTTTTTTAAAGAACCCAAAGAGCTAGAGCTAAGATATTTAGTATGAAACATTTTCTAATGAGTGTCTACCAAGTTTGTTCAAATAAAAGCCCTGGGGTCAAAATTGGCCTCGCCCGAGGGGGTCATTGATTTTCCCTGTATGCATATAGTAAAAATTTAAAAATCTTCTTTTAAAGAACTCATGGAGCTAGAGCTAAGATATTTAGCATGAAACATGTTCTAATGGTTGTCTACCAAGTTTGTTCAAATAAAAGCCCTGGGGTCAAAATTGCCCCGCCCCAGGGGGTCATTGATTTTCCCTATATGTATATAGTAAAAACTTAAAAAATCTTCTTTTAAAGAACCAAAAGAGCTAGAGCTAAGATATTTAGCATGAAACATGTTCTAATGGGTGTCTACCAAGTTTGTTCAAATAAAGAGCCCTGGGGTCAAAATTGGCTCTGCCCCAGGGGGTCATTGATTTTCCCTATATGTATATAGTAAAAACTAAAATAATCTTCTTTTAAAGAACTCAAAGAGCTAGAGCTAAGATATTTAGCATGAAACATATTCAATGGGTGTCTACCAAGTTTGTTCAAATAAAAGCCCTGGGGTCAAAATGAGCCCCGCCCCAGGGGGTCATTGATTTTCCCTATATGTATATAGTAAAAACTTAAAAAATCTTCTTTTAAAGAACTCAAAGAGCTAGAGCTAAGATATTTAGCATGAAACATGTTCTAATGGGTGTCTACCAAGTTTGTTCAAATAAAAGCCTGGGGTCAAAATTGGCCCTGCCCCAGGGGGTCATTGATTTTCCCTATATGTACATGTATATAGTAAAAACTTAAAAAAATCTTCTTTTAAAGAACTCAAAGAGCTAGAGCTAAGATATTTAGCATGAAACATGGTCTAATGGGTGTCTATCAAGTTTGTTCAAATAAGAGCCCTGGGGTCAAAATTGGCCCCGCCCCGGGGGTCATTGATTTTCCTTATATATGTGTATATCAAAAACTTAAAAAGTATTCTTTGGAAAAACCTAAATAGCTAGAGTTTAGATATTAAGCATGAAACATCTTCTAGTGAGTGTCTACAAAGTTTGTTCAAATAAAAGCCCTGGGGTCAAAATTGGCCCTGCCCTGGGGGTCATTGATTTTCCTTATATGTGTATAGGAAAAACTTAAAAAACATCTTTGAAAAAACCCAAATAGCTAGAGTTTAGATATTAAGCATGAAACATGTTCTAGTAAGTGTCTACAAAGTTTGTTCAAATAAAAGCCCTGGGGTCAAAACTGGCCCCGCCCCAGGGGTGTCATTGTTTTTAACTACATGTGTATAGTAAAAACTTAAAATATCTTCTTTAAAAAAACACAATGAGCTACAGCTTAGATGTTTAGCATGAAACATCTTCTTATGGGTGTCTACCAAGTTTGTTCAAATAAAAGCCCTTGGTTAAAATTGGCCCTGCCGGGGGTAGGGGAGGGCAGATCATTGTTTTTCATTATAAGTGTGTACATCATGAAACGTTTTCTTATAGATGTCTTCCAAGTTTGTTCAAATAAAAGCCCTGGGGTTTAAACTGGCCCCGCTCCGGGGGCCTACATACAGGTGAGCGACCTTAGGGCCATCATGGCCCTCTTGTTTTTTCTTTTGTTTTTGTTCCTTTTTTCTCCTTTGTAATTGTCCGTACTATATTCCCTTTTAAACACCCAAATGAGTTTATTAATTGTTGCTCTCTTTAATCCAACTTTCAAAACAAACTCCAGGCTCCAGGACCTGTTGATTACACACTATACATGTACACAGCAGGTGACGTAGATTTTTCTACATACTACGCTGCCATATATGGTAAGTACACACGACTGTGTGACAGGTGTAACATACATAATGATCTATTATTATGCTGGCTAGTGAATGGAGTTAATTAACTGGGTTAATACAGTATCGTTTGTTGGTCAAGTGGCAAGGTAATCTAAATTTTCAAGTGTACCCCTAAAATTAAACAAAAAACAGACAAACAAAAAAGAAAAAAAACAAAAACAAACAATAACAAAAAAAACAAAGCTAAAAAATTCTGCTGTTAGTCATTTAATTTCAAATATTTATATTCTAACCAAATTAATATTATTTGCAGGATAATTCCTTTTATTCAATAGTAATGAGAAATGGATTTGCTACACCCCTCCCCTCTTTGTGCATTTAGAATCTGACAAGTCAGGACCAGTAAATGAAATCTTAGGTGGTCATCAAAAGAGGTGGTAATCATTGATTTTACAAACAAAACACCTATACTTGCAGTGTAAATTGCATTTTCAAATAACACTGAAATACTGGTATTGAGACTAATTCTGTTCTATTTTCTCAAAGGGCTTAATCTGTCAAGTAATCATATTGTACAGTATATATTTTTCTCAGACCAGTTGTTTTATTAAAAGTATTGTCACCTTTTTCCAGACATTGTTAATTTCAGTAAATAAGGAACAAGTTCAATTATTTTGTTTAAAGATGAAATAAATGTAAAATAAATAACAACAAAGTGTTGCATTGTATGTCTGTTATCATTTGAAATATTAAACAAAGAAAATATCAACAGAAATACATTTGCCTACATATTTTAATTTGTCAAAATACAATGCACAGTATATCATGGGAGACTATATACTGTGTATTGCTATACTCGGTATGCTCCAATTTTGTAACAATTTCAAAAAAAAAAAAAAATCCCCTACCTACCTACCCACCTCTTGAACATAGGGTCGGAGCACTACAAACAAACAATTTTTTAAGGATGGCCTGAAGAATACAACATAAATGTTGAAAGAACTAAAGTACTAACACACAGTTTAGAACAAGAAAACACTTTTTTATCCTAACTGGTAGTGGTAGAAAATAAACAATGTTTCAAATACATATACAGTAGAATCCCTACTTAAGACCACCCTGGAATTAAGACCCCCAGCTATTAAGACCATTTTTTAATAATACAGAATTTTCTGTTCTTTGTATCAATGGTTACATGATCCAGAATTAAGACTACCTCACTTTTAAGACCACGAGATTCAGTCCCAGTCTTTGTTTTGTTCTTTATTTGACCCCACTATTGAGACCTCTGATTTAAAGTTAATACCTACAAATATCTTTAATTTATAATAAAATGTTGTTATTATCTGCTTGAATGCAGGCAATGAAACGCATGACACTTGATTTCAAATTTTCACAAGATGTCAAAAACACCATATACCATTGGGATATTCTATAGAATAAGGTGAGAAAGTAAATTTTAGTGTGGTTGAATATTGCTTTAAGCACATTTATTATGCAAATAATTAATTGATTTCTTATTGTTGAGTGAATTATATTCATCATATGATAATGAAATCAGACCAAATAGAATTTAATATTAAATTTCTTTCTTCCCATCAGATGTTAAATTATAACAATACATATGATACTTTTATATTGTATTTGTAGATTAAGATACATATTGTTTGTCCATACACAATGACTCAAATAGACCATGGTCAGAAAGTGTGTATGCAATGATAAGAATATTCACAAATAAAACCAACCCGCAATTAAGACCAATTTGGTACAGTCCTGATGGTGGTCTTAATTGAGGGTTTTTACTGTATATGAAGGAGACGTTGAAAAATTACTCTAGTGAATCATCTGCAAGAGTATTTCAAAACATCAAAATTATAAGTACTTACAGCTGCAATAAAAAAATATCAGTAAAAACTAATTATAAAAAAATATATCCCATGCAAATTATCAACATTGTTTACCAATTGATGGCCAGGTCTTCATTAAGTTCCAAAATTTGCAAGTCCGAGACTGAACTTTCAAAGGAGAATGTTACATGTTTTTGTTGATATTATGGTTTATTGCTCGTTTGTGTTATATTTGTTTTACCAAGTTTTCAATTTGGAAATTCTAGCAGGGATCGAAAATTCCACTCGTCCGCTCATATTTACGAGTAGACATTGATGCAGGACAAGTCAAAATTGTTGTCCAGCAAGATGAGCAGTAATTTGCTGATGTAATAGAAAGCCAAAAATATCAAAATCAGTTTGTCTACATTTAACGATGGAAAACAGGAAACAAAGCTTGTGTTTTAGGTTATTTATAATTTGCAGACTTTATAAAGCTCTTAAAGCATTGTTAATTGGAAACGGGTGTGACTGGAATGTGCCTGACAATGCTCTATAAAGTGCTCGATTTATACATAACCTAAAACACAAGCTTTGTTTCTGGTTTTGGTTTGTTAAATTTACGTAAATAAATTGATTATGAGAAGTTTTAGTGGTCTCTTGCATTGGCGAGGTTGTATTGCATCGGCAAAGTTTATCTTGAAAATCAAATAAAAATGCCAGATGAGTAGCAAAGCATGCCAGATAAGTAGAAAATTGTAGCCACTCGTCCTACAAGACCAGTGGCTTTGAAATGAATTTTCGATCCCTGTTTAGTTATTAGATTTCACCAGCAAAAACTGATCTCTTTAGGATAGTGTACCAAGAAACAAGGGAAAAAATGATAGATGTACTAATATACGGCTAGCGTTATTGATTACTGTTTTATATATTTTTAGTATTTTTTCACAGGGACCACATTTCTTTTACATCACCTTGAATAAGACCTGATAAATTACTAACTGTTAACACCAAACATTAGCTTACAATTATCCTTGCTATATTTCTATAAAGATTTTTTTATGGCAATAACATGCATATTTAATAAAATGAATATCCAAATTTCGTAACATATTTGCTCTATATTTTAGACTACTTAATGATTTAATCTATTTTAAGAGGCCGCTTATTTATATTTCTTTTTAGAGTCAGGGAACAAATGTATCACATGGCAGCAACTTAAAATCAGAAATAGCCAAAGCTCGACAAAATATCCATAAGGCTCTAAACGATGTGAGTACAGATAACTGTCGTACCATCTTTCACGCATATCTTAACATTTGGGGTCTTTCATGGAATAAATCTTCAATTCTTTTACCCTTAGTTCTTTATTTTTCATTCTTTCTCTACATTAACAGCTGTCTATATTGCTTTTAAAATACTGTGGAAATTTGTAGAGATTAATGGGCAAAAGTTAAAAGAATAAGTAAGCTTTGCTGACTTTGCTAAATGCTTTAATTAATTTTTAGCTCGACTATTCGATAAGAATAAGTAGAGCTATTGCAGTCACCCGAGCGCCGGTTGGTGTCGGCGTAACCACTTATGTTAAAGTTTTTGTAATAGTTCAAATATTTTTAAAGTCCATTGACATATGGCTTTGAAACTTTGCACACTTGTTCACCATCATGACCCCAACTTGTAGACAGGAGGAGGTAACTCTATCAAGCATTTTGACAGAATTATGCCCCTTTTTCGACTAAGAATTTATGTTAAAGTTTTTGTAATACCTCAAATATTTTCAAAGTTCATTGACATATGGCTTTGAAACTTTGCACACTTGTTCACCATAATTACCCCAACCTGTAAACAGGAGGAGGTAACTGTATCAAGCATTTTTTTTTACTATCAAGCACTAAGAATAGTCGAGCGTTGCTGTCCTACCGACAGCTCTTGTTCATTTAAATTTTTATTTGTATGTTACAATTGTTGATCTTGCATTTTTTGCTCGACTATTCGATAAGAATAAGTAGAGCTATTGTAGTCACCTGAGCGTCGGCGTCAGCGTAACCACTTATGTTAAAGTTTTTGTAATAGTTCAAATATTTTCAAAGTCCATTGACATATGGCTTTGAAACTTTGCACACTTGTTCACCATCATGACCTCAACCTGTAGACAGGAGGAGGTAACTCTATCAAGCATTTTGACAGAATTATGCCCCTTTTTCGACTTAGAATTTACGTTAAAGTTTTTGTAATAGCTGAAATATTTTCAAAGTCCATTGACATAAGGCTTTGAAACTTTGCACACTTGTTCACCATCATGACCCCAACCTGTAGACAGGAGGAGGTAACTCTATCAAGCATTTTGACAGAATTATGCCCCTTTTTCGACTTAGAATTTACGTTAAAGTTTTTGTAATAGTTCAAATATTTTCAAAGTCCATTGACATATGGCTTTGAAACTTTGCACACTTGTTCACCATCATGACCCCAACCTGTAAACAGGAGGAGGTAACTGTATCAAGCATTTTTTTTACTATCAAGCATTAAGAATAGTCGAGCATTGCTGTCCTACCGACAGCTCTTGTTAATATTTTTTATCATGAATTCTAAGATCATTTAACGCTTGCAAATTACACATCTGAAATCGAAAATACCTTGGTAAAGAGCCAGTCAGCCTGCATAAATTTTCATCTTGATATCTCCTAAGTTGGTAATGGACAGTACCAAAACTGGAAGTTGGACATGCCCATTTGAGAAATTCGGCAGGTTACATGTATGTGTGAAAAAAATAATGTTAGGTCTGCTGTCATATGACTTGTATCGCAACAGGTAGTTGTTATACATTCTAGTTGAAAGATGTAAGTTGATTTCTTGTAACAATTGAGTTAAATATTTTTCTTTTACTTTTGAATGTGTAAACTTGAGATAGTTTCAAACCTGAGCTTTGCTTTGTAATTTTAATACACAAAATGCATTTATTTGGGTGTTTGCTGTCATTTTTACTGTCAGACTTCTGGTTCATTTTTCTGACTTCATACCACTTGCCTCTCACTGTTGTGGATTCTGTCATGTGAGGAAGCTATCCACCTTACTTAACATTGATTGTTCTACTCAGGGACACCTGAAGTCTTCTTCAACCAATAATCATTGAACTCGCCATATGACATTTTATGATTTACAGACTCAGTGTTGCCTTGGTGCAACATAAAACCCACCAGAAAAAAAATATGTTTGTGTTTAACTGAACAAAGGGTAACTTTTGAAACATTAAATTATTGTGAAGAATTTATGTTATTTGTTGATATTGACCGTCTGCACAGAGAACCAATAGAGTGGAGAAATTGTGTTCCTGGTCTTAATGTGTCTGTTTTAAGGATTTTTAAAATGAAATTTTGAAAATTTATAAAAAACATTTTTTGGAGAGGGAGGAATATTGATTATGAATGAAATAATTATAAAACTTGGAAAATTAAAAAAGATATTGAGTTAACAAATTGGAAGAGTTTTATAGGAATCTTGATCATGTATAATTGTAAATTATACAAGGGTAAAATTAATTGAAATTTAGCCCAACTAATTTCTTGACAGGAAATATAAGAAATTCTCATGCTGATATTTCTCAGGGAGGAGAGATTACATTATTTTTTACTTTCTATTCCATAAGAAATTATAATGAAGGTATTTGATATAGACAGCTGTTGATTATAAGGGCGTTTATTTAAAAAAAAATTAAATAAAACTAAAAGGGCAAAATTATTCCATGTCTTTTATACTTGATGCATGTTTCACCAATGAGATCTCATAAAAATTCAAAAAGTTCACTATACAGGGTCTTAAGATAACAGGTTGTTTGTCGCAAATTGTTTTCCATTGAGTTCATAGGTACCACTGAATATTTGGTATTGAAACTCGAGCTGTATAATCTTGTGTAATGTATATTTTTGGAGAAGTTGTTGATAAATGTAAAAGGCCTGTTTGTCTTCCCTACAATCTGTGAGATTAATACCTTGCAAACAAGTAATTGTCTTATTTATAGGGGTTAGAAAAATTGGTGTTTGTAGGACTGTTCATTCTACTCAAGTGCAATACTGTTTTGGAGAAACAACTTGGGTCTCCTTTGTCTCTCTACTTTGATAGCTGGCTTTTAAGAAAGTCACATAAAGACATGTGTGTCAGCCCCTATACCCCCTCTCTTTACAACTTGTCCTGCCCTCCCCCAAACACCTAATGTACGGAAAAAAAGTTTCAGGATGGAGTAGATATGAAATTTGTAGACACACAACCTGTTATCTTCATATCCAGTTTGAAAATCGCTATTTCATACTTGCTGTAGATTGCCATGTGATTTCTGTTAGATTAATTTTTCCAAGATGTATAAATTACATTATTAATAGCATAATTGCCAACTTATTTTTGAAATTTAATAAATGTTAAAAAATATATTTTTGATTATAAAAAAGAACATTTACCATCAGAACATGTAATTTGTAAAAGTATTTTTTGTTTGTTACTTAATTAGAATAGAAGTACTAATTATACTTTTTTAAGACACATAATTATTTAACATTTCAAAATAACAATACTAACACTATTATTGTTTTTTCCCTCCCTTTCATTTATTGACGTTGTGTTCATTTAATGTATTGTGACTTTTGGTTTCTTTTTGAAAATCTGTATACCTTTTATGTACTGTGTGTATGTGAACACTTGTTTTATGCTTGGGTGTAAATACTATGCTTATTTTTCTTTCCTAAAACACCTTTCCTGTTTCACATATTTTTTCTTCTGTCTATAAAACCATACATAATTTGTTTCTTTGACACTATTACTCTACATTATAATCTATTTTACCTCTTATTATGCATTGAACAAATATTGTTGCTTACCATATATTGATTACCATATATTGATTCAAATGCTTATATTATCTCAATTAATTTCTTTATTTACCAATACTATATTAAAACATTTCACACTTGAAATTTGTTCATCTGTGACCTTTGCTCAACGTTTTTAAACTAAACAAAACACATGCTTTCTTGTTAACAAAACAAAACAAAATTTCTACCTTTGCTTGTTGTTAATTAACAAAACAAAATGCATTTCCCACCTTGTTGTTAATTAACAAAACATATTTCCTACCTTGTATTTTAACAAAACACATTTCCTATGTCATTAATTAACAAATCAAAAAAATTTTTATGTTGTAAATTAACAAAACAAAATACACTTCCTACCTTGTAAATTAACAAAACAAAACACATTTCCTACCCTGTTAATTACCATCACAATAACAAATTTCCTACCTGGTTGTTAATTAACAAAATAAAATACATTTCCTACCCTTTCTCAATGTTTAATGCTTTTGCTATATTGTTGTAACAATTTTGCTGCTGAATGTTTTTTTTGTTACGTCTTATTTATTTTTACCTTTTGTAACATTTCATTGTTATTTATCGAATATTCATTTTGTTCATTTTGTTAATTTAATTCTTATATGCTGGTACCCATGTTGTTGCATGTATCAATATATTCAGTTGGTTTGTGTTCATTGTGTTGTACAGGGAACCGGTGACAGTACTTCAGGGGGAGCAGTAGACCAACAAGTGCTCAACAGAATCAAGTCCCTGGAAACAGAAAACAAAAATCTCAAGAAATGTAAGCTGCTGTAACTTTTTATTCTTCAGTCTTTTCTTTCACCATTTTATAACAGGGGCCTTATAAAGTCCTCTTTACAATTCTTAAATGCAAGTTTTACAACTAAATTTCTTTAATTACTAGTACCACAAATTTACAATTCAGCAGACTGTCACCTAAGTCTTACCCTAAAATATTACAAGTTGATGAAATCAAAGTTTTTTGAAATAAGTAAATGTTAAGTTTTTATGGAAAAAAAAACTTTATTGTTAATTGATGATTCACACATTATGTTAATATTGTGTTTCATCTTTAACTATTTTAATGAAAATAATGTTTAAATTTCACAATTTCAAGAAAAGTCAGATTTGTCTTTCATAGATCAAAAAAGAAGCCTGGGAAAGACTTCATATCCATATAAAATACACTAGAAATGTGTACACATTTTCGAATTAAAATACAAAACCGAAGTTATAAAAATCTGTCTATATTTTGTGAAGAACAAATCTCAAAATTTGAATAGTTTATATTTCCTCTCTGCTGTCCAAAGTCTGTTAAAAGCAATAAGCAAAAGTATAAACCAAGAAATGAACATTGATTCCTTTATGTCTCTGAAATCAAAGGTTTTATTTAGGCCTAATTTTTGTTGAGACTGCAAGTAACTTACATATAATAATCATATCCATATTTGGTTCTTCAGCTTCCCAAGACCTTACATCCCTTGTTAAAAAATTGGAAGCAAGAGTGGCAGCCCTTGAGCTGGCAAATGGTGGTTCATCAGCCCCTGCCAGTAAACCAGCAGAAAAACCTGCTGCAAAAGATGAAGACAGTGATGACTTTGATCCTTTTGGTTCTGTAAGTACCTTTATCATTTGCTAGTGTACATTGTCATGTGAGCTTTAATATGGAGTAGCAATCTATCGAGGTGCCGAACTTTGTGATGAAGGAATGAGCAATGAAGGTCCTCTGCAATAGTAAAATTTGAAATAAATTTGAAACATGTTCATGATATTCGTTTGGATATTAAAATCACTATTTTGAATTTTTGCTGAAATTTTAGAAAGCTTGCGTAAATTTAAAGCTGATTTTTGTGTCCACCTTGATGATAGTGTAAACTATGTATAAAATTTTGATAGATTACTAGAAATAATTACATGTACATTTAAATTTAAATAATAAGATTTGTAATTTTAAAATAAAATTCTGGCTTTGGTAATCTTTTGTGACAAGATCATGATGTAGAAATTGCAATGCATTGATAAATTTGTTTCAAAATCAAATATACCCTCAGTGCAAGTTAATGATAAATTTGATTCACATATACTCCCAGTGAAAGTTCATGATAGATTTTATTCAAATATTCTCCCATTTAGATTTTATTCAAATATACCCCAAATGTGAGTTAAATAATAAAGAATTTTATTCAACTTTACCTCCAGTTGAAATTATCGAAGAACTTTATTCAAATATATATATACCTTCAAGGGAAGCTTAATGAATAATTTCATTCAAATCATTTACCATTGTTATATTTGCCCAGGAATCTGAGAGTGAAGATGAAGAAACCAAAAAGAGAGTAGCAGAATATACAGCAAAGAAAGCTAAAAGTAAGTAGGGCTTCCTTATTACTTGGTTATGGTTTTGTGTTAAAGTATCTTGTTTAAATTTATCACAATTTCAAAGATGAATACTTATACTTCTGCTGTTATGTACAGTAAAATATTATTCAATACTGTACAGCCTCAACAGAGCAAACCCTGAAGGTAATTGCTCTACAGAGGACAGCTTGTCTGAGATTGCACTTCACAATATGGTCTTGCATAAAATACTTTACTTTCTAATGCTTGCACTGGTACTAGAAAATGTGATTTTACACGGGCAGTGTTAAATAAGATGCATGCTTTAAATAACATCACTCTACTACCTTTGTGTTCGAGTTATATTGTTAAGCTGACATCATTTCACTGTTATTGTAATCCCCTTAAACTTGGAATGGTCTATTTAAATTTCAAAGCAGGAAAACTCCATTGGATAAATTAATAAGTTAGGCCTGTATTCCATCTATTAGTGAACGTGTAGGGCAAATGTAAAAAATCAAACAAACAATTTTATATTGTCAGTTTTGCATATTAGCGTAAGCGTGATGTTAGCGTGAAACACGAGCTCAAAGTCAATAGCTACATATACATGAAATGATTACTCATGCTCAGTCACGTTTCAGTTTCATGCACTCTCATGCATTACGTTCATCTCAAACTCATGTATGAATGCAATACTGGCCTAAATCATAGTTTGCTGTACTTTCCATAATGGATATTTAACAAGAATGTTATTTATTTACAGAAACTGCTATTATAGCCAAATCTAGTTTACTATTAGACGTTAAACCGTGGGATGATGAAACTGACATGAAGGAGATGGAACGTTTAGTACGGAGTATAGAAATGGAAGGTCTTGTCTGGGGCCAAGGTAATGTTTCTCTACTGTAGACATTTTGAATTCATTTTTAGCTCGACTTTTCTATGAAAAGGGGAGCTATCCTACTCGCCCCGGCGTCGGCGTCGGCGTCGGCGTTAGCGTTAGCGTTAGCGTTGGCGTCACACCTTGGTTAAGTTTTTCGTACCACCCCACTTTATTTCAGAAGTATTACAAGTATGGCTTTGAAACTTACCATACTTGTTCACCATCATAACCTCCATCTACAGACAAGAGTACATAACTCTGTCAAGGTTTTTGACAGAATTATGGCCCTTTTTTGACTTAGAAAGTGTATTGAGCTTGGTTAAGTTTTTTTGTACCACCTCACTTTATTTCAAAACCATTGGAGGTATTGCTTTGAAACTGACCATACTTGTTTACCATCACGACCTTCATCAACAGACAAGAGGACATAACTCTGTCAAGGTTTTTGACAGAATTATGCCCCTTTTTGACTTAGAAAATACATTGAATATGGGTAAAATCCACTTATTGCCTTAACCCTTTGAGATATTGCTTTGAAACTTTTAATGCTATTTCACATCATTACCCCCATCTGTACGCAAGAGAAGGTAACTCTGTCAAGGATTTGTTTTAAAAATTAAGGCCTTTTATCGACTTAGAATCTTGGTTAAGTTTTTTGTACCACCTCACTTTATTTCAAAACCATTGGAGGTATTGCTTTGAAACTGACCATACTTGTTTACCATCACGACCTTCATCAACAGACAAGAGGACATAACTCTGTCAAGGTTTTTGACAGAATTATGCCCCTTTTTGACTTAGAAAATACATTGAATATGGGTAAAATCCACTTATTGCCTTAACCCTTTGAGATATTGCTTTGAAACTTTTAATGCTATTTCACATCATTACCCCCATCTGTACGCAAGAGAAGGTAACTCTGTCAAGGATTTGTTTTAAAAATTAAGGCCTTTTATCGACTTAGAATCTTGGTTAAGTTTTTAGTACCAGTCCACTTTTTGACTGAACTGTTTGAGATATTAATTTGAAAGTTGGAATACTTGTTTACAATCATGATTCCCAAACATGTCCAGGAGAAGGTAATTCTGTCAAAGATTTTATTTGAATTATGGCCCTTAACTGTCAATGTTTTGTATTATAGGCAAGCACTAAAAAAGTCGAGCGCGCTGTCTTACGGACAGCTCTTGTTAGCTCACCTGTCACAAAGTGACAGGGTGAGCTTTTGTGATCGCTTTTCGTCGGCGTCCGTCCGTCCGTCGTCCGTCCGTAAACTTTTGCTTTAAATGACATCTCCTCATAAACCACTAAGCCAATTTCATCCAAACTTCACAGGAATGTTCCTTTGGTGGTCACCTTTAAAAATTGTTCAAAGAATTTAATTCCATGCAGAACTCTGGTTGCCATGGCAACCGAAAGAAAAATCTTTAAATATCTTCTTTTAAACAACCCTAAGAGCTAGAGCTTAGATATTTGGCATGAAACATCTTCTAGTGAGTGTCTACCAAGTTTGTTCAAATAAAAGCCCTGGGGTCAAAATTGGCCCCACCCCAGGGGGTCATTGATTTTCCCTATATGCATATAGTAAAAACTTAAAAAATCTTCTTTTAAAGAACCCAAAGAGCTAGAGCTAAGATATTTGGCATGAAACATCTTCTAGTGAGTGTCTACCAAGTTTGTTCAAATAAAAGCCCTGGGGTCAAAATTGGCCCCGCCTCGGGGGGTCATTGATTTTCCCTATATGCATATACTGATATAGTAAAAACTTAAAAAATCTTCTTTTAAAGAACCATAAGAGCTAGAGCTTAGATATTTGGCATGAAACATCTTCTAGTGAATGTCTTCCAAGTTTGTTCAAATAAAAGCCCTGGGATCAAAATTGACCCCGCCCCAGGGGGTCATTGATTTTCCCTTTATGCATATAGTAAAAACTTAAAAAATCTTCTTTTAAAGAACCCTAAGAGCTAGAGCTAAGATATTAAGCATGAAACATGTTCTAGTGAGTGTCTACCAAGTTTGTTCAAATAAAAGCTCTGGGGTCAAAATTGACCCCGCCCAAGGGGGTCATTGATTTTCCCTTTATGCATATAATAAAAACTTAAAAAATCTTCTTTTAAAGAACCCAAAGAGCTAGAGCTAAGATATTAAGCATGAAACATCTTCTAGTGAGTGTCTACCAAGTTTGTTCAAATAAAAGCCCTGGGGTCAAAATTGACCCCGCCCCAGGGGGTCATTGATTTTCCCTATATGCATATAGAAAAAAACTTAAAAAATCTTCTTTTAAAGAACCCAAAGAGCTAGAGCTAAGATATTTAGCATGAAACATCTGCTAATGAGTGTCTACCAAGTTTGTTCAAATAAAAGCCCTGGGGTCAAAATTGGTCCCGCCCCAGGGTGTCATTGATTTTCCCTATATGCATATTGTATATGCATATAGTAAAAACTTAAAAAATCTTCTTTTAAAGAACTCAAAGAGCTAGAGCTAAAATATTTAGCATGAAACATGTTCTAATGGGTGTCTACAAAGTATGTTCAAATAAAAGCCCTGGGGTCAAAACTGGCCCCGCCCGGGGGGGGGGTCATTGATTTTCCTTATATGTGTATAGCAAAAACTTGAAAATCTTCTTTGAAAAAACCCAAATAGCTAGAGTTTAGATATTAAGCATGAAACATCTTTAAGTAAGTATCTACAAAGTTTGTTCAAATAAAAGCCCGGGGGTCAAAACTGGCCCTGCCCCAGGGGTGTCATTGTTTTTAACTATATGTGTATAGTAAAAACTTTAAAAATCTTCTTTTAAAAAACCCAATGAGTTAGAACTCACATGTTTAGCATGAAACATCTTCTTATTGGTGTCTACCAAGTCTGTTCAAATAAACAAATAAAAGCCCTTGGGTAAAAATTGGCCCGGGGGTGGGGGGGGGCTATATACAGGTGAGCGTCCTCAGGGCCATCATGGCCCTCTTGTTTACACTTGCCCCTCACTGCTGTGGGTTCGAATCCCGACAAGGACTTCGGATTCTTTCATTTGCGGAAGCTATCCAGCTAGCTTACAGAACGTTGGTGGTTCTACTTAGGTACCCATTCGTGCTTGAAATAATGCACGGAAGGGCACCTGAAGTCTTCCTCCACCAGTAAAAACTGGAACTTCGCGATATGACATATACTGTGTCAATGTGACCTAAAACCCAAAACAAACAAAACAAACATGTGAGAAGGGATTCATCATTAGGGATAAATATTGTATAATGGAAATACTTGTTGGAAAAAAAATGTATCATTAAAATATGTAAATATACATAAAATTTTGTTTTTGTTTGACAGTTTGTATTTATTCAAACTATGATGAATTTATAAAATTACCTGCACTGATACTAAATTATTTTCTAAAAAAAATACTGGTACTGCAGCACAGAGCTAAAAATCTAGGACAGATACTGGTAATGGTACTGCATAACTTGACAAGAACTGGTACAGGTTCTTAAGTACTTTACCCTTAGCACTGATGCAGCTCTGGTCAGAATGATTTTCTCAGTCGAAACAAATCTTTTTATTCCAGATATAAAGTAGTTATAGTTTTGATTTAATAGGCTTAAAGTTCTACATTTGTTAGTTTAGATATTATTTTTACAAATAAATACCTACAATTATTATGTATTAGAAATGTACTTCCTTAATGGGAAAGTTGTAGTACTAAATAATGAAGGGGAAATCATTAAAGGCTGAAAGGACAGGTTGATAGAGCTAGTTCTGGAATGAGATTGTTGTAAAACAAAATAGCATGGTATGAATGGTTGTAACTTATTCATGTCACCAATTACAACTATTTGGCACAAAGCCCTTAAAATGTTAACCAGTTTGTTTTTTTCAAGACCTGAAAAGACAGACAGTGTGCCTTTTTTCAACAGTCTGGATACATTATCTGTAATAGGTCTATTGTAAACATGTCTGTGATGGGTGACATACCAAAACTACCCTATAAATAGCTTTGCAGATTGGTTCTATTGTTTTAAACATATTTTTTTTCTTTTACTTTTCAGCTAAATTGATACCAGTAGGGTATGGTATAAAGAAATTGCAAATAAACTGTGTTATAGAAGATGATAAAGTCAGTACAGACGATCTAGAGGAAAAAATTGTAGGATTTGAAGACCTTGTAAGCTTGTTTAACTCTTTGAATACTAGTTACTATAATTGCAGCCCCCTCATAACAGTTTTAAACCAGGCCAGCTTGTACTTCTGTGTATCCTGACCAATCTCTTTACTGTTGGTTGCACAGAGGAACATCTGAGGTCTTTCTGCACTAGAAAAGCTGGAAAGTTGCCATATAATTGCCATGACAGTTCAGTTTTTATTCTGTGATGGATTTGTCAAAAACATTTGGGAGCCTCTTCATCAGGGTTATAGTGTGTGTAATAGCAAACAACGTAAAATGTCATATGACTGAGTCACCATGTTAGTTGATCTTTGTCCTATGGACACATTTCTAGTCTATAAAAGTTTTATATTGTGAAAGATTATTCTCTGAATACAAGCAATGATAATGGCTGCCTTTTTTGTTCATTCGAATAACCAGACGGTCTCGGATCAAATTGTTTATCCTATACAAACTGTTAAGACTTAGTTTGCTAATGCATTTTAAAATTCTTATGATCTAAGGGAAATAATATTCAAAACAGCTGTAGTCAATTATATAAATCTAGAACATTCAGTGCGGATAGTGATTCTGACATGTAAATTTCATTTATTTTTCAGGTCCAGAGTATGGATATAGCTGCCTTTAACAAGATCTAAATGGACAATAAACTTTCTCATTTGATCAGACATTCATAACGTTGTCCAGTATTTATATATGACATTGCAAGTGTCAGGAAAATCAGATATTTTATAAAAAAAAGATAATTTATAATAAAGTATTATGTCTGATAGTCACTATATTCAGTGTAGTTGTGCCCCCTTCAAAGAAGTGCTGGGATCAATCAGTGTTACTATAGACCATATATACATTGTCCAACCTGTTCCAACTAGAGAACACTTTGGCTTAAAATTCGAAGATTTGGTGTAGATGTTGATCAGGACTAGTCGACAATCTGACTAATGTTCAGTTCTACTGATTTCTTTTATGTCGATCTGATGATGCCCGTATATGTTTTGCCTTTATAATTTTGACTTCCTGAGAAAGCTATTTTTAGCCAGGCAATCAAACCGGTTTTTACATAGGTATTAGAAGAAGTATCAAAATACTGTTATCCATGGAAGTTAAACAAATTTTTGTAAGAAAAAAAATGTTCTAAGTAATTTTTAACAAATTAACTTGAAATAATTGAGTCAATTTTTAATGGGCAAGATTGTTTTGCCAGTTTACCTGTCTGCATTATGGACAATGCCATGTTTGTTCTCGAAATGGTGAAAAATTGGTTTTAACGGTTAAAATTAGAAACTTTCAATATTATGAAAGCCCACCGATGATTGGCTGTGTGAAAGGTCACAAGAAATGACTTCGTATTTGGTCACGGTCAGATCTAAAAGCAGAACGTTATTTAGAGCTGATTTTAATCAGATTGGACTAGTAGACGTTCTCAGTCTGTCAAAGGTCAAGGTAACTGCGGCCTTGAGCACAGAATGCTTGTCTGACCAATTATGAGAGAATGCTTAGGCAATTAGTATTAAGATTTGGTGTGAATTTATTTTCATGACTAGTAGATGACCTTTGGGATAAAGGTCAATGCCACTCTGGCCTTTGTCCTACAATATATTGTGCTGTCCTATAACTAGACAATGTTTAGGTTACAAACCTTCGAGTTGAAGCTGAGGTTGGATATGGCTAGAAGGTCAACTTTCTTGATTGTCATTACTAATTTGTTCCCTTGAGGCATACATGTTTTAGGAACCTTTTTGTTTGGTCCTGTGTTGTAATTATTAAGGCAAATATGAGGCCCTGAAATTCTAAATTATATTCATTTTTCTAAATTGAGGCCATCTATTAACAAATATGAGGTGTTCTCCAAAGAAATACAATTATTAGTCCCCTACCGGTTTACCGGAGGGGACTTTAGGTTTACCCTCCGTCCGTCTGTCAGTCCGTCCGTCCACAAAACTGGATCCCGCGATAACTTGAAAAGTACTGAAAATATTTTTATGAAACTTGGTATATGGATAGATGGCAGTATGGAGATTATGCACGTCTTTTTCTTTTCTTCCTATGTTGAAAATTCTGGTTGCTATGGCAACAAATAGGCTGAAAATATGGCAAATTTTACACATAAACTGGATCCAGTGATAAAGCAAAAAGTACTGGAAATATTTTTATGAAACTTGACATATGGGTAGATGGCAGTCTTGAGATTATGCACGTCTTTTTCTTTTCTTCCTATGTTGAAAATTCTGGTTGCTATGGCAACAAATAGGTTGAAAATATGGCAAATTTTACAAATAAACTGGATCCAGTGATAAAGCAAAAAGTACTGGAAATATTTTTATGAAACTTAACATATGGGTAGATGGCAGTCTTGAGATTATGCACGTCTTTCTCTTTTCTTCCTATGTTGAAAATTCTGGTTGCTATGGCAACACATAGACTGAAAATATGGCAAATTTTACACATAAACTGAATCCAGTGATAACTCAAAAAGTACTGGAAATATTTTTATGAAACTTGACATATGGGTAGATGGCAGTCTTGAGATTATGCATGTCTTATCTGTTCTTCCTATTTTGAAAAAATATCAGTTGCCTTGGCAACAAATAGGCTTAAAACATGGCAAATATAACAATATTTGTGATTAGTCAAAAAGAGCTGAAAATTTTTATGAAATTGCATCTTTAATTCAAGAGTTATCTCCTGTTTAAGAATTTTGCTTTTAAAATGTTATATTTTGGTAACAGGGATGTTTCAAATATTAACTTTAGAGTGTCCTTCAGTCCGTCTGTCTGTCTGTTCATAAAAACTGTTTCCTGTGATCACTTTTAAAGAACTTTTCCAACAAATTTACTTAAAATAGAGAAAAATTGAAACATTAGTGAATGGCCCTTCAGAATGTTGATGGGGTTCTAACCAGTAGGGGACTTATGGATTGCTTGCAATACTATGATAATTGCTTGTTATCTCTGGTTCATGCCTGCTTTGTTCAATCTTGTTTCTATGATTTTTATGCTCCCCAAAGGATGAGCATATAGTCGCCGCTTTGTTTGTCCGTCCATCCGCTTTTCTTGTCTGGGACATAACACTGTAACAACAAGAGGTATCAAAATGAAACTTAGTAGGTAGATATATCTCATTGGGTAGATATACAGTGCACAAGAACCATAACTCTGCCGTGCCTAATTTTGGAGTTATTGCCCTTTGTTCATTTTTATACTTTGAACTTTGTATGGGACATAACTTTGAAACTATAAGAGATATCAACATGAAACTTTGTAGGTAGATAGGTCTCATTGGATAGATGTGCAGTGCACAAGAACCATAACTCTGCCTTGCCTTATTTTGGAGTTATTTGCCTTTGTCCATTTTTGTGTCGCTTTCAAAAGGCGACATATAGGGATTACTTTTGTCGGCGTCCCCTAAAGCTTGTCCAGAGCATAACTCAGTCACTTTAAGTTGGATTGACTTGAAACTTGGTATGCATGCTTCTTTCAATAACACGAAGTGCAGTGCACAAGGACCGGTACTCTGCACTTTTTAATTTATTAGTTATTGCCCTTTGTTAATTTTCATACTTTAATTTTGTCCGGGCCATTTCTCTTCAACTATAAAAGCTACGGACATGAAACTTCATATGATGATAGATCTCATTAAGAAGAAGTGCATTGCACAAGAATCGGTACTCTGCATTTCCTAATTTTTGAGTTATTTCCCTTTGTTAATTTTCATACTTTATTTTTGTCCTGGCCATTTTTCCTAATGTATAACAGCTATGGACTTGAAACTTCATAGGATGATAGATCTCATTAAGAAGAAGTGCAGTGCACAGGAACAGGTACTCTGCATTTCTTTCTTTTTTGAGTTATTGCCCTTTGTTAATTTTCATACTTTATTTTTGTCCGGGCCATTTCTCCGAAAGTATATAAGCTATGGAATTGAAACTTCATAGGATGATAGATCTCATTAAGAAAAAGTGCAGTGCACAAGAACTGGTACTCTGTATTTATTTTTTGAGTTATTGCCCTTTGTTAATTTGCGAACTTTATTTTAACCAGGTCATTTCTCCTCAAGTATGAAAGCTATAGACATGAAACTTCTTAGGAAGATAGATCTCATTAAAAAAAAGTGCAGTGTGCAAGAACCGGTACTCTGCATTTCTAATTTTTGAGTTATTACCCTTTATATATTTTCATATTTTAGTTTTGTCCTGGCCATTTCTCATAAATTTAAAAGATATGGACTTGAAACTTCATAGAATGATAGATCTTATTGATAAGAAGTGCAGTGCATAGAAACTGCTGCTCTTCACTTATTATTTTTTGAGCTATTGCCCTTTGTTAGTTTTCGTATTTCATTTTTGTCCTGGCCATTTCTCCTAAACTTTATTGTTCACAAGGCGACACATCCGACTCGCGGAGTTCTAGTTACACTTTGAACATTGTCCAGGACATAGTATGATAGATATAAACAAGACACTTTGTAAATAGATGGATCTCATTGGATAGACGTGCAGGGCACAGTACCGTAACGCTGCCTTGCCTAATTTTGGAGTTATTACCCTTTGTTCATATTTACATTTTGAACTTTGATATGAACAAGAAACTTTGTAGGTCGATAGATATCACAGGGTAAATGGGCAGTGCAAAGAACAGTAACTCTGTCTTGTCTATGTTTGGAATTATTGAACTTTGTCCTGGACATAACTCTGAAATTACAAGAAGTATACTTTTCTGTGTCCAAAACCCATTCGAGGAGTTTTTCTGGTTGGAATTTACTTCGCACCAACACATAAGAGGTCATATGGCGACTTCAGCTTTACTGGTGAAGGAAGACCTGGGGTGCTCTTCCTTGCATTATTTCAGACACAAAAGGGCACCTGAGTAGAACAACCAACGTTTCATTTCTACTCTTGTTGGTACTCGAGCTTAATAGTAAGACTAAACAGCGTGTGCCAATTATCACTCAATGTCTTGTAAAGCTGACCATTGACCCAAAAACGATTATAGATGACATAACAGCTGTTAATTAGCTGATATTATTTTACCTTCTTCCTTTGTATTTATGTAATACTAAGTTTATACAGAACTGATTCAAATTTGATTGTGTTGGGGAGCTACTATCTTAATAGACCAAATCTCGAATCCATGCCTGGAACCAACCATTATTTTTCCTTGTGATATGTACAGACCAATGGAATGCCGGTCGGTGTGCAAGAGATTGACATTTTAGTATAATGTTTCAAAAATTATGACAATAGCAGCTTAAAAGATAACGTAGAATGTCATTATTATTCATAATCTATTGCTCTTTAGAAACGTTTCATGTAGATGTATATTGTACAAGACACCATTAAAACACTCCTTGACCTATACCATAATATATCTTTAAATAAATTAAATCTGTAAAACAAAAATGAACAATAACGTAATTTTGAGTCTTTATCGATGTTTTTCCTCATTTGACATTTATCTTTTGCTTGTTTCTGTTTATGTCATAGTTTTTATGGTCGATCCTTAGAAGTATGTTTTCATTTAAACATCGAGATAAAAGGAGAGAGACACACAAAAAACATCCGTATTAGGAATAAACGGTTTATTATATACTGGTTCGAAAAAAAGTAAAAATATGTAAAAACTAAATATGTACGTTGTTCTAGCGTCTTCACACCGTATTACCGGTGCCAGTAATGACAGATTGCTGTTTTCATAATACACAAATAAGGACAATACAATTTCATTGCTTGGAACTTACTGCCCGTTGACTGGATAAACTATCGGGTAATTTGAAATCGTTTAGCCAGTTACTAGTATAATTTGAGCAGGTTAAAGGTGACAACTTTTTTTTAAATACATAAACATTTGTCGCATACGATCACACAATCCAAATATCAACCCAGTGTGTCATCTCTGCGTCCAAACAGACCTTGTCAGAAGAGAAAATACTGCCGTTGCAGGCAAAAATGTATTTTTGAGGCTACTTTAGGATGACAGTTTCAGTTTCAGTTTTTATTTAACCAAGGCATAAAATATGCAACTGGTTATAACAACAAACAAACAGAAAAATAACAGTCAAATCACTAATATCACAATATAAGAATACAATTATGACTAGCTAAATAAACAAAAAAGGAGATCATATTACTCATTTCAAGTACTGAATTCAATACAACATGTATTTTATATTGTAACAAATGAGAACGGAGAATGAGAAGTATTAATTATCTAAATTTTAACATAATGTTTTTACAAAATAAAGATATTAATTAGAAAAGGTCTGAAAGAGGCTGACATTTTGATAGAAAGCAAAATCGCACTTCTTGTTTATTTCTTTATACTTAGCGTACTTTTATGCAAAAATAAAAAGTTAATATGCAATATTTTCTATAATAGACAAACAAGTTATTAATGCGATAGGTGCATCGAAAACCAATTATTTTTCCGAGGCTGTCACTTTTAACCCGCTCAAAATATTTTAGGTACTGGTGAAACAGGTCCAAAATTACCTGAAAGTAGCATTATAACATGTATAAATACATTCCAAAGGAGACGTGTAATTATGTTGCTGACGTGAGTGATACCATTTAATTGCATAAAATTACGATTGAATATATAGTTCAATTCGAGGAGGTTATAATAATAGTGTTTTATAATCTATAACACTTGTCGATAATGGATCGCGCTCGGCGCTTTCGCTGAGATCCTAGCCTAGTTTAGATAAATTCATTTTTTTTTTATCTTTTTAAAACATATTTTCATATCATATGCATATAAACAGCTAACAAAACAAGACCTGATCAAGTATATTTAGTAAACAGCTTTATTGGTTTAAAATAACATTCAAAAGTAAAAAGGGCACGTGATCACCGTGCGTGCCAAAAGTCGCATGTGTAAATCAAAGTCTCAAAACAGGCAATGACTGTCCAAAACTCATTGCATAAACAGCAACAGAAAATACTGCTTCAAAACAAGACGGGGAGACAAATGCAACGATTTTAAAAGAAAAGGGAAGGCATTATGAAAAATTTAGCTCAATAGTGGGACATACATATGAAATATATTGGGTTTTTCGCCGAAGTTTATGACATTTTTTGTACCGTAAATTCATTGTTTTCAAAGTGTTAAGTAACGTGATCTAAGAAAAGCACAGTGCACTACCTAACAAACCTACGATATGTCAATATCGTTCGTTTTAAAGATCAATTAAATGCGTATGATACTCAAAATTATACGCGTTTCATAAATAATTCGTTTGAAAACCCATATATTCGTAAGAAGTAAGCACAATATTTATAGAGTCAGACTGGTATACCGACTTTCAAAATTTGATGGTAATGCGCAAATAGCTATGACAATATACGTGACCAGTCTACTGAAAAAGAAAATAAACAGGTCCTGTGACCAGAAATGAATAATGTTGTGTCGTCTGTATTTTTCATCGAAACTCGGGCACACACGTGAGAATGAATTACGTTTATGGGCGGAGCATGGTTGTGATGGATTCTTTGAACGACCGAATGCGCCTCAAAGACAAAATTGTAGCTAATGTGGCCAAGGCAGTTAAGAGTGTAAGTTCCATGAATTTTTGATCTCTTGACACTTCGATCTTCTTTTTAGAAAAATAAGTCTACACTTCTTAAATTGAAGATTATGTGTAGGCGCAGATGTTAAAATGGAGTTGCACAAAAACAGTACTAGTCTATTACTTTACAGTATAGTAAATAGGAGCACTAGTCCTCAGTAAAATATTTAAAAAAATAGCTGTGGACATAATCTAAAGTGTAGCCCAGTAGATCATATAAGATCTAATAATTATGATAATATCTTGCTAGCTCTATCAATTTAAAAGTTAAATGTTTAATTTGTCATAATTTGAGTTAAGAATGGGGCTGTGTATGGAATAACCTGTTGATACTGTGTCCCTGCCGATATCGCGGTTATCTGTACTTGTACTGAGTTGCATATGTAGACTAGTACCAACAATACACCGATAAACACTTTCCCAACTAGCAGACAACAGGCTATTCTTATCAGTAGGTTTTTGAGTAAAGATAACTGGTTGCGTATCTCACTGTATAAATCTTATGTAAAATGCCCTGACATATGATAGGTTTAACAGTTAATTTAAATACTTTGGTGTCAAAAGATGTGTTAAATAATATACTGTGACAAAGCTAAGATCCCAAGCTTTCCATTGATGTAATCATTTTTAAAATCGGACATTTAATCACAACAAACTAGCGGTTTAAAAACGGCTAAATTTGTATTGTTTTAGCATAAAAGATATCGATTTTACTCGAAGATAAGGGAAACAACTCATACTTTTTCACTCAATATACCTCGGTTTTTTACGTCTTTCATATGAAAAGTGTTTATGGGTGTATTATCATGGCAAATTGACTTAATGTTTTTTTTTTAATCATTTAACATACACATTGATGAATACATGTTCTTTAAAGGAAAGAAGCAATGGTTAATACCAGTAAAATAAGACTAAAGTCTGTGAAAGTAAGATCTTTTCTTAATTACAACATACCCAAGGGCACCTCTACTGGGGGAGGTGCTTAATCATGAAGGGTAGGCTTAAAGACTCTAATTGGGTGGGTTAGCAAGGTTATGATTGAGTGGTGCAGAATGGCATACATGTATTACATACTGGAAGGTTGTCTAAAACAGCTAATAGTGATTGATTTTTTTTTGTTACTTACAATTTAACAAGAACCAGCTCCTATGATGTCAGTTATTGGAAAAAAAAATACCTGAATTTCTCACTGCCAAAGATTTGTGTTAAAAATAATAAAATAATAGTATTTAAATCTAAAACTTCACTTGCTTGCTGTTTTCAACTTGACTGGAATACAAAAAGAAAACAGAATGCACAATGTTTGTTTAATTGTTATAATTAATTGAAAGTTTGTATATGACCAAGTGTATTGTTACTATTGTTATCTATACTCTCCGTGTTTTGGCATATCTAAATTAAATGTCCTAAAGATAATTTTACATGGTACTTCCTTTCCTGTTCAAATACATGTAGTTTAATTAAACATGTTAATTTTTGATAAGGAAATATCTTAAGGAAATTATATGCACCTGAGTTAATTTTTATTTTGTAGGTTCATATGGATATATGACCATTTAATATTTTTTTGAAGGCTACCATTGAAATAAAATCACAAGCAGCTGTTGTTAGTTTACATTTAATATTTTTAAAATGCTACTTTTGAAAAAGAAATCACAAGCTGTATTTAGTAACGTTATTAAATTATTTGAAAGATATCTATTGGTTAAACATTGTTTGACTTCTTTTAGATGTTTAATTAACATAATGGTTTTATTTTAGATACAAGAGCTGCAGATACTGTCTAATTCGGGGTCTGTTACATTAGGAAATTATGACTGGCAATGCCATAGGTTATGTGAACATTTGGATCACACATTACTTCATGGGTAAGTATAAAAAGGAATTGAAAGGCTGTGTAGAACTAATATAGAGGATTTAAATATTATCCATTATTATTATTAGTGACTATTCAATTTAGTTTTAGTAATCTTGTAACAAAGTCTTGTGGCTCTAAAGCAGGGTATTGAGAAATAAAGACTTTGAACTGTTGTTTTGCTCCTCTAGAGCATACAATGTATATTGTCACCTTTGTGCAATACATGTCACTGGTTAACTCCTATTAAAATTTTGAAACTGCACTAAGGTGATAAAATAATTAATATAGTTCCCTCGTCTGTCAGTTCCTTTTTTGTCCAATTTAATTTTTCAGGGGCTACTAAATGGTTAAAGGGACTCCACTGAGGTTTTTTGACATTACAGGATTGGAAATTATTTTTCAAGATTAAATGATATAGGTCTAGACCAATAATTTGTATGCAAATTATAAGATTTTACGCTTACTCCATTTTCCAGAATAATTATTTAAGAGGTAAAAAATAACCCAAAATTGAAAAGCATGGCAACACTTTTACCTCTAACTGGATAAAAAAAGGCACAAAAATATGATTTTCAATTTATTTCAGAGTATATTTCTTAATTATCTTATACAAATCTTTCTGTTTAATGTGCCTCAGTTGATTTATGCAAGAATTTCAAATTTTATGCTTTCAGGCTTTTGGAACTCCGTGGAGTTCCTTAAAACCCATTACCAGATATATACACCTTTCTACGCCTTTTTTACCCCCCCCCCCCTTTTTGCTTTCTCAAATGGTGAAAAAATGCCTTATTTAGGCCCCCAACACTTGTTTTTGTTTGAGAAATGTTGTTTAAAAAGGTGACCACTTTTTTGGCATCATTCCCCATCCAAAAGATACATCAGGGGATTGCCAGAAGGGGGATGTGCCCCCTTCTGTTTGGGGGGGGGGTTTGAAGGGGGGCTGTAGTCCCCCTCATCACCAAGAAAATTTTGAACTTGTAAGAGGCTAAAAATGACTCCAGGTCGATCATAAGGTAACGTGTAACCAACGCTGAAAAGTCTTTGACTCTATCTCAATCCATTGAGAAGTGGCAGCACTTTATATATTTTGATGGAAAAAATCAACGCAAAATAGTGATTTTTGGCAATTTTGAGATGTCCCCTAGTTGCCATGGTAACAGGAAATTTAGATTGAGCATGTTGTTACAAAGGCAATGGTCCAGTCAACATTTGCACCAAGTTTGATTAGTATTGAAGCAGTTTTTATAGTTTTATATCAACTTGAACTTGTAGCGGGAGACTTTTCAATGAAAACAGCCATTTTTTGCAAAATGCTCATGCGGTAATGGGTAACTCCTATTAAAATTTTGAATGACTTAACCCGTTACTGCTTTAAGATGACAAAATTATTTATGTAGATCCTTCTGTTAGTTCCTTTTTTTTATTTTTTTCTTCAGGGGCTACTGAATGAAATTAGTCATTCAAATCTTTATAGGTACATTTACAACTATGCGGTTTGACTTTAACATTGCATATTATATTTTCCTGTTTAATGATGTCATCTTTCATGCTTTCTCATAAACCATTGACTGGAATTTATGAAAACTTTAGTACCATGAAGGAAGGAGAGCTGTGCATATAGCAGCATGTAAAAATTTAAAAAAACTAAAAAAAAAAGTAAACTTTTGGATAGAATTTTGTTGTTTAGTTGGCACTTCAAAAGTTAGACTTTGATTTTGGATAGAATTTGGCTGTTTAGTGGGCAGCTCAAAAGTTGTACTTCTTTAAGAATTGATAAAGTTTTACTTTGTTTTGTTGTTACAGCCCTGATTTTTTTTTATAGATTGCGCCATGTTACCCCTGGTTACTGGAAAATTGTCTCTGAATTTACTCATAAAGATTGTGTGAAAGAGATTAAGAGAATGCAGAATGTCACAACTGATCTTGGTAGAGGTAACTCAAGATTTACAACTTTTTGCTTTAATTTTGCTTTATAATTATTGTTAAATAATAAAGAAAAAATTATTTTGTTTTGTCTTTGTGACATTTACAGTTAATTTAGTTAAGATAGTAAGAGGTGACTAAATGGGTTCAATTACTGGAATCTATGCATATCATAGCTCTAGCAGGTGGTGCTTTGAAGTTTGTAACACCCGAGGTTAGTCAAAATCATCTTTCCCTTTTTGGTGTCATATGACCTAAATTTTGCTGTTGTGCCTTTAAATAAAAGAAAACAAACAAAGAAAGTTAAGATAGTGATATCTTTTTAAAATGGTCAAAGGTAAAAATAAACAACTAGGGTGTTTTTTGGAGTAACTTCGACACATCCTTTGATATATCAGTAAGGGATTATATTTCATTTATTGGCATATATTAAGCATATTCCAGAATTCTTTAGTAAGATGAGTGGCATTAAACATCATTTGATTATCATTCCATGCATAAACTTGTTTTTAACAACCTCAATGTAAACAAGCTTCTATTTTGATATGATTAATATACCCAATGTTCTCTTACTGCAAGAATGAGATTTGTATAACAAAATTATCACTATGCAGTATTGAAGTCTTTCATCAAATTCTCCAAGAATGCAGCTTAGAGATATTTCATAAGATCTATCATAGTCCCACATTATCTGTACCATGTTTACCAGTAATTCATTGTAAATGAAACTTTCCAGAGTTATAGCCCTTGAACTAAATAGTATAACTAAACATGTAAATGGATCTCTAAAAAAAAATTTGTTATGCCCTATTTGGTGACTAATTTTTATGTTTTCAGTGTTTCAGGTTGGGCTTGGTAACTATGATAACTAGGTTATGAACCAGGCTTGGTTGCTATGGTTACTAGGATTTATGTTTTTTAGTGTTTCAGGTCAACTTTGGTTACTTTGGTCTCTAATTATATGTTTCAGGTCGGGCTTGGTTGTTAATGGCATTGAATGAGTGTTTACTGGAAAGTTATCTAAGATGCTACCAGCAAAATGAAAACCTTGTGGAGGAGTTTTATGTCAGGGACGCCTTAGTTAGAGACCAAGATGTAAGCAATATATATTATATAAATAGGTCACTCATTGTTTACTATTATAATTGTATATATAACTTGAAATAAAATACATGTATAAAAATCTATTGTAATAAGATACATTGTACATATGACATTTTTTGACTGTAGATCAGAAGCAATAAAAATAATAAGGCCTTAATATTTATTATGCAAGTTCTCAGTGGACTTAATGCCAAAAAATTTATTTCTATATTTATGAATTTGATAACTGGAATCTACCACAGAGATATCCTCTATATTAATCAGTTAGTGTTTCAACCAATTTAGATTCACGTGATAAAGTGAAATATTCTGATTTTCCTTCTTTTTTCAGAAATTTAATGTTTTGTTGACAGTTATTTCTGGTTTAGAGAATACAGAATTTCAACTTGAATGTGTAAGTTTATTCCTGTTTAACTAGACCTATTTCAAGTCTATATATATGCCCCCACACAAGTGGGGGTGGGGGAGGGGAAGGGGGAGCATATAGATTTGCCCATGTTCATCCTGGTGTCTGTCAGTAGACTGATTAAACAGTAGAATATGTGGGCATCCCAGTCTAGCTTACATGTCTTTTATGAGCACATTATTTAAATTCATATCATGAAACTGAGTCCTACAAATAGTTGAAGAATTGTTCCTTGCAAAAATGTTAGGAATGTGGTAACAATTTTTCTCTTGTTATACATTATTGTTTCAAAGACATATCTAATTTTTGTGTTCACCTATGATAAATTATCACCTTACATTTGAAGGGCTTAATGCATTTATCATTGTATAAATTTCAAAGTTGAAGTTCAATTAAATAAGACAATATTTTGTGTAAAACACCTTATTTATATAGAAGAAAAAGCTTTACTTTGCAATAAATCACATATGATATATTAGCATTACATCAATAAAACATATGATTAATAAAATCATATACATGTATATATAGTTTTCAGTATTATATATTGTTTTATATATTGTTTTTTTCTTTTCCAACACAGAATATGCCTTATTTAGACCTATGTGTGTATCCACCAAACAGTAAACATACATCTAATGTAGAATCTACCATAGATTTTGAAAGATTGTCTGTATGTAGTATGGAGAGTGTTCATGTTCCTGCCTCAAGACCTTTACCTCAGGTATGTTGTGCAAACTACTGTGTAGAGGATTATCAGTGTAAACACATTTATACATGTATGAAATGAATCAGCCTTGTCTTACAAAGCAGTTAGTAAAACTGGTGATCAAGTTGGTTCATTGTTACAAGCTCTAACAAATGTAATGTAGCAGATTTGTCTGTAGCTTTGAAAATAAAGGTTTGAAAATAATGATCTAAATATATGTAAATTATAACATAACCAGGATAAAGTACATTTTAATTTAGAATAGGGAAATAATTATCAGCTGTAATACAGACCCGCTATGTTATGATTTTTATTATATGACTAAGCAAAGAGTAGACAACCCCTTTGACCATTTTAAAATGAAGAAAAAGAAGGAAAATTGTAAAATATGTTAAAGTATTGAGCTAGTATTTCAACCAATAATACAAATATTTATTTTTTTTTAAATTTTGGGAAAATGGGGAATCTTAAAAAGGACAGTTCTTTGTGTCTGGTTTGTGTTAAATTTCCATGTGAGGTAGTTGGATGAGGAAATTTGATAAACTTACAAAAATAAGCAAATTGATGGACAGAATAATATTTTATATGAAGCTTTTAGGAGTGTTTATTTTCTTTTGCTCACAATTGTATTAACATATCTCTTATTATTAATTTTATTTTCCTTAAATTTTTATTTTTATACAATTTCTTTGTTCAATTAGAGGCCTGTGACTTTAAGTGGTTTTACAACATTTTTTAAGCCAGTGTGTCCCATACCACTTCATATACAAGTGTATACATAGAACCAAGTATTCAAACAGTAATAAGATAGTTACATTGTTTAATTATTAAAAAAAAGCAACAACAAAATAAACAATACAATACATGTGATTTACTATATTATACAAGTGTGTGTGTTTTTGAAGTAGATTCTCACAAGACTTTTATCATATGATCAGTATTATCCTCTTATTTTATAACATTTCAAGTGTTTGACGTATGTCCATATTTTTAGCTCACCTGTCACAAAGTGACAGGGTGAGCTTTTGTGATCGCTTTTCGTCCGGCGTCCGTCCGTCGTCCGTCCATCCGTAAACTTTTACTTTAAATGACATGTCCTCATAAACCACTAAGCCAATTTCATCCAAACTTCACAGGAATGTTCCTTTGGTGGTCACGTTTAAAAATTGTTCAAAGAATTTAATTCCATGCAGAACTCTGGTTGCCATGGCAACCGAAAGAAAAAACTTTAAATATCTTCTTTTAAAAAACCATAAGAGATAGAGCTTAGATATTTGGCATGAAACATCTTCTAGTGAGTGTCTACCAAGTTTGTTCAAATAAAAGCCCTGGAATCAAAATTGGCCCCGCCCCGGGGGTCATTGATTTTCCCTATATGCATATAGTAAAAACTTAAAAAATCTTCTTTAAAAGAACCCAAAGAGCTAGAGCTAAGATATTTAGCATGAAACATGTTCTAATGGGTGTCTACCAAGTTTGTTGAAATAAAAGCCCTGGGGTCAAAATTGGCCCCGCCCCGGGGGGGTCATTGATTTTCCCTATATGCATATAGTAAAAACTTAAAAAATCTTCTTTTAAAGAACTCAAAGAGCTATGGCTAAGATATTGAGCATCAAACATGTTCTAATAGGTGTCTACCAAGTTTGTTCAAATAAAAGCCCTGGGGTCAAAATTGGCACTGCCCCGGGGGGTCATTGATTTTCCTTATATGTGTATAGCAAAAACTCAAAAAATCTTCTTTGAAAAAACCCAAATAGCTAGAGTTAAGATATTAAGCATGAAACATCTTTTAGTGAGAGTCTACAAAGTTTGTTCAAATAAAAGACCTGGGATCAAAACTGGCCCGCCCCGGGGGTCAATGATTTTCTTTATATGTGTTTAGCAAAAACTTTAAATCTTCTTTGAAAAAACCCAAATAGCTAGAGTTTAGATATTAAGCATGAAACATCTTCTAGTAAGCGTCTACAAAGTTGGTTCAAATAAAAGCCCTGGGGTCAAAACTGGCCCGGCCCCAGGGGTGTCATTGTTTTTAACTATATGTGTATAGTAAAAACTGAAAAAAAATCTTCTTTTAAAAAGCCCAATGAACTAGAGCTTAGATGTTTAGCATGAAACATCTTCTTATGGGTGTCTACCAAGTTTGTGCAAATAAAAGCCCTTGGGTTAAATTGGCCCTGCATGTTGGGGTGGGGGTTGGGGGGGGGCTTATGTACAGGTGAGCGACCTCAGGGCCATCATGGCCCTCTTGTTTATTATTTTTTTTAAAACTTAACTTATTACAATGAAGAGCTACTTTTAAAGATTGATGTGAAGTAAAAATAGCCTAGCATAGCAAAAGGAAAAACAGATACTTGTTAAGCTTTCAATATAAAAGGAAAGTTTGATGGTGTATTGTATTTTTATTTTACTTTTTTTTCTAAAACAGACAAAACTTTCTAGGAAAATAACAGTAAGAAATGCATGTGTATAGATTTGCTGTTGTTTGTGAATGAATGTTTTAGAGAATTTTTTTACCCTTTTTGTGCTTCAAATACATCATACAATTACATTTTTGTTATTGTGCCATTGTCCCTGCTTAAGGCCAGCCAAAAGTTTGCTTTAAGCCACCATTTTACAATTCTCCTGTTGATTGGATTGAAACTTTACAGGAATGATCAGTAATAGCCCACTGATTCATAATAAAATCTGAAGAACGAAGCATTTATCACAACAAAATTACATGAAAATTGCAGACTCTGTTTGATTGATTACTTATAATGAAAAACTGCAACATCCCTCACGCCCTAGCAACGGCTTGAGCCATTCTCAATTTTAAGTTGCATTCCAATCTTATTAAACCATTTTATTGAAACACAGCTTTAGAATGGGACTTATCTCTAGAAGCGCTCAGGAATGCAGATAGCCCAGGCCATGTTTTTAAGTACAGTATATTCTGTGCCTGCCCTTATGTATAAGGCTTTTCATGGTACATGAGAAAAGAATATCAGAATACAAGATTACAAAGAAATCCTCTAAGCTCAAACTGAGATCTCAGTACATGTATTTGATTGGTCAGAAACTGCAACAAAATGTTCTCTGACCAATGAAAATCCGGAAATTTCAGGCAGAACTGGGGAAACAAGTTTTATAACCTCCAGGCCAGGATGAATATGAATTTTATTTAATTGTACATCTCAAAAATAATATTAGGTATTGTTTGGCAACATGTAATCTTGTAGCAATAAATTTGTATATATTTAAACAGGTATTGCCCTTTTTAGTTTAAGTCTTGAAAGCTTTTTTGCTAAAGAGTTAAATGAGCCGCGTCATGACAAAACCAACATAATGGGTTTGCGACCAGCATGGATCCAGACCAGCCTGCACATCCGGGCAGTCTGATCAGGATCCATGCTGTTTGCCTACCAACCCTATTACAAGTAGAGAAACTGATACGAACAGCATGGATCCTGATCAGACTGCGCGGATGCTTAGGCTGGTCTGGATCCATGCTGGTCGCAAACGCACTTTGTTGGTTTTGTCGTGACGTGGCTCAAATGTATTTGTAATGGGTATAAAAGATGTTCAGGTGTTATGTATGCTATTATATTTTCAGTTTTTGCTTATTCATTGTGTACATGTTTACAAAGTATTGTGGGCATGATGTAGGTAACTTATAACTGGCAATCATGATTTCAGTTAATGTATTGTACAATTTATTACCCAAGAAACAGATTCTACCTGATTATGCCAAATATGTTATGAAAATAAATATCCATAGCTATATATTTTTTTCTCTCAATATTTATAGTATCAGTTGTAAATTTTCAGTAATCTTTGTTTGTTGAATGCCAGAAATACTTTAATAATTTTCATAACTCATGAATCCTGTTTATCAAAAAAAAGTTTAAAAACACTTTTCTGATACAAGAGGACAGCTTTGAAATTGACAAACTTCTTGGGATCGTACATGTACACTAGAAAAGATGCATGTGTTGTGATATTTCTATAGCAGGCAGCATTTATTGCATTGGTTTATATTACAGTCAAACTTGTATTGATGACCAACTTTGACAAAAATCCTCCTATTAAAGATCTGTATTTAAAGCCCACAGTTTTATTTTCCCTTTTGAACATAAGTAACAAAATCATTCTTAAGTTTTGGTGTTGATGACAGTTCATCAACAAAGATAAGATTTTCCTTTTCTCTAGGCTATTTTTACAGACAAATTTGACTGTATGGTGTAAAATCTTCTGTAAATTTTTGTACATTTGCAATATTGTAGCTTTGCTTGTGTATTTTATTTTTTTTTCAAATTGTTTTTTTTTTCATTGCCTCATACCTATTTTTGTACAACAAATACCTGTTGACAAAAATCATGAGTTCTGTGCATCCACGTGTGAACCCATCCTGTGTTTTAACACTGATCTTGCTGACTTTTCCCATTAGTAAGCTGGAAATTGTAAATCATTGAGATTTTAGTATTAAAATACAAATACATAGAAAAATTGAAGCCAATCAGTTTCGCAGAAAAAGTGGAGCTATTGTGATTGCTGTGTCATAATTATTGACTATGTTGCGCAAAAACTTAAAAGTAGCCAATTACTCTAAACAATTTTGTTAAAATTGCTTATTCTTAGTACTTAAAATAAAATGATTTCAAATCTACCAAAGTTATCAACAAGAAATTTACATGGCTTGTTTATCATGACAAGGTACAGTTTTATGACAAGGGGAATTATTTTGAAAGCTTTATTTTTGTGAGTTAAGCCCCTTTTCTTGTTTGCCAATTTTTTTTGCTTATATGTAGAATAATTTGAGAACTATCAAAGTAATTAACAGGAAGCTTGGAACTTACTATCATAACATGAAGTAGGGATATTATCCCGATAGCATTATTTTTAGGAGCTATGTTCCTTTTTAATTTAGAATATTTGTAAAAATTTGTGATTGATAGAAAATTTTGAAAACCATCAAAGATAATGCACTTATTTTTGACATATATGCTACTGGGGACAAGGCACTTACATATGACAAGAAACATTACTCAGTGATCAGTATTTCTGGTTATTAGTCATTGCTTTAAACAGTTTAGCATTGGCATAGCATCAGCATGGAAACTGGTTAATCAGCAAAATTGTTTAACAAATACTGGAACATGTAGATGTTACATTTTGAAAATGTTATTGGCATGAAAGATTTTATGGATCTAAAACCCTTTTCAACAATTCAGTGAAATTTGAATACTAATGGTACAATCGGAATCATTTAAATGTTTCAAAGATTTAGTTGATACATCAACTACTTAAATTAGTATAGTCATGATTTATATTATGAAAACTGTTTCCAGACATTTTTTTCAATCAATAGTAGCATTTTGGACCCTTGAAAATGAAAATTAATGAAACATGTAGTTTAAACTAGATTGTACTATTGTAACAGGCTGTGTTTGAGACGTCGGAGGATGTTCGACCAGATAGGAAGGATAGCACTGGTAGCGGAGATCGACGACACTCGCCCTCCCTCGATAGCGGAATTCACTCGGACTGGAACTACAGACAGAGGAGTATCACACCTATTGACCAGATGAGCATTTCTAGTACTAGGTGAGTAAAACCATTTTTGCAGCTCTTTTTATTAAATCTTTTCTGGCAATCATCCAACTGGTCTTCAAAGTGGCTTCCGTATCTCTATATTCACAAAGTCTAAAACAAAAATAAGCCACACCCAAATAGACTGATTCAATTGCTCAATGAACAAAGACTTTTTACATTAAAAATATCAATATCTCAATAGATTTCTTCATGATTTCTCCATAAATGTACTCATTCAGCTAGATTAATGGAGTCTGAAATTCTTAACTTCAAACAGATCAGCTTTGTTAAAAGACATAATTATGATATTAATTGGTTCTTTATTGCAGTCAAGATTGTGAATCCAGTGAAGGGGCGGGCCTTGAGGTAATTCATCTTAGCAAGAAAGGAAAACCTCATAAACACAAAAAGAAAAGAAAGAAGTTTGTGTCAGTGTCTAATATTTCAGAACCAGATATTAATGAGATTTATGACTCTGTAGAAGGACCTGTTATAAAAATACCACCCATAGATGATATTAAGTTTTCTAGTGCAATAATGAATAACCAAAATAACAATGAGCCTGACCAGCAACAAGGTTTAAAACCAGAAGGTAACCATTTACAAATATCTAGGACACGTTCTCCTGGAGATGGAAAAGAAAATGAAACTGACAAGGTTGATGGTAATCTGAAAACAGATAAACATACAAATGATCATGGAAATAGTCTAGGCACGAAAGGGAAACAGTTTGATGGTAATGTTATTAATAGTGATGATAGTAAAACAAAACATAGCGCAGGTGATTCACATGAGACTGAAAGTAAAAGAGTTGATGCTGCTAATCATAAGAAAACCAAATCAGAAGAAAGACCAAAGTCCGGTGAAAGTATTTTTACAAAACTGATTGAAGCAAGGGTTTCGGACATGGTAAATGCTGGTGAACAGATGGAAAATGAAGAAAAAGTTGTTGATCAGAGATCTGATCATAAGACTGATATAAACCATGATAAAAAGGATGGAAAGGATGTGTATGAGTTTAGCAGTGATACTGATGAAGCTATGAGGTATTACTCTGACCTTTATAATGGAGAAAGTGTCAAAGAGAAGGAAATATTGGAAGACGTTGGGAAGGAGGAGATAGATAATACAGCAGATAAAGTTGTAGAAGTTGTTCCTGAAGTTCCAAGTATATATAGCAAAATGGATGAATCGGATTTAAGTAGTGAAGATGAGACTGAAAGTTTCCCTTCAAATTTCGATGCTAAAAATAAACTATTTAATAATAAAACACCTTCAAGACAGTCTAATTCAAGCACTCCAGTAGGGGATTTTAAACATTTAGGAAGTAATTTTGAGAATAGAAGACAATCAGATGACTTGGACAAAATATCAGTATCAAGTGAAAAGGGATCATTAAGAAACCATAGTGCAATGAAGGCACCATACTCAGATTCTAATCTGTATGGAAGGATGTCCAATAGAAACACTCCAGATATACTTTCAGCCAATCAGCAAAGGAGAAAGTCAGCTATTTCAAACTCTTCAGCCAATGAAACTGAAGATGAGATAATAACCAATAAGATGTTAAGTAACAGCAGAAGCAGTAGCAGAATGTCAACCAATGAAATACCAGTTTACAGAAATTCACCTTACCTAAGTACAGATGAAGATAAATTGAGTGTCAATACTCATTCAAGTAACCAGTCACCAAGCACTGATATGGAAGGTAAATGTTAAGTCATAAATTGCTCGGTGATTAGCATTTGTGAATGCAATGTGTCCATCATTCTTTGCCTGTTGGTTTTCACAATTTCTTTAAACATATCTTCTCTTAGACTAGAATATTAATTTTAACCAAACATCACAAGAGTAATCTTTCAGTGACACTACACAATTTAAATGAGCGCTATATATATTCCAGTGGCCACTTAGTTTATATAGACTTTATTAGTAAACATGTTTATATAGACTTTATTAGTAAACATGTCTTAAAAATCTTCTCCTGAAACCAGATGGCAATACTTCATGACAGAATAGTGCATTGATGTTTGTTTTTGGTCATATGATTGTTATCTGAGAAAGTATTTGTGAATATTTCTGTATTTTTGTAACACTCTTTTTATAGAAACCATGCATTTGTTGGAAGTCAAAGGTTATGTTACTTTACTTGGTCAAGCTTGTGTAGCATTTGTTTCAAACAACAGGTTTTGTTTCTTTTAAAGGCTCGGGACAGATGTTGCAAGCTAAGGTTGAGGAATTGATTGTACAGAAGAAGTTAAATCATTATACACATCTGACATTTGAAGATGATGATGGGGACGAAGATGATGATAATTTTAATCAACCTCCAACTCCGCTACGAGATCGTGCAACTAGCCTGAAACCTGGAGAAATTGTGTAAATATATTTTTATTTCAGTTTATCTAACCTGATGAAAATGTGTCAAAGGGTCATTATTTCATAGGGTCAATAGCATTTATTTTCACCTATTTCTGTAAGAAATTACTTTCTGAAAGTAAAATTTAAATAAAGAGATCCACTTTATCACAGGAATGGGACAGAGAGAGGGATATTGTTATTTGTAAAGATAATGGTATTAAATTAATACTTTGGAATTTCTAAATTTATCATAAATTTTAAACATACCAGTATGCCTTGAAAATTTCATGAAGAGCTTTACTGCTCAAAGAAGTAATTAGAAAAATAGGACATTTATGACATTTTTTGTTTTTGCATCAATTTCACGGTAGACTTTAGTAGTGGAAAAATATCCTGATATTATATTATTTAGCAACTGTGGAAAATGGATGTACATCGTGTTATTTGATAAGCAGATTCTTCATGAACCCTGTATATCTTGACTGAAAATTATTAAAAAACTGTAACTCAATCTGTTCTCATTAGTAATTATGGTGATTATGGGGGAATAGTTACAACTGATTCGTTTAGAGCTTACGCCAGTCGTCTTTCTAGTCCTTAAATAACTGTCTTAGATTTTTGAAAAACCTATGTATGTTTATATTCTAGACTTGATAACAACACAATGTTGTACTTGATGTTGGAAGTCCTTGATGAAAATGATACTATTGTAAAGGTAAGATTAAATATATTACACCGTTATTTTTATTGACCTTTATGTATTCTTCCCTTTTTCGTCCAAATTAAAAATCATGACAGTTACAGTGTAATTAACTACCTTAACATTTATTTACAGTGTCTCAAATAACTTAAAGTTTTTTTTACTTTTTTTATGCCCCCACAATGTGGGAGCATATAGCGTTGCACTTGTCAGTCCGTCCGTCCATCCGTCCGTCCCGAAATCTTGTGAACGCAACTCCTCTTAAACTGGATGGCAGATTTTGCTTAAACTTACTTGGATGAAGAACCTTAATGTGTAGATGGTAGTAAAGGAAGGAATTTTTGCTGCGACCAAATTTAACAGAATTATGGCCCTTTGTTGATTTTTTCACTATATACTATGTAGAAATTTTGTGAACGCAACTCCTCTTAAACAGGATGGCAGATTTTGCTTAAACTTACAGGGATGAACAACCTTAATGTGTAGATGGTAGTAAAAGAAGGAATTTTTGCTTCGACCAAATTTAACCGAATTATGGCCCTTTGTTGATTTTTTCACTATATACTATGTAGAAATTTTGTGAACGCAACTCCTCTTAAACAGGATGGCAGATTTTGCTTAAACTTCCAGGGATGAACAACCTTAATGTGTAGATGGTAGTAAAGGAAGGAATTTTGCTGCGACCAAATTTAACAGAATTATGGCCCTTTGTTGATTTTTTCACTATATACTATGTAGAAATTTTGTGAACGCAACTCCTCTTAAACCGGATGGCAGATTTTGCTTAAACTTCCAGGGATGAACAACCTTAATGTGTAGATGGTAGAAAAGGAAGGAATTTTTGCTGCGACCAAATTTAACAGAATTATGGCCCTTTGTTGATTTTTAGTTATCAACTTGTGGCACATGTAGTCCAAAAAATATTTGACCTAGAGTCATAAGATTGACAGAACAGTGGTGTGTGGGGGCATCCGTGTCCTATGGACACATTTCTAGTCTTCTACATGTGTTATATACATGTTTACATGTATTAATAGCTGCCAGTGGTAACCTATTCATTCAGCAAACACCAGAAAGTAATAATGATGATTATAGTAACCTTATTTTTTAGTCCCCTACCGGTTTACCGGAGGGGACTTTAGGTTTACCCTCCGTCCGTCTGTCCGTCTGTCCGTCAGTCCGTCCGTCTGTCCGCACTCACAGGAGAGTAATTATGTGGCTAGAGGGACAATAGGTAACTGTTCTTTCTCTTTGATGTCATTCATTCCGTAATGCTTTTATGTGGCTATTTTCTTTTGTGTGGCTAAAAAGAACAATAGAGAGAACAATAGAGTAGCCACATAATTACTCTCCTGTTAGAACGTCCGTCCGTCAGTCCGTCCGTCCACAAAACTGGATCCCGCGATAATGCAAAAAGTACTGAAAATATTTTAATGAAACTTGATATATGGATAGATGGCAGTATGGAGATTATGCACGTCTTTTTCTTTTCTTCCTATGTTGAAAATTCTGGTTGCTATGGCAACAAATAGACTGAAAATATGGCAAATTTTACACATAAACTGGATCCCGCGATAACGCAAAAAGTACTGAAAATATTTTTATGAAACTTGATATATGGATAGATGGCAGTATGGAATTATGCACGTCTTTTTCTTTTCTTCCTATGTTGAAAATTCTGGTTGCTATGGCAACAAATAGACTGAAAATATGGCAAATTTTACACATAACCTGGATCCAGTGATAACACAAAAAGTACTGAAAAAATGTTTATGAAACTTGACATATGGGTAGATGGCAGTATGGAAATTATGCACATCCTTTTCTTATCTTCCTATGTTGAAAATTCTGGTTGCTATGGCAACAAATAGACTGAATTTCAAGATTTCTTATTCTAGTTTTTAAGTTTTTTCACTATAAGTTCTTTATTTCTTAAGGTATTTTCTTCAAACTTTAAATATAAGTTGCTTGTCATCAACCATATCATATGTGGCAAGGTTTACAACTCTAGTACAAAATTTATCAGAATTACCTCCCTTGAACTTAAAATTTTCATGAAAAAAACATTGTTTTTTTTTAATAACTTCTTTTTCTAAATGTATCTACTTCAAACTTCATATAAATGTTTCTTATTGTCACTCAACATTTGTGAGTGTTCAATACTCTAGCAAGACTATTTCCAGAATTATGCCCCTTTTTGAACTTGAGAAATTGGTAATTTTTACCCCAACTTCTTCAATCATGATAGGATTTTAAAAATGATATATTTTGATAACAGGGATGTTTAAAAAATAACTTTAGAGTGTCCTTCAGTCCGTCTGTCTGTACATAAAAACTGTTTCCTGTGATCACTTTTAAAGAACTTTTTCAACAAATTAACTTAAAATAGGAACATAAGTGAATGGCCCTTCAGAATGTTGCTTGGGCTCTTACCGGTAGGGGACTTATGGATTGCTTGCAATACTATGATAATTGCTTGTTGGTCTTTACTACAACACTATAGATATTATTTCATTCCAGGAAAGCGACTGATCTTTAATGTGCAAGGTTTAAAATCCATTACACTAGACTTTTGTGACTTTTTCTAACTTAAAAGTTATACTAACCAGACTAATTTGTCAGACTTGATATTTAGGGAACAAAGGCACATCACACTAGTTTGGTTTTCAGATATCAATCTAGTATATCCATGTATTTAGTGAGTTAAATATTTTATTTTCAGATGTTCACTTGCCAACAAGGTCATACAGAGGGTAAAATAAAAACTACATTGGTTCTCGTTTCCATGGATAATCTGTACTTTGTGGAGCCGTTACAAGCGAAGAACAAGTTTTCAAAGCAAGCTGTGATCTCGTATAAAAATATAGATTTTGTCTCGGTATGTGAAGTTTTTGTGATACAATTATACATCAAGTTCCATATAGTAAGGTTATGTTGGTCAGGGATAGATTTTTTTGTTTCATAAGTTCTTTTCTACTCAAATTTTGTTGTAATACTATCTTTACATCACTCTTGCCTACTGTCTAACATAAGTTATATTCTTTGTTTAATATCTTGGATATTCAGCATTTTGGTACTACCTTCGGTAGACCTCTACTATTTTCAGGAATACCCTTGTGACTGCCTGTCAGTTACATAACAGCAACACTCATTTTGCCAGACAATGCTTGTTTCAATTCAGCTTGAAGTTACAGAATTTTATACAAAAATGTATTAATTTTTTTTCCCATTTTACAGATTGGTTTCAACAATCAGATTTTACATATAGCCTGTAAAAATAAAAGACAAAAGTACTGGCTTACTCCAGGAGAAGAAAGAATTACTATGTGAGTATATATTGTTAAGATTTGTCTCAGAATTAGATTAAAAGTGCCATAAGTACACTCAGCATTAAAAAGGTTAAATTTTGTTTGAAAACTTTTGTTTCAATTCCTGACAAATTTTTGTCATGCTATTCCATTAATCATGAACACTTATGTTTGAACCGCAAAGATTATTTCCTCATTATGTTTATAATACAGAGCAATGATAGATTGTTTAGCAGACAGCATGGAGAAAAGTGATAGTAAACCAGGGAGACTGGAGGTAGATACAGGCAACACTATACAGAAAATCTCTCTACAGAAATATATAGCACATGAATGTAAATGTGAGGTAAGTTTGGTGCTATATATACAGTCTACACCACTTATAACAAGATCGGTTTTAACGAGGTACCGCTTATAACGTACATTCTACTGTGTCCCGGCCTTTGTCCTTCTATTTTCCTTTCATTTTATATCGTTTATAACGAGATCGGTTTTAGTGAGATATCGGTTATAACGTAAATATCTTCGACGTCCCATGCGTACTTTTTAGAATTTTAACGAGGTCACGTCATTGGCACTTTGTCTGCATCCGTTTGACACCTTGAGAAAAACAATGCTGACGGAAAACTAAGGTCAACTAAGGAAGAAATTATTGAGCAATAAGCAATCAAATGTGTCAGTCTTGTTTTGTCAACGCTCCAGGCTAAATTGTCCTTTAGCTGACGAAATGTTATAACAAAACAATTTCGTTGAGTGAGTAGCACAAAGGAACCGGCTAATTTCTTGCAGTGTTATCCGGTGCTCGTGAGAAATACACTGCGTGACTTTTGAAAAGATAAATTTAAATGAACAGCTTAATTATAGTAAAAGAGATTGTACAGTAGTGGGATATTACATGATGTAGAAAATTAGGGTGATTATTTGATGTCTTGTTATATTATTAACAGTCTGATGAGTCTGAGGTGGTATGTTATTCTCTGGTACACTGGGAGGACCCAACATCAGACAAGGGTTCGTGTGAGTGGGACCGTGAGGGTACCTTATACTACAAATCTGACGAGACAGCCAATATTCTGGGGAGTCAGACCTGGAGAACAGCCTATGCTGCATTAAGGTATTCTATCATCTATAGACCTGTTCATTAATTAGTGTAGAAGTTTGTAAGCATAGGGAAAGCTCATTCGATATTACTTAGGTCCTAGGTTCAAGTCCTCAACATTTTTATGCCCTGGCCATGATAAAGGCAAGGGGATATAGTGTTACCCATGTCTGTGTGAGAGTGCATGAGTGCATGTGTCCAGCCCATAACATTATCTTGCATCAACGGATTTTGAAATACCTTGGCACAAATGCATAGCATGATAGGACGTGTGTCACGGGCAAGACCTATACCCCTAGCTTCATGGTCAAGGTCATACTTAGAGGTCAAAGGTAAGCAGTAAGAAAATATTGTCTGGCCCATAACTGTCATGCATCAAGGGATTTTGAAATAACCTGGCAAAAATGCGTAGCATGATAAGATGGTGTAACACGCGCAAGAACCAGTTATAGCAAACAGGAATTTGTCGTACAAAAGGTGAAACTCTATAAATATTGAAACTTATCAGGTCATTCCACTCTTATGGTTATCCTGGAAAATTAATTAGTATCATGGAAAAATCCTGGAAAAGTTGTGTAATTTTGGTTTTAGCAGTTTGTATGAACCCTGGTGATAAGAGTAATAGGAAAGTGATTTAATTGAAAGAATAATATACGAAAATATCTCTTGTGAAAGCAAGCAGGACATAAATATTATCATTAAACAGTGTTTAAAAAAGACAATTTCATATTCTTTTAGGGAAGGTTTTATTCTATGATATCCCAATGATGTATGTGTGGTAAATATTAGAGAAACTCTTTTTGTGATTTTTTTTTCAGAAACAACAAAAATATAGATTATAAAAACAAAATAATATTATAGTTTTTGATATTCCTGTTGTATATTTTGATAGTTATTGCTTTTGATAATTTTTAATAAGGATTTATATATTGTCATTACAACTTTTAGGGACAGTATGCTGTGTTTATACAATGATAAAAATGATGCCAAACCTGCCCATTTCCTGAGCATGGGCGGAGGTCAATGTGTAGGCTGCAAACGAGACTTCAACTCGGACAAGAATCATGCTATAAAGATAATGTTATCTAACGGCTCGTTCTGGAATATTGCTCTAAACTCTGAAGAAGAGGCAAATAGATGGCTACAGGGTCTGTGCCAGGCCGTGTCTGAAGGAATGAAGGTAGGAGCGAGAGAAAGGATTACTTGTGATTATGCTGTACTGCGATTCAGAGCTGACAATTTGATTCTGAATGTGTCTCACCATTTTCATGAAAGTTTCTCCTTTCTGATATTAAACATTTTTAAGCAAACATTTCTTTCATTGGTTATGCATTCTTGCTTGTCCAATCAGATTCAAAGCAAGAGAAAGTTAAATCATTGCAACCATGACCCCTGAATGAAGGTATAACTGTTATCATGAATATACTTTTTCTTTATGTCACATTGACACTTTTAACTTTAAATAGGTACAAACAGACCGAAGTAGGCCCTCCATGCATTGTTTCAGACACAAGTGTTCACCTTGGTTGATGTTCTAACTTTCTTTGAGTTTTGTAGGTACAGGATATTTTCCTCATGCTAAGCAATTCATAGGCTTAGACTACACTTATTACTTCTTTGTTCACATAGTTTGTACCATATATTTTTTCCCCTACTTTCCTATCAGGTCTTTAAGATATGTTTTGCTTAAAGAATAATGAAGCTTTTTGATTTGAATTATTATACCCCCACAAACGAAGTTTAGGGGGGTATATAGGATCAGCTTGTCGGTCGGTCCACATCATAGTTTTTGGACGATAACTAGAGTTTGGAATGAGGTATTATAATCAAACTTGGTATATAGCAACCTTATGTGGAAACTCCGGTTGGTATTGCATTTTGACCCCCTGGGGTCAAGTCAAGGTCACCGTTACTAAAAATAGAAAAATGGTTTTCAGACAATAACTAGAGTTAGGAATGAGATATTGTTATCAAACTTGGCGTATAGCAAGCTTATATGAAGACCTGGGTTGGTATTGCATTTGGGCCCCCTGGGGTCAAGGTCAAGGTCACCGTTACGCAAAATAGAAAAATGGTTTCCAGACAATAACTTGACTTAGGAATGAGATACTGTAATCAAACTTGGTGTATAGCAAGCTAATATGAAGACCTGGGTTGGTATTGCATTTGGACCCCCTGTGGTCAAGGTCAAGGTCACCGTATCTAAAAATAGAAAAATGGTTTCCGGACATTAACTAGAGTTAGGAATGAGATATTGTTATCAAACTTGGCGTATAGCAAGCTTATATGAAGACCTTGGTTGGTATTGCATTTGGGCCCCTTGGGGTCAAGGTCACCGTTACGAAAAAAATGAAAAATGGTTTTCGGACAATAACTAGAGTTAGAAATGAGATATTGTAATCTAATTTGGTGTATAGGAAGCTTATATGAAGACCTGGGTTGGTATTGCATTTGGACCCCCTAGGGTCAAAGTCACCGTTACAGTGTTACTAAAAATAGGAAAATGGTTTCCGGACAATAACTTGAGTTAGGAATGAGATATTGTAATCAAACTTGGTGTATAGCAAGCTTATTTCGAGACCCCAGTTGCAATTACAATTAATTGAAATATTTCTTTGTACACATTTGATAGTTTGCGTTCAAATTTTTCTTCAGACTACTTTTTTTTTCAAAAAGTCAAAGTTGCTGGTGGGGGTATTAATCACCTTCAGTGATAGGTCTAGTTAATTACACATTTAGCGTGGAGCAGACTTGTTAAAAATATTTTCCTTTTTCTTGGTTTCAATTGTTTCCTTGCAAAAGAAACAAATATCCTGTATATAGTATGTCATTAACTTATCTTTTATCTCGTTAGATGAATGTTGTTCGAGCGTCATGTGTTCCGTGCTGTATGGTGCTGTGTAAACAGAAACTGTTGATGTGTCATGAAGACTTGGACACTAACTTTATACGTACACTCGGCAGTGCTAATCTACATGATATCACATCTGTACTTTATGATGATCTAAATACAGCATATATAGTCCTGGTAAGTGAGAGTTATTTACATAAATCATATATTGTCTTGGTAAGTGAGAGTTATTTACATAAATCATATATTGTCCTGGTAAGTGAGAGTTATTTACATAAATCATATATTGTCTTGGTAAGTGAGAGTTATTTACATAAATCATATATTGTCCTGGTAAGTGAGAGTTATTTACATAAATCATATATTCTCCTTGGTAAGTGAGAGTTATTTACATAAATCATATATTGTCCTGGTAAGTGAGAGTTATTTACATAAATCATATATTGTCCTGGTAAGTGAGAGTTATTTACATAAATCATATATTGTCCTGGTAAGTGAGAGTTATTTACATAAATCATATATTGTCCTGGTAAGTGAGAGTTATTTACATAAATCATATATTGTCCTGGTAAGTGAGAGGTATTTACATAAATCATATACATGTATTGTCTTGGTAAGTGAGTGATATTTTTGTTCCTCATATATTGTCCTTTAAAGTGAATGATATTGACTAATTTACATATACTCCTGGTAAGTGGGTGACATTGACCTAAATAAATTTTGCCCTGGTAAGAAGGTTATACTGACCTAGATACTTAATGTCCTGGAAAATGAGGGATATTTACATACATCATATATTGTCCTTGTAAGTAAGTGGTATTGACTTAAAAAAATATTGTCTTGTTCAATGAGAGATATTTACATTCAGCCTATTATATTGTCCTGGTTAGTGAGACATACACTGTACATGTATTTACATACGTCATTAATTGTCCTGATATGCGAGTGATATTGACTTAGAAACATACTTTCCTATTTATTTATCCTCTATTCTTAAATGTTATATAAATCAGTATAAACAAATGTAAGAACCCCCCTTCCCCATCAACCCCCACCTCGCCATTAAAGGGGGGGGGGGTCAAAAACAGACGTAAAGAAAATTTTGACTAAGAACCATTTGATGTACTAATAGAGGGATTAATATGACAAAGATGTAACACAGAAAAGTGCTGTATATAAACAATCAACAATGAATTTCGACTCCATGTTATGCCATTGTAGCATTGATCCAAAAGTAAGGCAAAATATGTAATTAGTATTAACACCATTTCATATGACTAATACACTGTACCATAGAAAGGCAGTCAGTAATAAATCTACAATGTAATGAATATTTACAGGTGTTTGAGTCAGATGAGGAGAGGATATCCAGTGAGAAATGGGTGTTGTATTTTAACAGTGGTCACGAGTGTAACAGATTTAAAACAGCTCTTTCAGATTGCTGGTTCAAACACTTTCAGGTTTGTGATATTTTGTTAATCATAGTACATGTACATAGATCACATGGTGTTTTTTCCTATCCAAAAAGATCTTCCCTTTTTTAAAACAAACGAAACAACAAATTACATAACTTTTTATTTTCAGAATTTGTTTTATTTGTACATTTAACATGATTTCAGAATTTTGGAGGATGATTTATTGTCTAAATAATATTCTTGTCATAATACACGGATATATGATTTTGCTACCGTGTGAAATGTAGTACCGGATTGACGTAAAAATCTACATTGTTGATAAGAAATGACGTCGCTTGAACGAACGTCAAAATTTCGCAGAATTTGAACCACTAGTTTACAATTTGTTTGATGGGTTTACTGATGTAAAATTTTATAAAATGCTTATTTTTTAAAATATTTTACTGAAGTTATCAAAACCAATTCAAAATGTATTTATATATAAGCATCTGAAGTTTCGTGAAGATCAGACGTCAAATAAAGAAATTATAAAAAAAAATCCACGAACTTTTTGATTCGCCCTCTTACTTGTAGAATTGGCAAGTCATTATTATTATTATCACATTTTTAGTCGTTTAAAAAGTTTTTTGAATCTTATTATTTTATAAGAAACTTGTACATTGTATTTTCTAGGTTGAAGTTCCAGTTCTTCCAATAGATGACTTTTCTCTGCAGAAAAAGTGTACAGAAATGGTGCAACATTTAAACTCTTCACTGACACTAGGTAACAGATGATTATAGTCAAGCTGTATACAGAATAAATGTGTGTGTGTCGTGTCTTCATATTGACAGTTGACTGTGTTAAGGAACAGTTTTGAAATTTGTTCGTAAACAACTGTCAACAGTTGCAAGATAGTTCCGTTCAACCCTTGAAGTGTCTGCTGCCAATGAATATTGTGTTGAGTAAATGGTCACATCAAAATTGTGATGTTCTGAATGGTTTTGCTTAAAAACTCAGTGAATAAATTTTTCAACAAAGTATACAGGAAAAATTGCATATGTTTCATAATAATGAAATGCTTCACCGAAAGAAGTTATTTTTGGACGATACGATGAAATTAAAGAAAACCACTGACAAGCTTTGATTCACTGACCTTCATCGACAAAAAAGCATTGTTTAGATAAAATCAGACTTAACACATGTTAATAAAAAAAATTTAATTTAAATTATTCACAAAGAGATTGTTATTGATATATCACATTAGTTTCTACCAACAAATAGCATATTTCTTTACACTGATAGTAACAAACATAATAAAACTATAAATATATAGCTAAATGCCAAGAAACATTCAACATTGTATAAAATATATTCTGTGTTTATATTGATCATCTTATTTTTGAAAAGTTTTTTTTATCATGTAGAAATATAATTATTACAGGCTGAATGAAATATGTTGTATCTGTGTTAAGTGTTAAGTATTATTTTATACCAATTTCTTTCATCCAATCGCAGCTTTTGAATTATACCACATGACCATCCAATATTGGACACTTGTGTCCATCATAGTTTTTTTATATTAAATGTACATGATGTTTTCCATGCACTGTCAATGATAAAAGCTAATTTTCATGCACCATTATTGATAAAAGCTGTTATAGATGAAGGTATCTGAACGATATTTGAAGGATTATTCAGATCTGCAAAAACAAAATTGTTAGAATATATAACTTTGTCAAATTTGTGTTTCTTCAATACAATTTGGATGTAAAAGAAAGTTTTTCCTATATTGTACTGTACAATATGAGATAAATTTGAAATGAGAAACTGTTTGAGACATCGTATTTGATTCGCCAGACAGTGTGTCTGATATGTGTTTTATCTGGCTTTGTACTTGTCTAAATATATCCCCATATTGTACAGTTCAATATAACATAACTTAAAATTACAGCCAAGCTGATTAATCTCTACACCCTTGCATTGTGCAATGTACAATTAGAAGTAAAGGGAAGTAAGTCTTTGATGTACCAGTACTTGTTATGGAAGAGTTATTTAAAATTTAGATATTTTGGCATATTTTTATGAAAGACATTTTCATTTCTACAAAGTTTACATTTTATTTCTACAAAAATATTTTAAAAATATATGTTGACCTACATGTACATGTGTGTGCAAAGTGTTTAGATGATTATTATTTATTGATTTATAATTTTTCACTAGATTATGCAATGGGTTTGTTTAACTGCTTTACACACAACATACACATCAGCCTAATTTCATTTTTTGAAAATAGAAGGTTGATCATGAAATTTCATTTGAAATGAAATTGATAGAGTATTTTTCTTACCTTCAAAGATAAAATGTTCTTTGATCTCCAGAAGTCATGGCAGTTTCTGATGATTTACTACAAATAATGAAACAATTGCAAACTATTTTGTTAAACAAGAAAAGTTTTATACTTTATACATAGTAGAAAGAAAGAATTTCATTATATCCATTCCCTCATCGATTTCATTCCGTCACATTCAAACATTGTATGAAATTTATAATTGTATCTTAGATATTGTAAAATATTTTAATCCGTGCAATATTTATTTTAGCCGAGTGCACATTTGTTCAGGAAAGAGATATTTCAATTTAAAGTATATTTATTATTATATGTCTCAGACGAGGTTATAAAGCATCACTTTAATGCAGTAACAGGTTAACTCCATATATAAATTTATAGAGTTAACCCATTACTGCATTAAGGTGATGATATACAATTTCAGAATTTACCCAGTCAATTACAATGTTGCTGAGATTTAAAACCATTAATTCTTAGTTTATGGATTATAATGGTTTTAAATCCTAGATATCTCATGTACTGCTATGTAGTCATGTTTGTATTATGGATTTTATTTCGGAATTAGTGAATTTCAGAGGGCATCTTTGCAGTTACCATTTCCTCCTGTGTAAAACTCTTCCTACATTTCACAAGGAATTTCAACCAAACTTTCAGACTCAAATGCCCTGATTCAGTTTTGTTTATTTTTATTTTTTATTTGATCATTTTTGACATAATTATGGCTTTTTGTTATTGTTGTTTTTTGTTTTTGTTTTTTTGTACATATATAACTTAAAGATGAAAGCTCTTCTATTGCCAATTTCTCCCACTTTTCTGTGGAATGTCCTACAAACTCCCACAGGAATGTTTTTAGATATTTTAAGTACTTTTTTTTTGTATTGGGTCCTTCCATGAAAATCTATTCATGACCTTAGTTTTCAGGTTCAATTGATCAAGGTTGTTGAGACTTAAAATAGATTTACCTTAATTTTCTTGTAGTAAGGACATGCTTCCTATATTGTCAAAGTGACATCACAAAGCAAACATGACTGTTACTGACATTTTTGTCATGTAGATTTTTGTCATACTAATATACATAGGCTTTTATTTGTAAAAACATTTTATATATATTTGAGAACAGTTTTAAAGTAGTTTAAATTATTTATTAATTAAATTGTATTCCTGATTTTATTCTCAGTATTTGGAGATTGGTGCTAGCGTATATGATCCCTAAAATACTTATACTTGAGTAAAGCTTGCCATTTTATTTTGTGTGACTGGACCTTTGAAAGCTCTTCCACTACTTTCTGTCATTTTTTTCTTAGCAAATTATTTAAAAGTTCATATTTCTTTTTTTTGCCTGACAAAATGCTTATTTTATTTGTACTGATTGTATTTGTGTGATTTGATGTCTGGTTTATATACATGTACGTTAATAGTAATTAATTCATAATGGCATTTGTTTGACATTATATAATTTATCATTACTTTCTTCATCACATTTTGTAAGTTGACTGGTTTATGTTCAGTGATCATTTTCTTTATAATTACGTGTATGTACATGCACATTACGTACCTTATATATAACTAACTGTTCAAGGAGGGGCTCAATCATACTTACACTGCAAAATTTTCACTTTTGTCCTAGTGATGTTGGGCATTCTTTAAGGTTTCCATTGCATCCAATAACATTATGCTCTTTGAGGTATTTGGTTTCATATTAGTTAGAGGTTGTTGTGTTTGTTAATCACATCATTTCTGGTAAAGGAACCACAGAATGTTTGAGTGGTCAGTAGACAGGCCAAGCTCAAAGTGACAGATTGATATATTACAGCACCAAAATACGATAAATAGTTAGACCTGCATTGAACTTTATATTCGATATGTTATTATTTGTAGATGTCCCCTATTGTTTCAGGTTGTGGTAAAAATCTCTTGTGTCTGAATGATAACTTTAGAATGTTACAACTTATTTTTCTTGATTACCTGTCACCTCTCCACTTCCCAGGACACAATAATACATACATTGTGTATTAAATAATATAACTACTACATGTAACTAGCCACGGCCCTTGTTTCTAATTGAAATTAATATTTTGCACAATTTTTTTTAATTCTTATTCAAAGCAGGGATGTCAGTTGATATTAAATTGTGAGTGATTATTGCAACACTACTATATATTGTTATTTATAATAGAGTTTAATCATGTTTTCTAACATTACTGATGAAATACAAAAACTGGTTGACAATCCACTTTAAGTTATATTAACTTATTGCACAATTTCGGTGCACAAACAAATATTAGTCCCAATTACCTTTTAAAGCAAAAACGTGATGTAATAAAATAGAAATTGATTTAATTAAGTTCAAATGTTTATAATTAAATATTTAGGTAAATTTCCTTTAGTGTTTGAAATTATTTTTTATCCAATAGGATTGCAATATTTCAAATGAATTGTAACACATTTACTTTGGTAAAACTGCAAACTGTTAATCAGTTTAGTAAATTAACTGTTTGTTAAAATAATTTCAAACACTTAGCGGGTAAAAATTTATTAGTACGTATTTACAAAATTAAATTTGTCACATGGCTGTGCCGCGCCTGACCAATTTCATTTTGTAAATACATGCAAAATTAAATATTTTGCCAAATTATTACATGTAGATATATATTTTAAAGAATTTGTTTGTTTATTTTTTAATGTGATGCCTTTTCTGTGATACTCTGACTAATTGTTTAACATTTATCCATGATAATAACTTTTCTTTTTAATTTTCCCAAAACACAATGTTTTATTTTATCGAGTCCTGTGTGTTTGTTTATGTCAGAAAATATTATTGTGTTAAACTTCCAGGTTTGATTTTTTTTATTTTTGCAGATAAGGTTAACTCTGAAAAAATATTTTCTGAAAATTGAAAACCAGAAGAAGAAAAAAATTAAACTGATATAATTATAGGCAATTTAAGCCTACATCAAAAGTAAATATACATGTACATATTTAAGGTGTAAAGTTAAGCATTTATTACTGATAAAGTCTATTAAAGTTAGGTTTACAAGTGGTTACTCAATTTTTGTATCTTGATTTCGAATTTACTCTGCTCTGTGCAAAATCCAATAAAAGGTTCTGCCCATCTTGACAAAGTTTACAAGTAATATGGTTTAAGTTTTTTTCCTGATAAGTGTTGTATGTATATGATTACTAAATCAGTTTATGATTTTGTTATCATTTCAACAAATTAATTAAAATAAAATTAATTGCCTTTGAGAATAATTGATTCACTGGATAACAGTGTGTTTTGTTAATTCTGTTCAAGCATCTAAACTGTTTGATCTTTAAGAGGCATTTATTATGATAAAATAGGCATGTCAGTTATATATTATCTACATAGTTTAGGTCATTAACAATTGAACGTTTGCCAAGGTTTTATTCAGTCATTCATAGACAAGTTATATAAACTAAACATTACAATGTCATTGAAACAAGATCATTGGGTAACAAGGGCATGTTTGTATTTAATAGCAAGATCTCTGTCTTTTTGTTATGATTATCAAAATGCTACAGCTAATACACCTGTACAAGTGCATGTTTCTACTTTATTTTATTACAGTGTATGCAATATCTTGTTATGCAATCAGAGTTTATACCATATTAATGATGGCTGCACTTCATGTTATGGATAATGATACAAAAAATGCTATGAATAATAGCAGAAATGAGTTAATAGGAAGATTTTAGAAACAAGTTAATAGTAAGATGTTAGAAACAAATTAATTGTAAGATTAATCAACTAATAAATTAATTGATTTTGTTACTTGTCTGCTTACATATACATGCAAAATTATATATCCAATAAAAAATATTTTTTAAATTTATCAGAAAAACCTTAACACACATAGTTACATATGAAAAGATGGGCTGCACAAAAAAAATGCAAAAATACACGTAATTAAAAATTTTAGTATTAGCCAATCAAAACACAGTATGCCAACCATGAAGTTCAAAGTTGTAAACAATGGCTAAAAATCGTTCAAAATACAACACAAACACTGTCAAAATTGTCTGGTCACAATTGAAAAATAAAAAGTTGATATATAGATATTAATTATATACTTAAAATGAAATATTAAGCAGTAGAGAAATATTGATGAAACAAAATGTGTATTTTCATTTTCTATATTTTCACTGTAAAAATTTATTTTTCACTGCAGTGAAACATACTTACCATATTTCAAAATAAAAATTTGATATATAAATATTTATTATATACTTAATATAAATATTTATTATATACTTAAAAATGAAATACTGAGCAATAGAGAAATATTGAAGAAATAAAATGTGTAATTCAAGTTTTTTCTATAAATACAGGATTCATTTTCATCTTTAGGTATGAACAGTATCATATTTCATACCACTCAATTAAAATAAGTCCTACATTTATAGAAAAAAATGAAAATCCTCTATATATTATTTACAGGATCAATCTCATATTTCATTGTTATTCATAACATACTCAGCATAAGTTTAAACTTTAATTGATGAAGATGTTTCTTCAGTATTGTGTGGAAGGAATGTTAATGATTTCATTCTTTTATTTACTTTATGTTATGTTATCTACTAAAACTTAAAGGTCATGGGTCACATCATTAATGCCTTTAAAGAAGATAAGTGTAGCATATGAATAGTTTATTATTTATTACCTCCCTTGGTGATTTAGTACATCCCTTCATCATTTAAAATTTTATGTAACTTTCATGTTATTGTAGTTTGTTTTTGATTTTTCATTAAGTTTGAAAATCATTGTGATCTTAGATTTCTGAAGAAATACTTCTATAAAGAAAGAATGAGGTAATAGAGCATTTTGGTGAACATTGTGGCATTGATGGTCTTAAAGATCATTGCATTGTTAAGTATGCTTTAATGATACTATGTTGTAAATCACAAATTGTAATTGTTATTTAACTTAACTATGAATGCTGTGTGGACTTGGTATTGTAATAACTTGGAGTGTACAAGAATTTTAAAAAAATTAGAAAATTTCTATGTGCAATAAAAGTTATATTATATCATTGAAGTATTTTGTTATTTATTTCTATGACTAAGCTCTATTAATATGAGCATGGCTGTAATTAAAGCTGTGCTACAAGATGACATTGCTAAGATTAGTCAGCTATATATATAATAATTTATTGTTTTTTGCACACACTGACACATAGGGTGCATGACGGGAAAAGAAATCTGAAAATAATCTTATTATTTGGCAATTTGTTAAGTATTATAATAATTATAATAGAAGAAAATATATGTTCATCCATGCTGTATAAAGCCAGACTAGCCTGGTTTCAATGAATAACAGTCTGACCAGACTCTGTATTATTTTTATCTAAATTTCCTACAAACCATACATCAGGGTTTTTTTGCGAGTATCTAATTTTCGCTATATATTGGCATACACTGAATATTGCGAAAAATATATTTGCTAAATTTTGCTCCAATTAAATACTGGAAATTCTCTTTTTTTGCTGAAAAATTTGCTACCACGTTAAATTGTATATACACATGTATGTATGTATATGTGACGTTGTGATACCTATATATCAATGTATCAAATACAAATATTTGACATTCCAGTTTATTTAGCATTGAATATATTTAAAAATACATCAAAGATATTTAGTGACAAAGTAAGCGAACATGTATACTGATTGTCCAATGAAATAAGATAATTCACACATTGCTTACAGGTATACAAACATAGGCAGCTTAGCAATAACATGTTAACAATAAACTAAGACAGACAACAAGTGTGAAATACCGGATACTTACATGTTAATTGAAAAAGTTCCATTTGTGAAAACCTATAAATTTCAAACTAATAGTAAAGTGTCGCTTTGCTAGCAGAAAAACACAAAATAACGTAGCATGTACAACAAAATCGCAAAAATTGATTTAGCTTAAATGAGATTACCGCCGAAATCGCAAAAATTTGCTGTATGCGAATATAACCTGATAAACGGTATATCTTCGACTAACTGTCCAATAGGAATGTAGGACAGAGGGTTATGTCCACTATTAAATTAACTCTTAAGCATGCTAAGTTTATAAAAATGGACTGGTCCATTATTCATTGTGGGTTATACCATTCTTTATTTAAGGGGATGACCACTAAATATTCACTGACTGAATAGTGAACAGTGCAGACCATGATCAGACTGCATTGATGTACAGGTAGATCTTGGTCTGCACCGATCACATAGGTTTAAGTTTTCTCTGTTCAAATACTGGTACAAAAATTGGTTTAAACATATTTATTTAAGCTCGATTGCGAAACAAGTTCTTGCAACTTATATAAATCACTTTCTAGTTTGCTTCCTGGAACCAACCAGTACTGGTGTCATATGACGAAACATGGTCGTAACCCGACTAGGGCTCGAACCCAAGATCTCTGTGTTGAGAGGCAGACACCTTAGCCACTAGACCACCGCTCCCCTTAAAAAAGTCTAACAGACACAAGGGTTTACATGTATTTCAACTCTTATTTTCTCTTATATTGGAACTGGTTGTTGTATAACTTGTACATTAAAACAGCCACACATGTTTATATAATCCTTGACTTTGTATGCCTGTCAACAAACCTACATAAATCTGATGGAACACTATCTAGAACCAATACTCTTGCATGAAACATCTGTTGATTTGTAAAAAAAAACTTTTCTTGTACATCATGATCTTGGTGAGTGAATAATTTCTAGCCTGATAAAAATGATATCAAAAGACAGTGGCATGTTATTTTCAATTTATCTTCTATTTAGTTGGGCTTTAAGTAGCACAGTACATTTTAGCTGTCATTTTGATGACTTTTCCAGCTGACTGGTGTTAGAAGACCAATAGTACCCCTCCAAGAATTATTGTAGCCACATAGAACTGCCAACGATTCTAGCGACATGAAAGAAACATAGTTTATTGTATATATATATATACATACATACATAAATTTTCACAATTATACTTAAATACATTAATGTAAATCTACAAAAGGGCTGGGCAACATTATCAGGGGGGGGGGGCTCCCAAGTTAACAGTTAATCCTTTACCTAGTCATATCTATCTGGAACATACGATACGTTATAGTACATCCCAGTATCTATGCAAAGCAACAAAGTTGTTGATAATAAATCAAGTAAAATTCTCTTTTCTATGTTTATATATAGGATCATGTGTAGTTCCGAACATATTAACTTTTCTACTAGGTAAAATCAGTATTCAACTATTTCACTATCCTAATACTTCAAGTACTTTGATTTATGTTGACAAAAAATATTGCCCGCCGTCAGTGTGACCCAGTTATGCGAGGAATTGGGGTCAGCCATTTGATTCACGAGGTCAGGGAATGATAGTTTCAATCCACCAATGAAAACGCTTGACCGATTTAAGCTGCAAATATCATTGGTCTACACAGTTTTCACACATAGAGCGTGTGTCGGAAAATTTCCAAAACATGTTGTCTTATCGAGTGTAAAATACATTTCGATGGCGGATGGTAAAGACTAAAAGTCCATGGCTGCGAATAATAATTATGGAATACATTTGGTTGCAGGAGGGTAAGCCATTATTTTTAATGAAATATTGTTGCAAAAAATTATTGTATTTCACTGTAATGTCCTTAGTTAAAGTTAAAATGTTATCGGGTTTTACCATGTTTTTAAATTACATTTTTCAAATCTGTTTACGCAAGGGCAAGTAATGGTCAGAATTTGTAACGCTTTTTACACGTTTGTATTTTCACATTGCACCAGTAGCGGTTTAGAAAATTATGAACTGTTTTGTAAACCTCGTTAGATATGTGGGGCTGGGGTGTATCAGTTTGTACCTATCAGTTAAGTCTTTTAAAAGCATTTTGGGTTATTTCACATGTCATGTATCACTTCTGATGAAATACATGATGACTTTCAAAAAGTTAAGTAACATGTTTTATAACTTGTCCTTTATGTAGCGAATCATTGTACAGTAAGGGATCTGAATCATTTTATAATTCAAACAAAGCGCATTGTCTTTTACACAAAACCATAGAGCCTAATATGAGACAGTAAGTTAGTTTGTAGGACAAACTATAATTAAAATCTTTAATGGTTAACAGTATAAAACATTAGCTTTAAACGAGCTTGTGTCGATATGAAATAAGGTATTGTATTGTATATGATTATGCTAAACTTGAATTGTTATTATAAATGAAGATGACATCCTTTTTAACCACATGAAATTGATGGTACATGTGTGCAGTGCATGTATGCACCAGTCAATTATAGCTTGACATATTTGAAGCTCAATATTGTGAAACTTGATGACTCTGATAGGATTCACACCCTTAATCTTGACCTCTCAGTCTGTATAGCAACAAACTTCTTTACCACAACTATAAGAGCGACTCTGCCAACACATATAGTGAAAGGCTTCTTTACTTCAACTCTAGCAACTACGCCAAAACTCTAGCGACTACGCCACCACATATAGTGACAGACTTCTTTACCACAACTCTAGCGACTACGTAACCACATATAGCGACAGACTTCTTTACCACAAATCTAGCGACTATGCCACCACTTTCTTTACACAGGCAACTTATTACTAAAATTAAAGAATGTCAGGTCAACTAGTCCCATGGTCAACTCATCACCTATTTGCCAGTTATAACTACTTCATGTGACTTAATTATCAGGGAAAAAAGACGTTCCCTTGATTTGATATATCAATGCTTTTATATAACCTTAGTTCTTTGTGTATTTTATTTTCAGAATTGGTGGAACTGTTGGTGCCATTTTGACATGCCCTTTGGAAGTAGTTAAGACTAGATTACAATCATCTGTAGCGACATTTGAGCCTGTGTGTATTAAAAGTGTTAGTTCAAATATCAATGTCATCTCAAAGAGCAATATAAACTTCAGTGCAATTTCAAACAGTACCCACACAGCTAGTTGTACAGCACAACATGGAACTATCGCCGCTGAGCGGGCATTGCAAATTGCACATAGTCGATCAGTTGGACTTTACTATTGTCTCAGGTAAAACAATAGTGTTCATTTGAAACGGAATCAATATTAAAACAGAAGCTCACTGAGGATTGTAGTGAAGGAAGCCATTTTGTGTATTTTTATTTTTATGTTGGAAAGCTAGGGAATAATATTTTACGTTGTTAATAAATACCCTTTAGGAAAAATAAGGCTGTAACAGTAAACTTTTAGGCAACCTTTTGACTCTAAAACACAATCTTCTTTTCATTAGCCAAGGCTGCTTTTTAATATTTTAAACTTTTTCATACATCATATGATACATAGTATCAGATTGCTCTTTTATGTGTTCCACTCATTAAGATGTCTGCCATTCAATCCATGGGTTTGAGCCCTAGGACTAACATGTTTCTTCATATATTACAACAGTTCTGGTTAAAGCCGGGAAGCAAGCTTGAAAGTGATTAAAATAAGTTTTGCAATCAAGGGTAATTTATTCAGAATTTGTTAAATCTAAACTAACTGAACTTACTTGTTAACAATATTTAATGAACAATTATATCTTGTAGGTATATTGTACAGAATGAAGGGCCAGGCGCATTGTTCAAGGGTCTTGGACCAAATCTTGTTGGTGTAGCTCCATCAAGGTATGTTCATGTAAACTAAAGTTTACTTTATACTAACTAGCAGCAACTTTAAAGTGAATTGGTCTAAAATGGAAGGTCTGTAATACAATGAGTAATTATGTTGGTAGTATTAAATATCAGACAAAACAACAAACCACAAAATAATTGTACATGGAAGTTTCCAAATGTGAGATACATGATATGATATTACTTGGTTATATTTATAGTCCAGATTATAAAATGTTCTAGAACAAAATATTATTAACCATCATATTTATAACATTTCTAGAACTTATCAACATATTTTTTCAAGCAACATTTTATAAGATAATATCCAAATGTACCCATTGTAGACCTATTCACTTTAAGCCCATTTGATACATAATTTTAACTTTTTTTTTTATTTCTTTCTATTGTTAAGATCATCCGAATAGAGCTGTCATCAATAAAAACAATATGGATGTAAATGTGTCAGTTAAATTTTTCTGGTGATTGACAATACAAATTTGAGGGGGAAAATCCAGAAATTTGACAAAAAATTCAACAGAAGTAGTTGCCCTATCAATCGACTTTGCCATGCTGTTGTTGCTTAATGGGCAACTTAACTAAGAAAAATGTATTTAAATTCGTTAAGTAATAGAAAGAGCACCGAAACACGAGGCTATCTGATTTGTACGAGGGGGCGTAGCCCCCGAGTATTAATCAGATTGCCGAGTGTTTTGGTGTTCTTTCTCTTTTGTATCATAATCAAACATAAAAGCACGTTCCCTGTTGTCACAATATGAAACCCCGGCAAAAATGAACCAATGAACGAACATCTGAATATGACATTTCTGTCGCTTTCCCTTTCTCTGCCGTCACAATATGTAAACCCCAGCAAAAATGAGCCAATCAATGGGCATGCTCTGGAGTGCGGGTAACTAATACCCGCACTCCAGTTAACGCACTGTGCATGTATATGTATACGATTTAACCCTGACACATTTTCAACAGAAAGGTCTCCAAACTATGATACAATTTACAATTATAGCATAGATGACGGAGGGTAGTCGGGGGGGGACATTAAGAGCCTGGGGTATTATCATAATTGTATGCACAGATCACATAAAAATTCACCATAATCATAAAAACTGGTATAATATTGAAATATAGTTTGATGATACTGGATATAATAGTGTGCAAATTTGTCATGTGGTCTGGACTGAATCAATGACAGTTCACCCATTTACAAAAATGCCATGCAATATTTCCCCAAATTTTAAGGGAAGGCCCCCAGCTCCTACCTTTGAAAGAAAGTTAATAAACTATTTACAAACAAAAGCGCTCTTTTTAAACTATTTAACACAATAAATTGAATATCAAATCACAGCTTAAAATAGAAAGGCATATTACCTAATGTGAAATATGGAATATTTCAATGTTTTTGGATACAAGTCAAATTGTTATATTGTACTACATAATCAACATCAACATTGGTAGGTAATGGAACATTTTGGTTTATATATAGACATGCCAGTCCATAAATAGACATTTGCTTATTGAGGGAAGTCTAGACTAAAGGAAAAAAAATCAGCAGGGGCATATCTGGCAATGTTATGTTTATTTTCTCAAGATTTAAATGTAATTCTATGATAAATAAGACAGTATTGTTTAAATCTTGTATAGCTCTATTAAGGTTATAATACTGTTTACAAACAATTCTCAGTGTATCAAAGCCTTGTGTAAGATTTCGGTCAGACCAGCAGTCAATGATTTTATTTGACCTCGTGTGACCTCGGCATGACCTGTACACTTAATCTATGAAGTTACTGTAAATGGTTGGTAGAAGAAAGTGACATTCTTCTGTCCCTTACTTCTTACATATATAGTAAAATTTTGTTCTTCCTAATGGTCTAAATTTACTTATACTGTAAACATGCCACATGGTGTTAAACTTATTTTAGAGATATAAATACTATTCTCATAGTCATAAAAAAAATTGTCAGTTTGTCAATGGGAGACCTTAATGATTCCAGTTCAAGTCTTAGTCATTTATCAGAAAGAGAAATAATTGGCCTCTTTAGCATAATAAGGCTTTCAACATGCGATTCTCTAGTTTCCCTCAAGTTTCTTTGGTTTTCCAGTCTTTAAAATAATTGTTTTGGATAACTAAGCACTTAAGATGCATATGTATGCATTTTCTTGTACTTTTAACATTCCATAGGGGCATAGCCAAATTTAAGCGTTAATTTTAAAATTAAAACATTTAGGTTTAAAGAATTATTATGAAGGATTAGTCATTACTGATTTAATACATACATTTAAGATAACAATTTATTAAAAGGCTAAGTCATTATGAAATAATAAAAATCAGACAAAATTTCTGATTTTAGGATGCCAATTTCATAGTTTTACATGTAATTTTGTTGCATCAGCATAGTTTATTATTTAAGTAAATAGATTGTTTTTGTTTTTTCAGAGCCATCTATTTCTTCTGTTATGCCAACAGTAAGAAATACCTTAACACAGTTTTAAACCCTGACACCCCTCTGGTACACATTGGAGCGGCTGTCACTGCAGGTAGGAATCTCTTTAAACTTACAACAATTGTTTTGAGGTGAAGTTTTTCATTTTTTGTGGTCACATGACTGCATATCATTATGATTCATATGTTTATGTATTAGTTAAAAATACATTGATATTTTCATAACAAAAACAGGTTTATTGACCTTTATTTTTTTTTATCAAAAAATTATTCAAATGTCCCTTTAAAATATAATGCATGAGAATTTATTCATTTATCATAGAGTTTAAAACCCCTTATTAAATTCTTATTATCTATATCTAAGCTTTGGAACTTCAGTATAAACCAATTATAAATTTACTTCATTGATTTTTTTCCCGTGAAAGAATGAGGTTATACATTATTTATAAATCAAATAACTTGTGTCCTTCATATTTCACACTCTAAAGATATGATTTTAAAAAATTGTTATGCGTAAAAAACAACAACCCAATTTGTAAATTAGTCTTGCATTGTCTGGTAAATTTGGCAATCGATCAATATGTATGGAAAATAAACCTGTTGATGAATTAAACAAATTAGAATATTTTATGTCGTGTACTAAAGTATAAAATTACCTAAGTTACTATCTGGCATTTATTCAAATTTTGATAAATAAAAAAGGAATGAACTGGATTTTTCTGGTTTGTTGATCAACAAACCGGAAAAATCCAGTTGCAAGTATTGAAAGAATTTAGGTCGGGGTTTTCCATTCATGAAGATAGTAATTTAATTTATAGTAAATGAAAAAAAAACAATCTTAAATATTGATATTTGTTGACAATTTGAAATGAATATTATAATGACTTGTGTACTTGTGCCCGGCTCATTGAAGTGTATTGGCTAATTGCCCGAGAGATATCTGTGTGCTCTATAAATAGAAAGCAAAATGTCATGGAAAATTCTAGAGATATTACTTGTTCTGAATGTAGGGCAGCTTTATTTTGCTTTTGTCCTTTTAATATTTGACTGGAAAACCCAATTTTCTTTCAAATACCATATTGATTGATATTGGTTTACATTCAAACCAAAAATGACATAAGCTATTGAATTTCAAATATTTGAACTTTCTCTTGGAAGTTTAGTTATGTTTTGGAGAAATATTAAATAATTTGATGTTCAATTTGCAAAATTAACTTTTTCTGTCCAATAAACTAGATAATTAGTAAATTTTTCAACTTAAAGTTAATACAAAAGAAGGGCCTCAAAAGTATACTGCATAAGGATAGAAATTCTGATATTTGACTTGTTAAAGATTTGTATTTTAATAAAAGAATTTTGAATTTCACATGATTTTATTTAAATAACAAGCACATAAGTAGATTTATAAGAAATTAGCAGCATTAGTTTCATTTCATTTTGATTATAAATGGTGAATATTATCTTTTATCTTTGTAACCTTAAATATCATTAGAACTTAGAAACAAATTTATTTACTGCTACCCTTCAACAAAATACATTAACATTAAAAATATTAATATTGAATTGGACAGGAAAAGTTAATGATTCTGGTCCAAAACTATGGTTTTGTTTGTCCAAAATGGACAAAATATTTGTTGATGACCGATGTATGTTTTGTTCAATGACCGCGTGTTGGAATGTTTTTGCTTGAACTCAAATTTTTTCAGATATAATGACGGTTGATCTGATCACATGACCAGGCCCCTGTTGCCGCTTGATATAGTCTAGGCGGAAATTTGTTTCCAATTAACAATATATTCTCCGACCTAGGTCTGCTAAGACCGCCACATGATGGCATTTCGGTTAAGGTAACGTCAAGGAATTTTTCTTGGCAAAACTTTGACACATCAATAAGATAATTTTATAAAAAACCTTTTCTTTACTTGCATAGAGACATTATTGAAAAGTATTGTTCATTGTTTATATTTGCAATTTGAAAAAAAATTATTTGATTTTTGTAAAAAGCATTATTAAATTTTGTTCAATTCATCACAGGTTTATATAAATTTTATTTTTCAACCTAAGAACAGAAATATATTTACTTATATATAAGGCTGTATGGTTGAGTGATATATTTTAATGTTTTTTCCAAGTTATGCATGTCTTTTATTTCTTGATTGATTTATTTTAAAACCAGACATCCAGTATTTAGTTTTTCAATGTATCACAGTATGTAACCAGAAATATCCAAAAAGAGAAATTAATAGATTTGGTACTAAGCCTCGTTGCGTAAATCAAAATGACTTTACAGTTAAAACTTCAAGATTTTTTCTTTCTTAAATATAATATTAAGTTTCCAGTTTGTGACACAGTTAGTAATGTTTCGAGTTTTTATTTCTTACCATCATTATACATATTTATCATGCAAAATATCAAAGACCAAAATTGAAATGAAAAATGACTACAGTCACAGTACCTAAAGTAACAGCTTTGACTAAAATACTAAAAAACAAAATGAATATTGATGTTAAAAACTTTATTCAGGCAAAGAAATCCTCAGTAAACGTGTGATCTTAGTTATGCTATGTTAAACCATTTTCCGATATCAATAAGTCTAGGCCACGTGTCTGCTAGATGTATGACATACACTTCACGTGTGACCTTGAATACCAGTAAGTTTGTTTATCGGTTAAACCGCCATCAAGTTAGTAGATGATAGTGGAAAACTCTTATCTTGCACTAGCAGTTTACTGTACAGTAATAAATGGTTTATGGGCCGACCTTTTTAATATTTTTTTGAAATGCACTTTTTGTAACATTATAAAATATTTTCTTTTTTTTATTGAATAAAATAGAGAAACCCGAACTTAAACATTAGGTGTTTTTATTTTCATGTCATTAAAAAAAATACCCCAAAAAACCCGCATTAAAAAATAAATGAAAGTCAATAATTTAGATCGAAACTGGAATTTGATATCTAGATTACAAGCAAATACATGAGGTAAGAAAAGATTTATAAATATAGATCTTTATAATAAGGTTTGTCTGTATAAGGGGCTTAGGGGGATATGGGGCTTTAACATTTTTTAATTTTTTACAAACTTAGTTCTGTGATTCATATAAATCAGACTATATATAGTAACGAAATCAGTAGCCATACAGCCAGATATACTGTCAGATGAATTAATTTTAAATCAAATAATAAATGAATTAAGTGAACTTTTGATCATTTTGGTCCATTTTTAAAATTGATAATAAAAAAAATCTCTAATCTCTTTCAGTGATGTCAATATGTTAATGTCGTTAAACAAATTTTCATTTCACTAACAAGTTGTGTGAATATGTATCTATTTGATTTAGGTCAATGGAAAAAAAAAAAGAAGACCTATTTGTTTTGGGTCAATGGAAATTTTCAATAACTTTATCAGATTAAGAGTTTTAAGGGCAAATGGATTAGCACTGTTTCTTTGCTGTGTTGAATATAAGGCCAAATAAAAAGTAAGGCACTTTTCATTTCAGGTGTAACTGCATGCACAGCAACAAATCCTATCTGGTTAATAAAGACCCGTCTTCAATTGGATCAGAAGTAAGTGTTCCAAGTCTTGAGCAAAATGTTTGTATAGTGACTTTGGGGTTTTATGGCGTTTATGGGGTTGTATAGTTTCTTTGGGGTCTTTTAAAATTATCTTAATATATCAGATAACCTAGATATTCTTTAAATTTATGCCATAATAGGTTAAACCTTGATTGCTTTGGTACTGAATGAATATTACTGTAGAAATTTATAATTATTAGGATTTATAATCGTACAATAGCAAACTGGTTTTATTACCACTTAAAAAAATGTCTACTGACCTGAGTGGAAAAGTTTCAAGTGAAAAGAACTTTGTGTGTTATAGGCAACAACACTGTTGAACAAGTTTAATGCCCAAAATACCACATTCATCACAATTTGTATATTTATAAATAGATCATTTCCCACTCTCTGCAGTCACAATATATACATGTACTCCCTTCCCAAGGTTATCACGTAAGGACAGGTTTAACTGTATTCCAAAAATAGACCAAAAATCTTGCTCATACATGTATGTGTCAGGTAATGTCTTTAAATAGTTAATTAACTATTTATGACATTTTCTCTGTGTTTTGGAAAAGAATTTTGGGGTACATTGTTATGTTAAATGTTGAAAACTCCAGTACTAAATTCAGTACGAATAAAGCAATGCTGGAAATTGTCTGTGCAGAATTCAAAGAGGTCATACATTATTTGCCTTTCTCAGTAAAAAAAATAATCACTGGTATTAATAAAACATATCCTTGCATGTAAAAAGCAATAAAGGTAAAGGTCAGATAGATTGTTGATTCTGAAAATGAGAGAAAGTACTTTTCTTGTGTTGATGTAGGACATAAAAATAAATTGTTTGTGTGGAGGAAATAGAGATATGATTCAATGATGACTGTGTTAAGAGGTCACAAACCTCGTAGTTCACCTGAAGTAAGATTATTGATAAAAACTGTACACAGCAACTAGTATGGTAAACAACTTTGAAGGCTGTATGCGTTTTGAAACAAGCTGTGGTATACATTTGCTTTGGTATTTTCAATAGATTACAGTTAAAATTGTTTTCTGAAAAACTAAAATAGAGTGATATGGGGTTGTTGGCGGTGAAAATCTGCTTGAGACTTAAACAGGTGGTACTTTGGAAGTTCTATTTTAGGTGCCTGTTCGTGCATAAGGTTAAAACGAAATGGTCATGGTGGCATTTTCTAAACATTCGTCATTCCCCATTTGTCAAATGTTTTTAAATGAGCAATGAAGGGAAAGTTATCTTGCGAAACATTTAACCAGCTGAATTTGTGTAGTGGATTTGCCCCGTTTTAAATTTGAAACAGGCGATAAAAAAGTTGAAATGATTTCATTATCAAAAAAACAAACGTTAAGCTTCCAACTGTAAAGAGCTTGGTTAGACTGCATAAACTGGCTGAGGGTCTATTGTTGCCGAAGGCTTATCGTGACTTTAAGTCCTAGCAAGTTAAGGATAGTCCCAGCAAGTTAAGGAATTGTAGGGGTTTTATCTGCACTTTTAAAATCATTATCAATGACCTTCTTGTCAAATTTTATTGCGAAGACATATTTGTTCAGTGTTGAATATTATCTCGGATACGACCTTACTTAACAAATAGGTCACTGCGTAAATTATACATGTTCGTTAAAATTAATGTATTTTAAACAGCTCTCATTAATTTTGAACATGCAACCAACCATTGTTGGTTGAGTGAAGGTGACGGCTTTAAATGCCGTATGAAATTGTTTTATATCATTAGTACATGTTAGATAAACTTGAACTGAAATATAAATTTCATTTTCGATTGTTTGTCAGAAGGTAGATAAACATCGGAAATTAATTGATCTGTTTTTGTTTTGTAACATGAATTAAAGTTTGCTAACTGACATTGGAAATCGTACAGATAAAAACATATGTTGCAAGTTGTTAGTACATACAATGCCCTTGGCTGAAATAATGTAAGCCAATGACCCAATATCCATATGTTGACAGAATGACTCATTTCTTACCGGTAAGAAAGCATGATGACTCAACAATGTGTTGGTTGACTTAACTCAATAAGGTTAGCATCCATGGGTTCTCCAGCGAGGTGAGATTATTCCTGACAATTGGTCTTGCTTATTGACTGACAGTCTATTGGACATTTGTCTTTTACCACTGATTCAGAAATCATGTGGGATAAGTAGTTTGTCTCTTGTGAAATAAGTGGTAATTACTGGTTAGTTATCAAGGGTACTGGTTGGACAGACCACGGAAACATGGCCCAAAAAAATGAGCTAACTTAAAAATTGAATAAAATTTAGACAAACTTAATAATACTGGAAGAATTGATATAATTGTTTGCCTTAAATCAGATATTTTTTTTATGGATGAATGAATACGGATTCTGGTCATACTGAACTGAACACTGGTGTACATGCTGTCCTGCTTAGAAGACATGTTAATTTGATATTATAACTTTATTTGCCAGCATTCTATATAATACTTGTGATATAATGATATCAATATTAACATTTAATTATCTTGTTATAAGAGTTCATATTTTATTTGAGGTATAAAGGAAAATTCCTATCATTGTGCTATTAAATCATTTATCTTACCTACTTAATATATGTAATGACATTGCCCTGTGCGGAACACTCCATTTGTAGATTTGTGGAAATGTTCACGATACAAAAAATAAAGCCAATGATCTACCAACAGTTTATAGGTTGATCAGGCTGCATGGTTAGTGCATGCTGGCCTGGCTCTATACTAATGGCAAAGGATTCTGGTTTCAGAGGTTTCAAGTTTAAGCATTGTATGTTATAAATACAGCTGTTTTATAACTTTTGTAACTGGTATATATAACTGTGACATTGGCAGTTATACATACATTTCAGTTGGCAGTTATACAATATTTTTCAATGCCAATGCAATCATGTTTACTGGTTTTGAAGGAAAATTTTATTGACTTAAATTCTGTGAGGACAAAATTTGATCTTTTTCCAATATTTTCCATAGTAAGAGTTTGATTTTATTGTTTGAAATAAAGGAAATTTGGTCAGAATGTTGTACTTTTTTTGGACATTTAAAAACAAATGAGTGGTAAACTGGTTGTAATTAAGGACAAACTTGTTTTATACGCTAGAATACTTGTAAATTATAAGACCTGATTAATGCATTATGTCGCCACATACATAATCTGTACCAGCGGGAATAATGACCTTAGAATATATTATTTATAGATGTTACATATTTTGTAATATTTATATATATCATACTGTATTTACCTGTACACGTGAAGCAGTAGTGGTTGGAATTATCCAGTAATTTTCTTGTAGTGACATATGTTACCGTGGAAATTGTGTTTCTAGGCAAATAGTAAAATTTGGTTAATTACCGTACATCTTTCAGTTTTTTTGTGTCATTATTTATCATAATCTTGAAGTTGATTTAGTTCACTAAATACCTAGCAGAGCTCCAGATAGCGTGCGTATAAGCGTAAAATACGCATAGAAAATCTAAAATACGCATCACTTTCAAAATTCGTGCGTCACAGTTACGCACAACAAAATGAAAATACGCTCGTGTTTCAAAATTTATGCGTGAAAGAATAGAAGTGTAAACATTTGATATGTAGAAAGAAAATGTTTTGAGCATAAAAATACAATATTTTTCCATTTTATTGCATTGAAAACTGTCAACAACGCATGTTAAAAACGAAAGTAGCAGGAAATACAGAAGGGAGGTAACTCCCGTAGATCAACCTGTGAAATTATTGATGAAATTTGTACCAGATAATCGTTGTAGGAGTTAACACAGTACTAAGTTTGTTTAGGCATCTATTGACATGCTAATGAACACAGTACTAAGTTTGTTTAGGCATCTATTGACATGCTAATGCCTCAATATAAACAAAAATATATTTTAATTTCTTTAACTTTTGTTGTTTGAACAAAATAACATGTTTTTCACTTGCAGTTTTGTACTCAATATTTTCGTACCCAGTCTACAGTTACGGACAATTTTCTCTCAGACCAATACTTTTTTTAAGGAAAGATAAAAAAATCTTTTTTATGTTTCTTTAATTCTAATTTCAACTATAATTGTTCAAACTGGAGTACATGATAAGGTACATGCCAACAAAAATAAAAAAATAAAAATATTGACTCCTAGAAAATAAAATAATTTCAGGGCTTCCACTAGTGGAAGTTTGGGAGTCATTTACTCCTTCATTTGGCCTGTGACTTCCGAAAATCAATACTTTTCCTTCTTTACCTATATAATGTGACTTCAAATATCAGAGATTTTGAAGTCTTTGACTTCCAAATTTTGAAAATGGAAGCCTTGATAATTTTGCTGTTTATCCTAAACTTGAGTTCCAGTATACTCTGGAAATCTGACTTTACATGGCATGTTTTGTATTGTTTCACATTAAATCAGTATTTAATTTGTAAAGGTTTTTCTAAAAAAAGAAAATAAACAAACAAACAAACAAACACAACAATAAGTTTAATTTGTTTATAAAAAATGCAAAATGCTTTTTTTTGACAGATTTTACCCCTTAAGTTTTTCAGAATTTGCATTTTACCCCTCACTCTAAATTTTGAGGGGTAAAAACCCCTTGGCCCAAAAAATTATCTGGAGCTCTGACCTAGGAAGTGTTTTTAGCTCGACTATTCGAAGAATATGAGAGCTATTGTAGTCGCCCCGGCGTCAGCGTCCGCGTCGGCGTCTGCGTTGGTTAAAGTTTTTTGTAAAGTCAAATATCTCAATTATTTCTCAAGATTATCAATTGAAACTTACAATACTTATTTATAGTAACAAGGTACATCAGATAGACAAGTTGGATAACTCTGCCTACAATATTGACAGAATTATGCCCCTTTTCAACTTAGAAATTTTGGTTAAAGTTTTTTGTAAAGTCAAATATCTCAATTATTGCTTGAGATATTCAATTGAAACTTACAATACTTATTTATAGTAACAAGGTACATCAGATTGACAAGTTGGATAACTCTGTCTACAATATTGACAGAATTATGCCCCTTTTTAACTTAGAAATTTTGGTTAAAGTTTTTTGTAAAGTCAAATATCTCAATTATTGCTTGAAATATTCAATTCAAACTTACAATACTTATTTATAGTAACAAGGTACATCAGATTGACAAGTTGGATAACTCTGCCTACAATATTGACAGAATTATGCCCCTTTGGAACTTAGAAATTTTGGTTAAAGTTTTTTTGTAAAGTCAAATATCTCAATTATTGCTCGAGATATTCAATTGAAATTTTAAAAAAATTTTTATAGTAACAATGTACATCAGTTTGCAAAATTGCATAACTCTGCCTGCAATATTTGCATAATTATTTGCCCCTTTGAAACTTAGAAATTTTGGTTAAAGGTTAAAGGTCTTCAAAGATATTTACTACTTTACACATGCACTTAGGATCATAATTGGAGGGTCATAATTGTATGTCACTGACCAAGTTCCATAACTCTATCTTGCATTAAGGCTGATTCATATCCCCTTTTCTACTTAGTCTCTTGGTAAATGTTTACATGCAAGTTTTACATATCTCAATAACTATTAAAGATATTTATTTAAAACTTCACATATGCATTTAGGGTCATAATTGTAGGTCACTGACAAAGATCCATAATTCTATCTTGCATTTAGGCTGATTTTTTCTCCCCTTTTTCAACTTAGAAATTCATGGTAAAGTTTTGCTTTTAAGCTGTTATCTCAATAACTACTGAAGGGTTTGTGCCTTTTTTGGGACAATTTTGTGCATTCATAATAATAAAGCAGTGATTTACTTGATAAAACATCTTAATAACAAGCCTTTGTACCTTTTCTGTCAAATTTATGTATTCATAGGTAATTAGTATTATTATACTCAATAAAACACCCTTGTGACATTACCTTCTGAATAGTCAAGCCAATACTGTATAATTAGACTCTCTCTAAGGCCTATAACATGAATTTATAAAAAAAAATTAGCCCTTTTGTGAACTTAAAAAATTTAACATTTTCAAGGCTCTTTTACTATCAAGCACTTAGAAAAGTCGAGCATGCTGTCCTACAGACAGCTCTTGTTATTTCATATACTTTATGCACTTTGCTGTTGCTCAGTTTTTCCTTGATCAGAACATGCAGGAACGGTGCCAGAATCCTAAAATAAAGTTTATGATTATGTAATGTTATTTGTTTTGTAACAAAACGGAAGTCAGGTGTATAAAGAGAGAAAATTCTAGAAAGATCTTTGATAATGAAAGTGAGCAAGATTTGTTTATAGAAAAACCTGTCTGTATAGACCATTGTAACAACCTGGATGAGAAAACATCGGTCATTGTTTTGACATTGTCAGGGGTTATTTGGTACTTAAATGGAATGTGTCATGGTTTTTTACCCAAGAATAAAATATTATAAATTAAGTTGAGGGCGTTATATGGTCCTTTACTGGAGATGGCTTCTATTCAGAGGTCAACAAGTAATTAGTATTATAATCATTTTGACCATACTTCAGATTATTAGGTTATTATAAGATTAGGTGATTAATAGTTGGCTGTTATTCAAAGATGTTAATATCACAACATTTATACAATACGTATACAAGGTTGACCTCAATCTCGTGTAAACTGGTTTTAACTGAAGTTATAGCTGCTGTAAAGATGAAATATGTAGCATTTTAATTGACAAGTTTTTAAAGAAATTAATGATATATGAATGGGTAATTTTACATATTGTTCTACTTTCATAAGCATGTGATGAATGTGTTTACTAAGACGTAAAAGCTGTCACGTTTGACATTTAAAATATAAATCGTGGCTGACTTAGATACTTTGTCTTGTAACAAGTTGTTTAAAATGAAATAATCCTTACAAGTGTTGTAATTTCCTATATGTCTTTCATTACATCATTTATACGGCATACTAAAAAATGAGCCTCAGAAATCTAAAGTAAGTAGAACTGAGTTTGCCTTGCTATTAGAAATGTTAACATGCCAAATTATTAAACATTTTCTTTAGTAAACCTTGTGCAGCTGTTCCTTAAAAAATGTCAAACTATTTAGTTACTATACTATTTTCTTCACTTAACCATGTACAATTATTCCTTAATTAAAGATATACTATGCTCACTTTTGAGAAAAATATTTCAATCGAAATAAATTTATTAAAACCTATGAAATTCTTACTGAATATGTCTAATTTGAATACAAAATGAATAAACTATACATTGGAAGTCACATTCTTTATTAGATCTATAGGACAAGTAAAGTTGGTCTTTTCTTAAAAAAACTGCCAGTTTTTTAAACAACACTATATATTCATATTGTGACAACCTATAGTATGAAGGGTTTTAAACATGACATTTCAACTTTGTGTTAAGTCAAAACATATTTTTTTTCTCATATTTACAAAGAGACTGTGCTGCAATTATCAATATTTTCTGATATCATATTTGAGCATAATATATCTTTACAGAAAGAAGTGTATTTTAATTTATAGCATAAACAATATTATATCGATACTTTTTTTATTTTACAGGAAAAACAACAGCTTAACAGCAAGACAGTGTATCCAGCGGATTTATGCTAAAGATGGTTTAGGAGGGTTTTATCGAGGTATTACAGCCTCGTATGTGGGAGTCACAGAAACTGTCATACATTTTGTGATATACGAGTCAGTGAAGGCTCAACTTCTATCTATGAGTAACCATTCCGACGATGAAAGATCGTATTTAGATTTCTTTAAATTCATGTTGGCTGGAGCGTGCTCAAAAACATTTGCTACATGCATAGCATATCCACATGGTAAGTTTGTAAACTGTATATATATATGCCGTTGATTATTGTATTCTTTTGTAACTTTATTTACACATACATTCTTACATTTATTGTACATTACAATAGGTGTTGATTTTCCTGTAAACTGGCTTGTATGTAAAGTTGCTGTCTTAAATTGTTTAACTCGGATTCCTACATTTTCCCTGCTGAATTTCTTCAGTGGATGTTACCAGCTTTCATTTTGAGTGCTGTTTTATTATCTGTTCTCGGTTTAAAAAGATGAAAATGTTTCAGTTAGTTTTACTACAGGGATGTGTAGGCCAGCCATACTCTATACAGTATAAAAAATACTAGGGACAGAGGCTAATAATTTTCGTTCCAACAGGCTTAAGATAGGATTTAAATGTGTTTTGATGTCTTGTTTTTTTTCTTTAGGGTGTTCCTTATTAATGGAAACAAATTGCGTATTGCCATAATTAAAGACTCTTATAGTATCAAACAAAGAAAAGACAAGGTAGCCTGGAGGTTAAGAACCTATTTAAGCATAAAAATTCTATTCTTAATTGGTTTACAGATTTTTCATGTTGTAAATTACGTTCTTTAAGACATGTACATCAATGATATCACCATTATCAACAAGTTTCTGTAGAATGTTATTTAAAGTTTTTATTTGTTTCTTTGCAGAGGTAGTTCGTACTCGTCTACGTGAAGAAGGGAACAAATACCGATCATTCTTCCAGACGTTACTGCTGGTTGGTAAAGAGGAAGGGTACCGGGGACTTTATCGTGGCCTCGCCACTCAATTAGTTAGACAAATCCCAAATACCGCCACAATGATGGCAACATACGAGCTAGTTGTCTATCTATACGAGTGTTGGAAACGGGACAGAAGTACCTGAATTTCGTTTCGTTAAAGATATTTGCAATTACATTTAGAAGAGGCATGATCTCGGGTTCACTTGAAAAGTGCTTTAACCACAGTGAATAGTTGACAATAGTTTGTGGAAAATAAAATGGTGCTTACGTCCCCTTGTCTTCTCATATTTTGCCATGTCAAGTCAGTGAAAAACAGGGCATTATGAGAGAACCAAAACGGGTGCAACTTAGAAATACATATTATTGTGTGACTGACTCTGTGTTATGGATTTTCAAACATGATAAAATTGTAGAACATAAAAGGATGATGAAAGAGTTACAACATAAATAGTATACATTGTAATATAGATAAAATCTGATTATACTGATGTAAATAATGAAGATAAAAGATTGCCATATATAGATCCATGGTTTATGATATCATATTGTATGATTTAATGATAACATCTTGAGTTTTATTGATAAGCGTTTAATACATTAGAGAAACATCCATTGCCATTCGGATTTTATAAAATAATAGTTGCTGATTTATATTAAACAATTTGAAATACTTGCTAAGAAGAATCTTTTTCTCTAATATACTGTAAATCTCTGCAGATAACCACCCATGACTGTTGTTTTAAACAACCATGTTTAGACAGAGTAATATCAATACAGAAAATTGGAGTATCATAAGTAATATTTTCAGACCGACGACCAAACTTTTCGGCACAGTTAGAAATATAGCAGCTGATAACCATTAAAATCTCGAGGGCTGGTAAAGAATAAAACCCTCAATTTTCTATTTTAGAAAAAAGTGATAATAATTTATAAACAACCCTATCTATATTTGTTAAGAAAACAAGGCTTATTTTAAGTGTGCGTGTTTTTTTTTCAATAATGATTTTCTGTGATATATAGAAATTTTCTAATTTACTTGATGTATATATTTCATGTTTTTGTTATATTAATAATGTGAGATAATGTAGGTAGCTATGTTGGACATATAATGTGCATTTATTTCTCGAGTAGATGAATGTTTTCTACTGTCATTTTAATGTTTATACATTGTGTAGATAATAAGGACATTGTCACATTTAATTAAAAGGTGATTACCACAGATTTGACTGGTCTTGGACTTGTCATGCTTTCTAATATTGAAATAGTTAAATGAAAAACTTACGTGCTTAAACATTCTGTCTGCTGGCGGCACCTGATAAAAACAATACCAGAAAAGCATACATTTGGGTCAGTCAGCGCTTTTGTACTGTTTCTCTGGGGTCTACGCTGTTTGCTATTCAGGAAGAACAGATTTTGAAATTTTCCCCTTGAAAATGATGAATGGTTTTGTCTAGATTGAAAGACAGACAAGTTCATTTCAGATATTTAGCATTTACTAAAATATTTATCACCTCAGAGTTTAGACTGACTGTATACAGATGGCAACAGCAAACTTTTAGCATTATAATTGTAGTCATAGTAACTGTTAATGTCATATATGAATGGAAATTATTTCTTTTGATCAGCATTTTAGTGTATAAAAGTTTTTTGTTATTTTGGAAATTTCATGAAAACTTAATATTTTGTTTAAAAAAATGTTCAATATTTTTTGTACAAAAATATTGTAAGACAATTTCAACAACTAAAAATGACCCCTTAACAAAACTAGCAGTCATTTAGAAATTAGATGATAAATTTTTATTGAAATATATAGTTGTAAATGATTATATCTCTTTTCATATAAAAATTTATACAGAGTTATAGATCTTGAAAAGTAATACATTATGCCTTGTCATAGAAAACTGCAAATAATTAACATCGGGCCTTTTCTTACCGTTTCTGGTTGTTTCATGTAAAAACAAATGATTCTTTAATTAGTTGCTAGAAATAAAACAAAATTATAATACATTACTAGAGGTGATATTATGTGTACAGTTTTCATATCATTCAAATTTTTCATATTTTTTCATTACAATTTTGTAACAAAATCAATGTTTGCATAATACAATCCAAGTAGTTATTATTTGTTTAGCTAGTAAACACACTTTATTGTTGTATATTTTCATTGGATTGAAATATCACTGAACATTTTTTCCACCATTATTGTTTTTAATTTGATTATTCTTGGTTTTCTGAAATCTGTATTCTCAAGGATTTTTTTCATCTTCTTCAGTTATTGTTCTTTTGTTTTGTTGTGATTCTGTGAAATTTTAAGCACTGCTTATTATTAAATACTGAATTATACATCTAGATTTGTGTTAAATTTTTATAGGAAAAAAAAACGTGTAAATTGTTTAATTGGAAAAACTGTTTTCAGGTGTACAAACCAAGTTATTCAATTTTGTCTTTAGGCATATATTATTGCAAAGAAATTACCTATTAATTTGTTAAAATATGTAGCAATTTTTGCTTACACCTTAAGTAACTGGGTAGAATTTTGATGATAAATACCATAAATTAAGTGATATAAGCTAGCCTAAGGCATTAACTATTCATGGAGGTCAAATACCTATACTGTAACTTGTCAAAATATGTAGAAATTTCTCTTGAAGAGCACGGTAGATTTTTTATGATAAATACTATAAAATCTGTTATATTTGAACAATACAAACAAAATTTCAATTTGAGTTTGAAAATTTATACACTCCTGAAAATATAAAGAAGATTTATTTAAGTAATTCAGAGGCGTGCGATGTAACAATGTTGAAAAAAAAATCAAAAGTTAACTAAATTAAATTTTGAACCATTTTAACTTAAAGGAGAACATCATTTATGTTTGTGTAACATGATAAATTGTAAAATAATGTCCTGTTAGTAACATGATATCATCTTGTAACATGATCTACTTTTCAGTATTCAAAAAGTATTGTTAATAAATTGCATTGTGTTTTATAGGTGATACATATTATTTATCTAATATTTAATATCGAAGTATATATGTTCATGTGGAAAAATTATGACTCCAAGTTGAGATGGTAGATTTAATATTATTAAGAGATTTAATATCATGGTTATTTTGAAAATAACATATTTTACAGTGACATTTGTCACATTAGTGCAGTAACAGGTTATGTCCTAAATTTAAGTTATTGCACTAAGGTGAGGCAGTATGCCCATCTAAGGGTATTTAGTGAGAGATCAGCTGAAAATCAAAATAAGATCATTTTGACGTAATTCCTGGCAATTTTTGTATTTTACTTGAAAGATTAATAACTAATGTGGCCCCAGGGTATTTCTGTAAATTACCAATCGGAATTTACCATCCATTGTTCACTTTATAAAAAGAGTATTGCAGTCTGATTTACATTTTAGGCAGATTTATATTTTCTCAAGAATCTCAAGTATCAACTGTTGGTCAATCACCATTATAACAGTCAATCTTTTGAAATTTATAGTGAATTCAGCTCAACACAGAAAAAAGGAGCATAATGTCACTTTAAGCTAATTGGGTCAGCATTATTTTTTCTATGTTAATACATGTAACTAAAAAATCTAAATTTTATTCATAAAACATTTACTGTGTGTACATACTTCAGATTTTTGTGACAACATACTGTATGTCCAAGTGTTATTATATCAATTGGGCATGATTCAGGTATTGTTAAATGTGTAATAAGTAATCTCACAGGTTGTATGGTTTCTGATAATTGAACTCGCATTTTGCTCAATGTCTTTGGAGGTGATAATTTTATTGCAAATGATGATAACTGAAGGTATTTGATAAAGTGATTGGTAAATATTGATAACTGATAAAGTGAAATTAATTTAATTGATGAATACAATGAAGAGTGGATGAATCGAATAAATTGTTTTGTGAAGAATGAAGTTAAAATAGAAAGTTTTTGTACATAGAAATCTAGTCTCCACACCAGCCAAATTTTATTAATCTACCTGCGTTAATGATCTGAGAATAAATTTTTCACTTTTGTAAATTCAAGTCATTTCTACAGTGTTACAAGGGAGGTAATTTGGTTATGTGTACACTTGTTACTTCCCTTTAGGTCATGTGACCTTTATCAGATAAATTCACAGTAGTACAGTTGCAGTTACTTCCCTTTTAGTCATGTAACCAAGTTGCAGTGCATTGAATGTAAAGTAAAAATGTATATAGTGTAGATAGCTATTGGTCACAAAATGACCAGCCATGTTTGTTTCAATATAACTTGTCACCATCAGATTTATGGTAAAGTATTATTTTTGCTAAGTTTGTATGCTTGGATTTTATTTGTTACTAATGCAAACATATCTGTATTTATAAACCTAGTTGGAGGAAATGTGCACTCTACCTTCTTCATTTCTTTGTGGATATCTAGTGAACAAACAGTTTTAAACAGTTATTTATAAATATTTTACATTTCTTTGCTTATATACATGTCACGATGTGAACAAATGACCACCTTAATTGAATTTTGTCGTAGATTTGTGACCACCCTGTAAATAAGACCACTTCGGTAAACACCTGTCGATGATCTTAAGAGGGTTTTTATCATACATGTAGTTGAAATACCACCAGGTATTTATTTACAAATGATGTTAATGCAGCTGAAATAAAAAAAATGACATTTAATTGTTTTGCAGTACATTGATATTGAAGAATATATATATTTACGGTAAATTTTCTTTAAAAAAATAATTTCATGTTATATTTGCAATTTAAAAAAGGGCTTTCTTCTTTGTATCTAAATGTAACATTTATTTTTGAATCTATTAAATACAAGAAAACATAGGAACTGTTTTGATATGTGTTTGTGTAACAGATAAATTGTGTCCAAAGGCATGCATTCTTGGTGTAAGAAAAAAGGGCTTTGTTCCCTATGAAAAATCTATGTTAAAAAAAAATCAATAAAATTATGAAAATATTACATATGCTTTCTTGTTTATTATATGAAAAAAGAGGCATCATACATGTTTGTTTTCCCATTGATCACTCATTTCCCAGACTTTTTGATTTATTATTTTGAGATGCTATTTTGTGTATTACCAAAGTAAATGTTGTATGAATAAAACAAACAGCACTGGATGTAAGAAGAATCATTACAGAACGCCATAAAATGTGGAGGTAGACAGGAATGTCAGCCCATTATGGGCGGGTTCAGAGATGAAGTAAAAAACGTGTCCGAATTCCCCAGAAACAGCATAAATCATATACCGGAAATACTTTAAAGAAAACACCTGCAGAATAAATCGTCCCTTAATAAACTGTCTTGTTATAATTACAGAACTTTTTTCGTTAATCTAGAAGCTTGTTGATGTCGACAATTAAGGATCACATACAAATATGGTATTTATCAGGTGGTGTCGGCATCGCAGACACAGATATCAGTATTGATCAAGTGGTGTCCGCATCACAGACACATATCAGTATTAATCCAATGGTGTCTGCACCATAAACACAAATATCAGTATAAATCAAGTGGTGTCAGCATGGCAGACACAAATATCAGTGTTAATCAAGTGGTGTCAGCATCGCAGACAAAAATACCAGTATTAATCAAGTGGTGTCCGAACCACAGACACAAATATCAGTATTAATCAAGTGGTGTCTGCAACACAGACACAAATATCAGTATTAATTAAGTGGTGTCCGCAACACAGACACAAATACCAGTATTAATCAAGTGGTGTCCGCATCACAGACACAAATATCAGTATTAATCAAGTGGTGTCCGCAACACAGACACAAATATCAGTATTAATCAAGTGGTGTCCTGTCACAGACAAAAATACCAGTATTAATCAAGTGGTGTCCGCATCACAGACAAAAATACCAGTATTAATCAAGTGGTGTCCGAACCACAGACACAAATATCAGTATTAATCAAGTGGTGTCCGAACCACAGACACAAATATCAGTATTAATCAAGTGGTGTCTGCAACACAGACACAAATATCAGTATTAATCAAGTGGTGTCCGAACCACAGACACAAATATCAGTATTAATCAAGTGGTGTCCGCAACACAGACACAAATATCAGTATTAATCAAGTGGTGTCCGAACCCACAGACACAAATATCAGTATTAATCAAGTGGTGTCCGCAACACAGACAAAAATATCAGTATTAATCAAGTGGTGTCCTGTCACAGACAAAAATACCAGTATTAATCAAGTGGTGTCCGCATCACAGACAAAAATACCAGTATTAATCAAGTGGTGTCCGAACCACAGACACAAATATCAGTAATAATCAAGTGGTGTCCGAACCACAGACACAAATATCAGTATTAATCAATGGTGTCCGCAACACAGACACAAATATCAGTATTAATCAAGTGGTGTCCGAACCACAGACACAAATATCAGTATAATCAAGTGGTGTCCGCAACACAGACACAAATATCAGTATTAATCAAGTGGTGTCCGAACCACAGACACAAATCAGTATTAATCAAGTGGTGTCCGCAACACAGACACAAATATCAGTATTAATCAAGTGGTGTCCGAACCACAGACACAAATATCAGTATTAATCAAGTGGTGTCCGCATCACAGACACAAATACCAGTATTCATCAAGTGGTGTCCGAACCACAGACACAAATATCAGTATTAATCAAGTGGTGTCCGCAACACAGACACAAATACCAGTATTAATCAAGTGGTGTCCTGTCACAGACAAAAATACCAGTATTAATCAAGTGGTGTCCGCATCACAGAAACAAATAACAGTATTAATCAAGTGGTGTCCTGTCACAGACAAAAATACCAGTATTCATCAAGTGGTGTCCGAACCACAGACACAAATATCAGTATTAATCAAGTGGTGTCCGCAACACAGACAAAAATACCAGTAATAATCAAGTGGTGTCCGAACCACAGACACAAATATCAGTATTAATCAAGTGGTGTCCTTTCACAGACACAAATATCAGTATTAATCAAGTGGTGTCCTGTCACAGACAAAAATATCAGTATTAATCAAGTGGTGTCCGCATCACAGAAACAAATAACAGTATTAATCAAGTGGTGTCCTGTCACAGACAAAAATACCAGTATTCATCAAGTGGTGTCCGAACCACAGACACAAATATCAGTATTCATCAAGTGGTGTCCGAACCACAGACACAAATATCAGTATTAATCAAGTGGTGTCCGCAACACAGACACAAATATCAGTATTAATCAAGTGGTGTCCTGTCACAGACAAAAATACCAGTATTATCAAGTGGTGTCCGCATCACCGAAACAAATAACAGTATTAATCAAGTGGTGTCCTGTCACAGACAAAAAATACCAGTATTCATCAAGTGGTGTCCGAACCACAGACACAAATATCAGTATTAATCAAGTGGTGTCCGCAACACAGACAAAAATACCAGTATTAATCAAGTGGTGTCCGAACCACAGACACAAATATCAGTATTAATCAAGTGGTGTCCGCAACACAGACAAAAATACCAGTATTAATCAAGTGGTGTCCGAACCACAGACACAATTATCAGTATTAATCAAGTGGTGTCCTGTCACAGACACAAATACCAGTATTAATCAAGTGGTGTCCGCAACACAGACACACATATATTAATTAAGTGTATCAGACCCCTTAAAGTAGGAGAAACAGAAGGCTTAATTTTTACAACCGTAAATGCGACGATTCTTGCGCTCTCAACTTGAGGATTTCGAAACATTAAACACTCTTCACATGATGAACGACACTAATTGCAGAGTTGAGTCAAGCAAATCGCTTCCACACTTTAACGGAACTCGACTGAGGCTTAAAACATAAAATTTTAATTTCTTATAGCACTGCGAAAGATATTACATAGATGTTCTCAGAATGAAAGCAAACACCGATTGTTTGTGCAATTCTTAGAATGACTTGAGTGAAAAGCGTTGCAACGATTTTCTACAAATAAAATAATTATTCTGGAAAAGCGGGATGAGGGAACGATATGAAAATGTGCACTAAAGTTATTGGTCCAAACCCTCATTAAATAGTTCATAAATTTCGGAAAAGTAAAAAAACCTCAGCGAAGTCCCTTTAAGAGATTCGTATCCAGTGTTTTTCGCCATTCTATTACAATATAGCATCATGATTAGCTACGACTCAACAAACATAATAATAACCAACCGCCAAAAACTTTCTGTGACGGCAAAACCGGCAGCATTGTCAGTACATATACATGTAATACCCGTACGAACTTGTTATGAAGTATGTGATATCCATTTGGCATTTATTTGACACCTGAACTTCTCAGGACGGATACAATAAAGATGTCAAATAGGTACACATAGGTAAGTAGAAAAAACCTGGTTTACTAAAATGTCTACGAGCAGTAACTGTTACATTCTTTTTATACAATAGTAGATGTGTTGCCTCCCTTTGTCACAAGATCTATCTACCCACTTATTTTTTTTTTTTGCTTTACCATATAATAATCAAATTTGATATTAGAAAGTATTTATAATTGCTACATATTCTCTTTGTAAATATAAAATAAGCATATTTTGACTTCACACAAAGTAGATGCATGCATGTTATGTTAAATTCTACACACGTACAACTAGTACATAGGTGGTCATAATATGAATATATAGAACTGATCAACTTTACTTGTCCCGTAAGAGGCTTGTCCCGTAATAGGAAACGCAGCTTCTCATACATAGATTATTCAATTAGACATATTCAATAAATTTGTGACTGAGTAAAATATTTGTACTCAAGGATTTTAAGTCAGCAGATTTAGGTACCCTCAACTGAATATGTTTCGAGAACCACACAAAAATGTCTCGATTCATTTGATTTTCGGTATCAGTACAGTAATTTATGTGTATCTTGAACATGCATTCTAAATTACTAAAACCCTCAAATATAGAATATATATTTTTTCATAGGTAAATATTAAAAGTATTGAACAGATGATAACATTTTGATAGCCATCTTTCTTGTTGTTTTTGTTTTGTTTTGAGATGTATCATAATTCCATCTTGAGGTTATGTAACTTGAATGAGGTAAGGTTGAGCATGAATACAGACGACTAAACAATAGTTATTTCACATCTTATAAAATGTGACCATGAACTTCCAGCTTTCACACTATGTAATTTCCCAGTATAAATCATATATAAATCATTATTTGATCTAGTGCTGCTTTTTTTTTAGTTTCGTTTTCATTTTGTCAGTCGAAAATTCCATTTCAAACCACTAATGTCCTGCATGTAGTATCATAGTTTTATTTTCTGTTCCAAAAAAAACCCCATAAAAATCCAATATTGTACTTCGTCCAGGGTCCAAAAAGCCATATCAAATCTTATTGTACACGAAGTATCAATTAAGGGCCTGACATTGTTGAAAACAGTACTGTACAATATTGGCCTTGTATACAACTGAAAAACCTTTATATGACTCGGCTAGTACCTTGTGTTTTGTACTAATACCTTCATAATATCAAATGATTTAGAAAAATAGTCATTCGAGTAGTCTGAAGACTTTTCTATAAATTACATTATAAAATACGCTAGAAATAGTTTATCTTTCATTAACTACTTTTTTAATTAAAGGGAAGTAAATGCAACTATATATGTCAAGTAAAATTATTTTTGTTATCTCCCCGCATATTTCCAAATGAAGAGAATCCGTTCTGATACTGATGGGCCAATTTCTTTTCACCACTTCATGAATAAGGCCAGTCCTTCATTTGTATTTTTATGACATGTTAATACATTACATTCATATGTATCTTATTTCAATAAATTGATGTTCACCTTGTGTTCATTTGAGTCTATTAGAATTTGACTGTTTAGTAGTAGTTTAGTAGACGCGAAGTAATTCCAATTACATGGGATTTCGCGGAAACATTTGTACATTAATGCGGATTGTTTAAGACAACTAAATTATAAACACTTGTTTTAAGGCAACACGAAAACATGTAGTTTTAAATCTACAGAATATATTTACGCCACCTCGTACAAATCATATAGCCTCGTGTTTCGATGCTCTTTCTATTACTTATGAAAAGTTATAGTGAAACTATAGGAAAGAAATTTGTCTTTACTGCTGCATATTGCAACAGAACATTGCACATGTAATTATAATATATCAAGGGAGGGCAACCAATAACTTTTTTAAATGACTATTTGCATAACTTTTTGCATGGTATTACAGTATTGATAACAAAACTAATAAAAATTTAATGTTTAAGGATTACATATGCGTATGTAAAACTTATCAAACTGAATGTTACTGTGTATTTGAAAACCCACATGTTCGCGACTTTTCCCGAATTTCGAAGCAAAATCTGGAAAATATATTTTTAGAGGATTACCACTCATGAATATTAACATTTCATAAAGTATTAAAGAACAACAAACATTGTTAGATTAAAATATTTACTGGCATTATAGAAAGTGGTTTATAAAATAATAATTTATTGCAGTATCATTTTTTTTTTTTATAAATTAAGGACATAAACAAACAGCTGATATGATCAATGACAACTTCGAAGCTTTAACTGATGGGAGATGAATCTTCTTAAAATACGTAATTATCTGCCCCTTTCGATGTGCTGAATTCAATTCACAGTCATCTGAAATATAAAAAAATATGACAAGCTGTTAAATTGAGCCCGCAATTTCGTGAAAATAATATCACAATGCACACGCTTTTTACATAAAGTTATTAAATACAAATATAACAACATATTAGTTTACTTGATTTTTACGGTTTTATCAAATAAAACTTTACATGAAAATTGCTTAATAGTTATGAATGAGACACTATGTCGCCTTTGGTTTTGTAACATCGGCTTGAATATTGTTACGCGACTGTTCAATGTTGTTTTTTTGCGAGGATTACTATTGAAAGAACGTTCACGAACAGCCCCTAACACATTCTATTGAAGATTGTAGATACGGCCTGACTGAGTCTGTATATGAGAGATAATGTACGTGAAAGTGCAACATTTTTCAGGCTCCCTAGCATCGGCTTAAGCCGTATTTCATTTTCAATACGAATTCATGGTCCCAAAGAACTAGAAAAATATAACAACACTGATATGAAGTACGAAACAACTTTTGACAGCTGCTGTCTGCTGTAATCTGAAAAGGGGGAGATCCGGGCATTTTTCATATTGTTATAAAAAGAATCGGCGTGATATAGTAAATCATAATGGAGGTTTTAATACATAAATTATGTTTATGATCTTTTTCAGAATGACGTAAGGAAATAGAACATTGATGTTATATCATTATAATTTTTATTAGTAATAATTTTGATTATATAATTTACCCATTTCAAGCGATAACAAAGGTAATGTGTCATAGGGTGAATATTAAGATGTCCTGTACAAGATCGATTTGATGTCGACTATATAGATTTATCGGTATATCTTATCAAATACTATGCAAAAGTTTATTATAGATTTGCATAGAAATGACACGGCGTATTTGATTAAAAAATATTAAAAGGATCGTAGGATAATTTAAAACTGCATTTGACCTTTAAATTTAAAGTTATGGTGTTCATTACTTTGTACCATTAAATTACACATTATTGAAGGTCTCAATTTCAGGCCATGGAGTAAAAGTACTTCATAAATAATTCACATTCTAAAATGCCTCACAATTTCCACATGGCTAAGAAACCGTTTTTGTTACTACTTTTTACTAAAATCGTGACCTGGGTAGCACCGCCCATCTGTTTCTTAGGTACCCTCCCGTTCCATCGCCGTATAATTTAACAATGTTTAAAACGGAAAAGATTGGAATATTCAACAAATAGGCATAAGTGAATATACAGATAAAGCATTAATTAATGCATGTGTTTTATTTACACTAATTTAGTCAGCACCTAACATCAATACGGGTAACTTACACAAGAAATTTAGTTTGTGATTGTTGTTGTTGTAGTTGTTTTTGTAGGAATTTTTTTCTTTAACGTACACCATTTCTTAAGACCCTCGGCTTTTGAAGTTAACGTACATCATTACTTAAGGCCCTTACTTAAGGTCTTATCCTAAGACATGTTAATAATTTTATTTTGAATAGAATTTCGGGCTCCTAGTAATTTGCAGCCAAGAATAATTACTATTAGTTAGCTCGATATATAAAACTCACTTGAGACATTTGTTTTTCTTTCATGTTTTATTCTTTTAATATTATAGATAAAGACTACAAACTTAGTTTGACACGTGACAGGGAGAATTTAAACTCCCATCTGCATGTAACCACATGTATAATAAACCCAAAATTTTATAAATAATCAATCATTTTTCGCATTATATTAGCAACTAGTAATTCTAGACTAATAAATTTAACCTGCAACCATTAACTTTCTTTTTTTATTAGACAGTTGCTCAACTTTTCAATTAAATTGATAAATAAAAGTCTCGTATGTTAAGTTAAAAGAGAAAAACAATGACATTTGTCTCAATAAACGTTCATATCCGTTGCAAAAAAGTAAATCACTCTATTTTTATTCATCTAGAAAATAAGTATTATTTCCTATAACATTTTAATAGCTTAAAATGGTGTATTTTAGTTAGCCAATTAAAAATAACAAAAAAGTTAATATAATTCTTCCTCTATGATGTGTGGGGGCTAACATTTGTTTATAAAATGTCAAATTATACTAAATACTTGCACTTTATTTTATAGTCATATTTTTTGTGTCATATTTGTTTATTTGTAGAGGCATAGCGTTTAACTTAATGTGATTCGCAAGCGGTAATAGTGCCAATAATTAAGGGCCAGACCTGCAGTTTGACCAAACTGTTTATTATTATTTGTCCCAGTTTAAAACTTTAATATTAAAATTAATCATGCTATCAGCAATGGGAAGCTTGTCAATAAAGTTGCTCACATTCAACACGATAAATGTTACATGACCCTTTGCGAGTTTTTTTTAACGTTAAAACGTTTTTTCTTTTGCCCTATGACGTCATTCTACGCCCGCCAACGCATGTATTTAAAGTAAGCAATAACTACACGGAAACGCTCACATTGATGGATCGTCATATGATAAAACTAATTATCATCAATAAAGAGAGGAGCACGCCAATTATCACAAACGGTTTTTCCCCATAAAATCTTTCTTTGTCTTAAGAATTGTGTTCTTTCTTTGGCATTCTTAAATTAACACAATGCAAATTATCTGTAACACATTAATGATAAAGTTAAATGTACGTATACTAACTGCTTTTTTCTGTGTGATTTTTTTTATAACTTAGCCTGTTTATTACCTATCTTATACTGTATTGTATATACATGTATAAATAATATAAGCATTATTAAGCTAAGTAAACTAATGGTTAATTAAATACTATCACAGTTAAGTAGTTTTTATCATCGGTGTTTCACAATCATCAATGTCATTCGCATTAAATATATTTGTTATCTTACAGCGTTTGGTGTCTCAATAGACATTTCAAGTTTTGCATGCAAAATTATCACTATTTAATCTGAAAGAAATTGTTAAAACTAATGAAATTATGTTATTTACTTTGACAAGAGCAGCTTGACAATGTGGTTAATAGTTAATAGTGTTTTATCCTACAATAAATATCTACATATTAGATACCTCAGCCCGATTATATCCCTATAGGAAACTTTGGATTACCAGAACTCGTCCATTAACCAACTAGCAACAAATGGGTTTTGATGCCATTGTTGTTGTGCCGGTTGTTGCCATTGTTGCCGTGCAGGTTGTTGCCATTGCTGCTGAGCAGGTTGTTGCCATTGTTGTTGTCGTGCTGGTTGTTGCCATTGTTGCTGAGCTGGTTGCTGCCATTGCTGTTGAGGTGCCGGCTGTTGCCATTGTTGCTGTCTTGCTGGTTGTTGCCATTGTTGTTGTTGGTGTTGATGCTGTTGTTGGGGTGCCGGTTGTTGCCATTGTTGCTGTTGCTGAGCTGGCTGTTGCCATTGTTGTTGGGGTGCTTGCTGTTGCCATTGTTGTTGGGGTGCTTGCTGTTGCCATTGTTGCTGTCTTGCTGGCTGTTGCCATTGTTGTTGCCTTGCAGGTTGATGCCATTGTTGTTGTTGCGGTTGGAAGAAATTGAAATTGTTGCCCCATCCCCCGACTAGACCGGCAAGAGCCATGTTCGAGCCAAAATTGTCATTGTCCCATTCTCCCCAATCATCATCCCATTGAGCTAGAAAAGATTAATCTTCTTGTATAAATTTGAGAAATGAAAACTTGAGAAACGAACCGATAAGTCAACCTTATTTACACAAATCACTTTTTGAAATAAATGCAGTCGTCTTGGTAAGTTATTAAACACAGTATTGTCTACAAGGTTATTTTTATAACGACGTCGCAATATTTCTTAAGTTTGTTTTTGTTTCTAATTCTTTACCTATTTCTCATGGTTTAACAGTTTTTTGTTTGTATCAAAACGAAATTTTGTAGTATTTAGATGTGAACAATATATGTACAAAAACTGAAAATACAACAGTAAAGTGTCATGACAGATATGCCAGAGCCTTATTCTCGACTACATATTATCACCAACATAACGGCGGAATCAACAGAGCTACGATTTCATAGTGGAAAATACTACAATTATATTGCGGATATATAATAAAGAATGACGATATTTTGGTAATATATCAGACATAAGAATAAGAAAATACTTCTACAGCAAATAGTGCGTCATTGCTTTCTGTCTGTAGAATTATTTTATCTATAGATTATGATCTAGATCTAGATCTATGGAATGCTTTGTTGCCAATTGGTACACTCGGTGAAACATAATAATAATAATAATAATAATAATAATAATAATAATAATAATAATAATAATAATAATAATAATAATAATAATAAAAATGATCGAAAAATTATACGTTTATAAATAAAAATAATTTCTTACCTGAAACGCTTGTTAAACAGCTCACTAGAAATATTGCATTAGTTAAAACCAAACCAAAATGAGTAGCCATTTTGTAAACGTTGAAAGTCCTATAGTTACAAATATAGAAAGAAATATCCGAAATTTTCAACGATTTCTAAATGGCTCTTTTGTTCTTACTGGAGTTTTTGTGTAAATTATGTATCTTTATATATGAATTAATAAACGTTACTAATGATTCATTGCATTGATTCACGTAAATATATCACACGATTTTCGCGCATTAATTGTTTTAATTACAGGCCTGATTGTTTCTCTTTATATCTGTTTGTCAATTAATTTGCTGTTAATAGATGTATTTTCGATTGTTTTACGGGCATTTGGCTGTCATTTATTGTGTTTATGATGACATTCGGATGGCGTAAGTCTGATTTTTGTTTTGTGATATAGACACGTACTTGTACCCGGCATACATTGACCATTAACAATTGCATGCTCATTGATATAGAACGGGAACCAAAACCTACAGCACTTGGTCGTCATCGGATATAACCGAAATTTTCTTAACCGAATCAACAACAAATGTACGGGAATCATAATCAGGTGGCCGATCTACAAAAGTAAATATGTTACGATTCATTAATATTGACTTTTTTTTTTATCTTTTTTTTAACACGTGATGTTTATCCAATGCTTCACACGAATATAGAGACAAAGGTATTAATTCAAATTTGATATTAATATTGGGAAAAACAGTCTCTTTAAATAATACAATTTTAAACGTAACGCAGTAAATGTTCATATTGGTATAACATATACAATACCAGAATATAGTTATAAATTCACGAGTCTAAAAATTAAAGGCCATTATGCGGCAGAAACGCTGTATAATCTTTTTTATTTTTGGTGTCCTGTTATAGTTTTCACAAAATCCCTGGCGATTAACCTTAACCATCTTTCGCTTCTGTTGCTTTATGGCAATGAGTACAATTATAGTGATTTACATGTAGTATTTTGTATGGCAGTCAAAATACTACTTTGTTTTTATTTTGCTACTTTTATGACAAATAATCTTTACATTCACATGCTACTTTCTTCATGTGATAAGCATCTAACATGCTCTAAACGCTATTAAACTCAATAGTGCCCTTTTTACAAAAGTAGAAGAAACACCAGCATTCGTGTCTGTGGACTTATGTGTCTTTAAATATGAATAAAAAATGACTGCAGTATGGATCTCTTAAAAAGTTAAGTTAATTTGGTAATTCAAAGTAGCTGTCATTGAAATACACGTACAGTGTGCTGTTGGATGTTTGAAATATTTGCCTGGAAATTTTATCTAAAATCATCATTTGTAGTATGTCATGTATATAAGGAAATGTGATAAGAAAAGATAACAAGCACAAATGATGTAAATTATGTTTTGTTTTTCATGTAGGCATATATTGCAATGTCCCGACATATATTTCTACAAGGGGACATCACGGCTTTTTAGATCAACACTATTAGTTTTCTGATATGCAAACTGGTCGCTAATATGTTAGCCATATGATTGGAGAATTGGACAGATATATAGATCATATTTCATTTAGCAGAGCATTCTCCTACAAATTTGTTATACTTTATACAGTTTTTCTCACACACCGTGACTAATGCAGTATTGACATATTTGTACTGATAAAGTATGCGAGTATTTGCCGATAATGCATTACTTTTAATAGTTTACTATGATTTCAAAAAACGTACTATACATGTATATCGTCAAGATGCCGGCGCCGACTGTAGAGTTATTTTATTTGACAGATATTGTTTTATATTTTTCATAATTGCTCTCTTATATTTTACATTTGAATTCAGGAATGAAATGTGTGGTTTTAGACAACTCTTGTATCACGAGCAAGATAAATGATTGTTTTTGCTCACTGGGTTGTTTAAAACACACTAAAATTCATTCGTTCTACACATTGTTGTAGATATGCACGTGGTTAGCAGGTAATTACGCATATAGTTCATGCTAGTATTGGCGTAAGTATAACAAACACCCTTTAAACAAACATCTCAAATGAACATGACGAAACATTTTTATTTGACGGCACTATTTAAGATCAAATACGTCATATTTTAACGTCATGTGCATGTAGACTGCTTTAGATTTGCATTATTTTCTGTACTATTATCTGATAAATCCAAAGGAAATGAAAATGTTACGCTCATTAAAAAAAAGAAATCTTCTTGCATATTAATTTGCTTTGTCATTTATGACAGAAACAAAAGGTATTTATATTTAACACATACGTAATATTACGTTACGTTACGTTCGACGTATATTGTCCAATCTATAGTAGTTTGAACGCTATATGACTGATGAAGACATTTTTATAGCCATATCATCATTATATTACAAGTTGTTCACTAATTTAGACGACACATTAACCCAATGATATTGTTATAAATATAATGTTATCTTATTATTAGTTGTGGTGTAAATCTATTAATTGTTGAGTGAACTTCGCGTGATTGTGAATTTTGTCGGTTCATAAAAGCCAAAGAATAGCGCTTTTGGCCAAGACCGGTTTTGAATAATTCTGTCGTATCTGTAAAGGCCTCAACAGACGGTAGGATTTCGAAGTACAACACCAATTAAAACTAAGATGTACAGACAAATCTTAATGTTTGAAGGCTACTATTTCTTGAATTCGGAAACCTTAAAGGCCTCAACAGACGGTAGGATTTAGTTGTACAGCACTAATTAGAGATAAGATGTACAATTTTCAAAGCTATACAACACTTGCATTCAGACGGTAATTCTATACTGTAAGAATCTTCTGAGGTTTCCCCTGAAAAGGATCCCTTTACATTGATCCTTTACATACTTTACTCACTTAATACTTTTTTTCTCCATGAGTAATGATTGAAACACCTCCATTAAAAAAAATATATATATAATATATACCTTTTAAGTGTGAAGCCTGACCGAGACTCAAACCGGGACCCTCGTCAGGCTTCACATTAAAAAAAAAAAAATATATATAGCTTATATATATAGTATATATATTATTATATATTATATATATTATATATATATATATATATATATATATATAATAACAAACACATTGCTCCATTTACGGGGCATCGGTCTATTTGAGACCATACTTGTGGGGTGTATATTTAATGTGGGGCATACATAAGGCCTCGCAAAACTCTGGCATGTTTAAAACGATGTATGGGGGCGTAGGCTACCCTTCTAACATAGTGCCCGTAGGCCAGTTTTAGTAGTAAATGATATATGTCCCACAAATGTATATATTTATTATGGGGTTTTATTGTTATTAGTCAATATGTTTTCACCTATGGTAAAATCAAATATATAGTTTATATATATAAAATTTAGTACCCCTTAGTTCTGTTGGTATGGAAATGTTCATTATAGGCCTATATAGTGGCGTATATAAAAACTGACTGCATGAATAATGCCACTCACTCGGTCTTATATATGGGGCCCCGTAAGTGAAGATATGTGTGAATATATATATATATATATATATTATATATATATATTATATATATATATTATAGTATATATATATACTATAATATATATATATAGTATATATATATATATATATATATATATATATATATATATATTAATGTGAAGCCTGACCGAGACTCAAACCGGGACCCTCGGAATACCGTACTGCGGCTCTACTGACTAAGCTATGTGGCCGCCTACAAACTACCTCCCTCTCCCAAAATTCATGTAATTATAGAGAACAACTCAATACCGTGACATAATCATTTTCGGAATAATTTGGGATTCGAACACAACACACAACTTTGGGTCTCCTGAAGAGTTTTTTCAACATCATTTTTTACCCCATCTTTACTACTTTGTTTACCTTTTAGCCCTAATTGTTCTGGAATTTCATTCATTACATCCATTATCAGGAGATAATTTGCTTATCTGTTACTGTCATTGTGGGAGGTGTCTGTAAAAAATCGGTACGACAAGATTTTCAAAATAGAACATGTCCTATCCCTTACATCTCGACATAAAGGTTTCCGAAATCAAGAAATAGTAGCCTTTACACATTAAGATTTGTCTGTACATCTTAGTTTTAATTGGTGTTGTACTTCAAAATCCTACCGTCTGTTGAGGCCTTAACTAAATTGAAAATCTTTTCCTACAGATTTCTACAGACCTCCCACAATGACAAGTAACAGATTACCAAATTATCTCCTGATAACGGGTGTAAGTAATGAAATTCCAGAACAATTAGGGCTATAAGGTAAACATAGTAGTAAGATGGGGTCAAACTGATGTTGAAAAACTCTTCAGGAGACCAAAAGTTGTGTTATGTTCGAATCCCAAATTATTCCGAAAATGATTATGTCACGGTATTGAACTGTTCTCTAATCAGGGGAGGTATTTGTAGGCGGCCGGATAGATCACTCAGTAGAGCCGCAGTACGGTATTCCGAGGGTCCCAGGTTTTAGTCTCGGTCAGGCTGCACATTAAAAAAAGATTTTTTTTTTTTAAATGGAGTGTTTCAATCATTACTCATGGAGAAAAAAATATTAAGTAAGCAAAGTATGTAAGGGATAAATTGGGAGGGAATTTATTTTTAGGGAAATCTGACGTTGTTCATACAATGCAGAATTACGGTCCGAATGCAATTGTTGTATTGCTTTGAAAATTGTACTAGTTTTGTACAACTAAATCCTACCGTCTGTTGACGCCTTTACATACCGGACGGCAAGAACTGTTTCAACATTTATTTAAATGGCATAAGCAAATACGATCAAATTACGGCAACGATTCAAAATCACTTTCACGAAAAAGCAATCATGCCGTGCTATAAATAAGATACCATTGACATTTCAATGCGCAGAAGTCTAGTACATTCACAATCTGACTAAAGTCAAGACCTACTTATTTCTTACATGTAGATCTGAAAACCACCTTAATATTTCGCCTTCCTTATGACTCGGATTTCTCGAGAAAGCTGAGAAATAGCAATCAAGCCTGTTTATACAGACATACATCTGAAGAAGTATCAAAATATCGTTGTCCTTGGAAGTAAAACAAATTGATGATTTTTGTTAGAAAAAAATGTTTGAAGTAATTTGAAACAAGTAGACTCAATTTGTAATGGGCCAGTTTGCAGGCTATATGGAAAACGTCGTGTTTGAAAACATGAAAATTACCTACTCAGTATTGGTTTTCCAGCGGTTAAAACGGAAAACACATCGCTTTCAAAATTGTGAAAGCTCGCCGATGATTGGCTGTTTAAAAAAAGCACGAAAAGGTCACAACCTATTACACTCTTTGACTATAAATTCAGGGCGTGATGTGATAAAGAAAGTGTCTTGACTCAAACTGAGGTCTTCAAATGGTAAGAATCCGGTACAGACTGAGTGAAAATTCTGGAATTTGAGACATACCTCAGAAAGAAATATAACCAAGGGTCACGAGTTTGAACCACGCTCTCAAACTTTAAATTAGAAACAAGTTTCGAACGGGATTGAAAAGCCCGAGGTCCAGGGTTATGCCCCTTGTATGTAAAACAACTTGTTATTTCTCCCGGAATGAAGTAATTTCAGTGTTATTTCTCCCGGAATGAAGTAATTTCAGTTGATTCCAGAAATAAATTACTAATTAATAATCTCCTAAATTGAGACGCCTATATTAGTTTCCGGTGACGATTTTGAATAAACACATATATCACATGCTAAAAATGACAATATGCCCATCAAAGTGAAAATGGTGAGTGTACATACAGGTAAAAGTCAAAACAACTTTACATTTTGCGATAATTATTTTAATGTCGTATTCTACTTCGCAAAAATAATCAATTTTCTTTCATTTGAGGAAGCTACTCAGCTGCCTAGGTGCCCGTTCGTGCCTGAACTAATGCATAGAGGGGCACCTCCATCAGTAAAGCTGGAAAGTTGTCATATGACATATGTTGTGTTGGCGTTGGTGCGAGGTAAAACCCAATAAACGAAGGCACAAACAAGTAAATAAACAAACGCTTCATTTGACAACGAAAATGTAAGTATAATGTCGCTTAAATAAAATGTAAGTATAATGTCGCTTAAATAATACACTTGTTGACTTCTTTTCGCTTATATAAATGAACTTGCACATAAGGCATAAGCTTCGTCGGTGCATACATTGAGTTTAATCCTTTTAATTAAACAAGTGAACCTTATTGGTAATAGTAAACTGAACATTTAGTTCCATAAAATACTTTTTATGATATTAAGAATTATATACAAATTACGTGCAAGGGAGCGTAAGCGTTGATGTGAGTTATAACCATTACGTATCAAATACATGTATGTATATTACAATGGTACCGAACAACATCAGCGCTTTTGCTTGTGTTTGTTAGGACAATATTCAAATTTCGCATTGCGATCAGGTGACTGAGCTGTGCTCTGGTAAATTCAATGTGGGTTATTATCGTAATCCGGAGGGTATACTAGCAACACCACACCACCACGTTGCATCACAAAACGTCAGTCAGTTCATGGTTTAGAGCTGCCCAGTTGAATAGTACTAAAAAAAACACACAAAACCACAAACCATATTTGGTCAAATATTCTTCATCTCACATGATCTATTGTAACTATTTATATTTTAATATTTATATGACATTTGTGTTATTATTTATATAACTTTTGCTCTGCGTGTGGTTATAGTTTGTTATGAAATACTAATTTTGTACATTTATCGTTATCATATGATGAAAAGGTTTTTTATTCTTTTCCATGAACTTTGTTTCAAAAACCTTAGTCGTATCATATTTTTAATGCACATTTCCAGGAATAGATCTCCGTTTGGTTTAACAAAGGTTAATGTGGGTGATTTGATCCGTAAGCGTACCATACCACTTTTAGCTGTTTTTTTATACCAGCACACATCAGATACTTCTCGTTTATCTTCCCGTCGTGTCAGTTATAAAACAAAATACATTCGTTACAATAGTATTTCAAACCATAAAATGATGGTAGTTGAAGAATATAAAGATGAATCTGAATCTAAAACCGGTGCAAGTCAACCCGGTCCCAAGTCAGACTTAGTAAAACATAGTACCCTTGGTGTTTTAATTGCACGATGTTTCCATTTTAGTTTTCCTTACACACTTCAAAAACAGCATTTTCATAAGAATCTTTAACATTTAGGTTACAAGTAGCTGTTACATATCATTAAAAAGGGTACAAGGATTTTTTTTCTAAAATAATATTCTTGAAACTATATCTAAAAACTGAACACAAGTTGTATTTACAAAACATATGCTATGACATTTTCTTTAGTTGCACATACTCATATTTGAGATCTGTACACGTCTATTTTAGTACGTGCATCAGTATAAAATTATCAAAATAAACACCATGATTCAAATAACAATAATCAATGACATATGTTTAATGAAGACACATTGATTATTATATTGTGGTGGTGGGTGTGATATATTAAACATATGAGCCGTGTCACGACAAAACCAACATAATGGGTTTGCGACCAGCATGGATCCAGACCAGCCTGCGCATCCGCGTAGTCTAATCAGGATCCATGCTGTTCGCTAACAGACCCTATAACAAGTAAAGAAACTGATAGCGAACAGCATGGATCCTGATCAGACTGGTCTGGATCCATGCTGGTCGCAAACCCATTATGTTGTTTTTTTCATGACACGGCTCATATATCTTATGTGGTTTTGTTATAACAAACGCATATACCTCGCAACTGTATTTCTTGATAATGGTTAGTATGAAAATACCGTATTGTTTTACAAATATTTCCAACAATCATACTACGCGTGTTTTGTAAATGTCTTATAAGTATACCTATTAATTTCAGTAACAAATCATACAACATACACAATCACTGAATTTGTCTGTATTACTTTTATATTATAACTTTAATTTCTGACACATATTTGTAAATAGAGTTAATCACATTCGAGTTCATTCGGACTTTGTCAATTAAATAATGAAACATTTCACCAATTTAAAGAACGATCCACTATCACCGAGCGTCATGCATTCAATATGCCCCAAGAACAAAAGATGATCAATTCACAGACTTAATTTCTAGTCATATAATCTTCACTCTAGTTTATATATTCCCAGATCCTAAAAGATAGAAATAAATAATAAATATTATGTTATTTGGTTGCAAAAACAAATATATATATGTTTTTAAAGATAGCAAGAAAACGATTTTGATAAAATACAGAGTCACGCACTTAATAAAGTGATAAGAATAGTTTAGACCCTGTTTAAACTATGATTCAGGAAATATAATATATAAAAGCAAGATATTGCTATGAAATATTATTAGATTGTAAAACCGATTGGCAATATCAAGAACAAATAGCAGCGTCCTAAATTAATTATAGCAACAAGGAGCAACAATAATAGGAAAACAATACAAAATAGCTTGATTCCTTTCTTACATAAACAACACAATCCTGATACAAAATTATGGAATTAAGTTCATTTTAAAATACTCACCTAGCTAATTTAAAATCAATCACAAGGTATTCTTTACTCTATTTTAATCCATGAAGTCGTCCATAAACCAATTAGTTAGAAATGGATTTGGCATCCAAAAGTTATCCATCTTTTTATTGAAGTGATGATTCCAGATTCCCCATGCCCATGGGTCGGGCATGTCCCAGTCCTCCATGCCCCAGTCCCAATCATCCCAGTCGGCTGAAGAAAAATAAATCAACATTTTACTTTACATGTACGTAGTGTGTACTAAGACTAAGATTTTGGCATTTTTATTGTTCATTGTGTTTTTATTACATTTAGTTTTTGAAATTATTTTTGTCTTACTTAAACGATCGTAACAAATTTACGCTGGTAAATCTGCTAACTATTAATCAGTCTAGTAAATCTTCCGTTCACTGAAATGATTTCAAATACTTATTGGTCACTGTTCATAGTTTAATTGTAAAATTAAATTTGATCGAATTGCCCGGCAATTCTTGACCAATTTAATATGTAAATGCTTACTGATGAGCCCTAACCTATACTTAAACTTATACATTAGAAGATGACAAATTTTACTTGAGAATACTAAAGATCTAGAATATATAGAATACTTAGTAGATAGAGTATTGCCCACTCTACTCTAATACACATGGACATAGGTGAATATTTCTGGAAAAATCCTTCATATAAAAATATTTTAATCTGATGTGATCCGACCATATTGATACTACTTTGTATTAAGAAAAAATTTCAACTTTTCTATAAATAGCACTTAGAGAACGTGATCAATTTTTGTTTATGTTTATATGATTAGTATAGTCATTTGAATCCTATACAATTTCTATTGCTTTCATTTTGCTATATTTCTATTGCTTTCATTTTGCTATAATCAGTTTTATGTCTTAAACATGTCTGATCTGTAACATCTGTGTCATAATTCTTTATGTGTGTATGGCCCGGTGGCCTTATAACACGATAAAGTTTTGTCTTTATACAAACAATCTTTTGTAAATGGTCAGTAACTGAAATATAACTTCAGTAAAACTGATACATCTCATTGCACCCTATTACAGTCTCGGAACTGAATATATTTCATTTCTGAAGAAAGGACAATCATGCGTTTTATAAATTTACATATTTATAGAATACATTGACATGTACATTACCTGAAACTACTTGCAAACAACATAGCAGAAGTGAAATCACGCTTAATATTATAAAGACATTCATGTTAATATCCCTATAACATGAACAAAATTTCACAAAATTTACAACTGCAAGAATTTCGATCCCAACCAAACCCTTATCCTTTTACAATTTGAAACTTTCAAATGAAAAGACATCACCGTTTATATATGCACGTTCGATGTAAACCAGTGAGTTGACATTTAAAATTAATTCTAAAATCAAGATTTACACCTTTTTATTGTCATTTTTGTGATTCAGACCGTCAATCAATTCGTTAGCGTGAACGGCATCTACTTCACGCTAGTCATGTTTTTTTCCATTTATTGATATAGTTTGTGCAAATGTTATGATAAATTTAGACATTTACTACATCCACTGTTTTAAATATGTTTCATAGTACTCTATATCAGTCTTAGATGATTTATATTGTGATCTAATTTATGCGTTTTTATCACAAGATGGTATGATACATTTGTGTTAGAAGAGAGCATGAATTGCGCATTGTATACACTATAAAACAGTGTATCTTTAAATTTGTCTTTTCTCGTCTTGTCTGTGATATGCAAGCTTCCTAACCTCTGATTCCCTTTCAAAATTCCATTTTATTAAGTTCCACCCATTGTTTTTTGCTGTTGTCTAAGGCACATGCATTCATTTACTTGGGGACCATACGCCGCTTTACATGAAATGACACAAACGTGCCGCATTGAAGGTTCACTGATAACCGCCGTACGAACACACCCGTGTTTCAGAATTAAATGTGTTCACTATATTCAATTACTCATGTTAAATTCTGCTTAAGCAATGGCTAGGGGACGAGGACAGCAGCTTGCAATTGCATATATTATCTACTACATAAACTAACATCTTTTTAACGTTGGATCATGCAAGGTGGGTGGAAGAACCGCCAAGCATTGACATTTTATTATTTTCATGATATATTGATGACTATTTGTTATATTTTTAGAAAACATACATTAAAAATAATCTGTTAATGTCTTTTATCTCAACCTTAATAAAATATATTTTAGAGAGTTTAATTAGAAAAAAACTGATAAAATATTATTGGTTCAAAAAAATAAATCTTTACACATAGTTCAAACACGTAAAATCGATTTTTTACCACGTCTGTGTCATACAGTTTTTTTCCTACACATATGTAATGTTTATTTATAGCGCTGGACAAAAGATGGATTATATGACAGTTATGAGTCAACGGGCGAAATTTAGACAGTAATGTCACAAAAAATAGTATTTGTGTCTATTGATCGTAAAACAATAATTGTTTATTATTCCTTTAATTATGAAGTGACCGTAGATAATGTCATTTGATAGAGATGCGGTTTACTATGCTAATTCATCAATTTTCGCGAGTACATATTTTCCTTTTCTTTTTTGTGTGATAACTTTTATTAACCACGAGTAAAAACAATTGTAAATTCAATGAAAAAGGCAATATAAGTAATGGAGTTTTCACAGGATTTGTAGTAAAATATATACATAAAGAATAAACGAATAATGACAAGGATGGCGTCAAATCTCATTTATCTGTAAGAACATTATTATACTGTGATTTCGCCAATTTGAGCAAAATCATTTTAACAAAATGTTCATATACCTTTAAAAAAAACAACATCAACAAAAAACAAAAAAACAAAAACAAAAAAAACGCAAAAAACCCCTCGGTTTAGTAAATTGTTCAAAACTGTTCTAAATTATAAACTAGTAGGTTCCGTCTTGACTGATTGATTTTCAAAAAAAATATAATGTAGCATATTTAAAAATCAAACTAATGCCAAAGTCACAATACATTCCCAAGTGGTGCAGGCTATATAAGTTGTCGATTATAACGTAATCAGTTTCCAGCTCATATGTACTTCTGTACTTTGATTCAGCAAGCTCGCTTAAATTAAGCTTGAAACACAAGACAACATTTTGACAATAGGAAAAAAACGTTTTGTTTCTGAAGCGGTTTTCTATTTGTCTTCATCATTTATCAACAGTAGTTTTAAGTATTTTTCCAGTTGCATATTTAAGCAGAAAAAGTTGTCACCATAATTATTCAATGTTTAAACTGTTGAATATGCAATACTGTAATGTAATGTGATGCGATGCAATGTAATGTGATGTGATGTGAAATCTTATAATATAATATAATAAATATAATAAATATAATATAATATATATAATATAATATAATATAATATAATATAATATAATATAATATAATATAATATAATATAATATAAATATAATATAAATATAATATAATATAATATAATATAATATAATATAATATAATATAATATAATATAATATAATATATAATTATATAATATATGACCAGTGAATATTGCATTTCTATTTTTTTCTCAAGTTTTTCAAATAGAAAAAAAATCCCTACCTAAAATAAACTTATTCACCAGCATCAAAATTAAATACATGTACATGAAAACACTGCGCGTGTAAGTCTTTGTAACCTATCAGTATATCATGATATACCATATGGACACTGAAGTCTAAATTGACTTTAAGCTTTATTAAGAACAGTCCGACCATTAGACTTTTAACTTGCTACAATTGCATTAAATAAGCAAACAGAAGTAAGAAAATGGTCTTGCATTTGTTATAGGGTGAAACGTAAGACTAATGCACGTTTGTTAGTCAATTTAAAGTTTTTATTTGCTGACATATTTCTGCTCTGCTTTGGTCGAACACACTTATTGCTTTCTTTGCTACTTTTATATAGTGGCATAAATAAAACAGGCAATACCTCTGGATAAATTGTATTTTATCATCAAAAAGATTTGAACAAAACATCTTTGAATCGTAATAGAAAATTGTAAGCACTTGAAAACTAATGTGTATTTTCTAATAACTTTCTAAAAGTAACATGGTTCCCCATTGACAGTGGGTTCAAAATACAAATATTTATATTTTGTTCTGTAGTAATTATGTTCCGTGTTATACAGTGATTATCACATCATGCTCGAGTACCATTATTATTACCAGTGCTTTCGGTACTTTGATTTCCTTAAAAACAATCGAAAAGCACATTTGTCTAGTTCTCGCTACAGCTATCTCAGTACCTTGAAATTCAACCAAACCGTTGAAATAGATATCTTTCAAAACTCGATGTTTGATTAACATTTACTGTGACTTTTGTCACAAGTTTTGGTGACAATGAAAAAAAAAACGTTTATTTTTTTCACAAACTTGGCACTTTTAGTGTATTTTTAAACACCTGACTAAAGGTTAAAGACATTCTCCCGTCACAACGTACATAATGAATGTACCATGTTTTGCCCAAAATGGCTGAAACGTATATGTGGATTTTTTATTTATTTCAGTAGCAATAAATGTGTCATACTTACACTGATCTTCCACAGTTCAGATATTTTATACCTTATAAAATGCTAATGAAGAAAAAAAGAAGAGGAAAAAACAAGGAACGCACCAATGATTAATGACATTTTTGTTGAAGATATACGTACATATGTGTAAGAGCAAAACAGTCAATGTAAGATCTCTTGCCTTTAATTAAAAAAAACCCTAGTGGAACTAGCTAAAACAATTAATAAATGTATACATATGCGACATTTTGATCGCTTTTAAAGTACGACCATTGTATTTATTTACTCAATTGGAGAATTATCAATTACTCAAAAACAAGAAGTCATAACCTGTATACCCAAAGGTAATAAAGATAAACTTTACTTAAAACATTGGAGACCAATTTCTTTATTAAATGTTGCTGATAAGATTGCCTCTGCCTCAATCGTTTTTCGTATTAAAAATTAAAATTAATTATTATAAATTAATACCAAACCGGATTCTTACCGGGTAGACTAATGGCATCAAATATTAGAATGTTATATGATCTGCTTTTTTTATACAGAAAAAAAAATAATATGCCTGGTTTATTACTTTTAATTGATAAAATGCCACATCATCTCTTACACACCGTGGCACCGACCTTCAATCTTTTACACCTAAATATCTAAAACTCAACGGAAAAATATAGCAACTTTAGGGAGCGGTATATATTATAAATTGTTATGTAAGGGAAAGAACTCAAATAGGCTTGACCAAAGTTTGCAAGTTTTGTATGGAAGGTGGCAAAGATATTTAGAATGTTTCTTTTTAAACTTATTTTGAGTGTTTCTTATAATGTTGAGACATTGGTTAAATCATGTGTCAAAGTCAATGACCAGGCACATTTTCTTACAGGCGTTTATAAGATTGACTAATAATATCTGTCATATTTTGCGGTTCGGATCGGAATATCCGTCCCGAGGTGACCCGCCCATTGGGCGGTAACGAGGCTTGCCGAGTTACCGCCCATGGGCGGATGACCGAGGGACGGATCTTCCGATCCGAACCGCAAACATATGTCAGATATTTTTTCTTGCATATTCTACTATATGCCATAATATTTTAAATTATTTTTCTTTATTTTCAATGAAAATTTATATCATTACAACCGTAACTACTTTCTTACAACAGCGTATGAATTACAAAATCATTCATAACGGTAAAATGACGTCATCTTTATCGTGCCATTGTACAGCACGCGACTCATCTGGAACCCCCCATGCCAGATGAAATTTCCGGCATGGGTAAAACTAACGGAAACGCCAGTCTGATATGCAAGAAACACATGATCAGTATACCTACAGGACGAGTATTTGTCTTACTTCAGTCTTACTTCAGACAGTGATCTGTCTTGTGTGGTAGAGCAATAACGGAATCTTCTTCGAGATTTGCACGAGCAAGATCAATCTCAGGATATGGATGTAACCTACGTCATAAGTGTCGATCATGGTGTTGATATTACTGAGGATATACCTCTATATGCCACACAGGAACAGATTGGGTTGTCTCTGTTTACTATGCGCTTCATCAAGAAATATCTGAAGAAATCACTAGAATACAATAATGTTATGATCATGGATGATATCACCCAGCTACGTCTTCGTCTGAAGAATTTTGTGAATAATTTACAACATATTACTAACATTGTTTTTGTTTGCGATGGTAACTTAGTTTGTACATAAATAGGAAAATGTACAAGGTTTGCTCCCCTTATGATTTATTCACATACTAGTCTCGGTGAATGAAGAAATG